TGTGTACTTTTCCTATTTTGGTCCGTATTACAAGAAAGCAAAAGACAATAAGGAGGTCGCAACCGTAACCATACTTTGTGCGTTTTAATGTACCTACATCCGGTCTTTGTGGTTTCCCCTTTTGTACCGCACTTGCGAAATGTGTTTTAAAAGCTATTTTAAAAGCAACACTTATGTATGCAGTTTTGTATTGAATTTAAATTCCTGTGTGCGGCTCATTTTAAAAATAAGCATCACATCGACCCTGTTCTTCTATAGGAGAATACTCAGAGATAAATATTGGCTTAGCTGTACCCCAGTCGTTGCTAATGTCATAAGCGACGGTGATAACTTACCATTAGCATACGGCCCGCTATACTCATGTGTCTAGGTAATTCAAATAATATACATTATTCTTTATGTTCTCGTATCCAAGGACTGTTTGATTACCGACTGCTGAGCGTAATCTCCGCTGGGAATGCGAGGTCAGCGAATAGCTAAATTAGGCATTAATGGAATGCAAGTCTAAGTTAAGGATACTGCTGTTACGAGTAGATGATGGGGAATTAATTTTACTGGGTAGCAAGGGTCGTAAGAACATCTTTAATGTCCGTAACTTAAAATAGATATAGTAGAGGCTTGGTTTTACGCCAAAACACAAGGTACATTGAAAATTAACGGCCGTCTGGTGTAGTGGTAAGTGACATGGTCACTACACAAGGGGGTCGCGGGTTCGAATCCCGCCAAGGGAGGATATTTGTATGATAAATATAAAAATGTATTTTCCAGGGTTATGGATGTATATTAAATATATTTATGTGTATAATAAAAATATTAAATTTATTTCCGTTATCGAGTTCCTGTAATACAAGTTCTTTACGAACTTATCACGGGAGCAGTTAACGTGGCGTGATTGTTAGTAAATATTTATTTAGTTATTTATTTATTTATTTAATTAATCCAAAGCCAAGCATAATTTAAGACAATAAGCAGATTTGTCGCGAAACGTGTTTTCTTCTAGACGACTGCTTTTACATTTGAAAATCCATTCTAGTAGTGATAAATTAAACGCTCAGCACAGAACAGATATTTTGTTAATACTCACTAATATGTTTTTAATATTAATTATATTTAATATTTTATTTTCTTCATGTGTAGCGGTGTACATTTCAATATTTAAATTGTTACAGATTCTTCTAAGCGATGAAACGGCAATCAGAAGAGGTGGTAAATCATGACGGTTGCAAAGTGACTGACGGGCTGTACGTGTGCGTGGGTACTAAAACATTCTGATTTTGTAAAAATTATTTAATAAAGTTGAATACATTCGACCATATCAAATGAAAGCGACGCTTAAAAAAACGGATAACATTTTCAGACTAGTTTCATTTTCAAAATAGTACAATATGGCAAATTAATCTATGGTTATTCTAAAAAAAATCTCTCGATAAACTTTTCTTTCGTAAATTAATATTGTACTAAAATAATAGCAGTAACTGAGAACAATCCATTACTCTTTTAGGTTCAGCTTAAGCTGTGTAAATATGATGGATCATTTAGGTTTTTCAAATTTCTTAAGAAATTTAATTTAGAAGAATTTTTCTAGCCAAAAACAGACTGCTAAAAAGCAAGTCTAATCTGTTTTCTTGGATAATTAATGAGTGTTTTGCAGTAGACGCTAGCTACTAAGATACGAGTAAGTACATTGTTCGCGGTGTTGCGATCTCTGACAGTTTCTTTAAAGTTTCTTTAAGTAAAATTTCTTTACTTTATTACCGTAAAGTGCAGACAAGGTCGTTGTCTCTTGGTTCTATTATTGAAGTGGAAACGCGTGCTTTACAGCAGAAACAGGCCTGATAGTGGTACTTCCAGTATAGATTCCCAAAAAGTACCAATGTTTGTTGCTTATTAAAAAGACTACCAAAGTATGATCCAACAAGTAAAAGTTGTTCAATATAAACAGCGCGCCGTAATTAAATCAACCAACGTGAAAAGGAATGCAGGATGTATACAAACGAATAGAGTATGTAGATGTTTATCAGGGCACGTAATTAGTTTGAGATTCCTAACATTCGGTTTACCTGTCTCATATTAATTGGCTAGTACAAGGAACTAAAGCGACTGCTAGAAACTCCTGAAATACTTATTGCTTTCAAATCTACTTTGTAGCTGCTCTATAACTTCTAGATCTATTTTAAATTCGGAGTGAAATGGCACAGAACGGACACGATTTTTTTTATATTCTATGATGGGTGGACGAGCTCACAGCTCACCTGGTGCTAAGTAGTCACTGAAGCACATAGAGACGAGTTCTAAGAATAAAATGTCGTAAAATCCAGCTCAGCCATTTTAGTCAGGGCTCACTAGCACTAATCAGCCAAGATTGTTATTTAAATAGATTCTCGGCTTACTAAGAAAATTTGGTATTTTCTATTTGAACCGTATGTTCTGTGGAATATTCTCTCAAGAAAATGTGAGTTGATTGGCCATAAAAAAAATATTGCTTAGATGGGTGGACGAACTTTCAGCTCACCTGGTCTTCAGTGGTTACTGGAGCCTATAGACATCTACAGCGTAAACGCGCCACCCACCTTGAGGTATAAGTTCTAAGGTCTCAGTATAGTTACAACAGCTGCCCCACCCTTCAAACCGAAACGCATTACTGCTTCACGGCACTGCTGCCAGTAATTACGCAAATAATCATTTTGCGTTATAATGTATGTATGTACGTTATAAATATGTTATTCCTTCACCGTGGAAGTCAATCGTGAACATTTGTTGAGCACGTATTTCATTACAAAAATTGGTACCCGCCTGAGATACGAACACCGGTGCATCGCACAACACGAATTCACCGGACGTCTTATCCTTTAGGCCACGATGACTTCATAAATAATATTTCTAAACCGTGTCACCGACCGACCACATGAACAATGTCCATCCTTACCCTCGGCGATATGGGGTATCTTGATTTTGCCCGTCATTGATGATGGCCATGAGCCACCATGAGCTACGGTAACAACTCACTATCAGGTAGCCCGTGGGTTACCCCAGGAGTGTTTAATTTGAAAATCATCATCATTTGGAGATGTTAATTGATTTTTCGTAATTTTCTATAGGTCCTGTTGCATAAACATATCCAAATTGTTGTTAACCTTAGAAACGCAATTTGATTTACACACACCTCACGTCTGCGAACGAATAGTGAAGCCACAGGCGGAGTTCAATCTAGATTCAAGTTCAGTGGCCGCTATGTATTGGGATGCACAAAATTTACAAACTTTAATGAAATTTCTTCAGGCGATATAGCTCTATCTATCTATCTGGAAAGATTACTTTTAGATACTTTTGACTTGGAGTCGGTAAACTTAGTTTTTTAATGTTGTGGTATTTTCTGTTATACAACATTCTTTTTATACAACATTCCTTTTCTATTGGGGTATAAGTAAAAAAAGATACGTAAGTAGATTTACTAGTAGAGTTTTATGTTTTATGACTCGTAGCGTACCTTTTTTTTTAATGCTCTTGTAGGCAGACGAGCATACGCCCCACCTGATGGTGAGTGGTTACCGTCAACGTTCAGCAATGCCAGAGGCAGAGCCAAGCCGCTGCCACCGCCTACCTGATGATCAGTGTTACGGAAGCCATAGGTAGGCTACCCTGATGCTTTTCGAATTTCTTTTAAAATGTAATTTATTAAATACTACGCACTACATTAGTAATATTATAACAAACTTGCTGCTTGCATACTTATATTGCAAATTTTTGGTATATTTTAATAGATCTCCCAGGCTATTTTTAATAAAAGTTACCTCAACATGCCTGGCATATATTTTTCAGCATTTTCCCAGAAAATAACGGTTATCTGGAAGAAACCGTTTTTTGATGAAAATACCGCCTATAATACCGGACTTATATATTCAAAAGAAAGAATAAAACCACAGTGTCTCGCGTAGACATACTTTTTTTTTTTTTTGGCGACCGNCTCATTCGTCTATGTCCTCTATTTAATGGCCAAGAAACCTAGGAGTGTTGAAAGAAGACTCTTTCAACGGGGGGGAGTATGTCGCGGCGCCTGACGCGTTTAGCACAGCAAGCTAGCCAAAACATTTACTACTACCGGCACCGCGCGCTGACAGCATGCAACAACAGTCTGAAGATACCTCCCAATAATCATTATTGACAAGACCTTCCTCTTTTCGAGAAAGGTCACATTCCAAGATTCATCGACGAACAATCACAACCAAACCATTGTATAATAATAATTAAAGCAAGTAGCAAGAATGCAATTGGTTTTATTAAAGAAAGAATAAAACCACAGTGTCTCGCGTAGACATTAATTATATTTGGAGTGCAAATAGAACGCATGACTGCTGCGTGGCAGAGAAATATACAGGCCGATGATACCTGCCCCGTATGGACTCACAAGACGCGCTAACACTTGCAATGATTAACGAGTTCCTTGTCAATTTTGAACTAGCAATATCACTCATTGGTATGACTGGCTCATTTATACACCTCTGCAAATATCCAGTTTTTGTTTTTTGTTTTTGCTTAGATGGGTGGACGAACTCACAGCCCACCTGGTGTTAAGTGGTTACTGGAGCCCATAGACATCCACAACGCAAATGCGCCACCCACCTTGAGATATAAGTTCTAAGGTATCAAGTTTAGTTACAACGGCTGCCCCACCCTTCAAACCGAAACGCATTACTGCTTCACGGCTATGTTAGTGATATAAGTACGTGTTTTACAAATAATTATAAAATTAACAGGAAATCCTGGTTTGGGTAAAACCCTCCTCCAAAGATATGTATATATTTCAAGTATATAATTAAGCTTATCAATCTCTGGTAGATATAAAACAGGGTATTCTAAATTGGGGCTGAATTTGTTTCCAGTTATTATATATTTTTATTACACTCTTGCAAACATTTACAGGTTACCCACGCACGGGTGCAAAGGGACAATGAAATTCGAAATAAAAAAGGAAACTAATTAATATTTTATTGCGATTATAATCAATGTTCTAAACTATCTTCAACTTGTTTCACTTGCATATACAAAACTTCGCTGTTACTCCTGCACTTTCTAGGTTCGAATTCATCATCTTCGTAACCAAACTTGTATCCTTTGGATAGATAATGGAACACCGCTATAGACGTAAACATTAGTCCTGTGTATATCAAAAACTGAGTTTCCTGAAAGAAAATAAATTGAAAAGATAAAAAAACCAAGTCTAATACTAATAATAGACCATTTAGTTCAGACCGCCTGTATTATGACGAAACCAAAACGGACTACAAAGTAGATATCTCTTTTTTTAAATTATGTTTGAGAGATTACTGGTGGCCCGGAGGCCTTTCCAGTTTTATCAGGACAGGTGGGCGAGCAAAAGCTTGGCCAGGAAGGGTGGGATTTGCTAACAGCTACCCGAACGCCTCCAAAGGAGTCCTAACAACTCAGGAGTAGATGCTTTGCGAATGAGTAAATATCGTCACCCATCTTGGCACATGCTTTAGTGCAGAAATAGGCAGGCATTCTTCTATAAAACCCTTAGAACCCGCCACAGAACCTTTGAACCCACAGCCATAGAGCGGTGTTGTTCTAGACCAGGGGCTCCCAAACTTATTTTGTCTACTGCTCACTTTGAGAATAAATTATTTTTTAGCGCCCCCATTTTTTCACCTACCTACAAACCACTACAGTGAGAGCTCAGTCGGTGTCTAAGAGTCCTCTAGATGAAATTACAACTCGCCTCCCAAGCCTCTACATAACGCCCCCCTTTGATTACCTGGGTCTCTTACCGCCCTTCTTTAGACCTGCAGCGTCCACAAGGGGGCGTTATCACCCACTTTGGGAAAACCTGTTCTAGACCAACACCACATAGCCAGTTTATGAAACACTACTAGATAAAGCACTTCATAATCTCTTAACAGCGATCGCCTACCTGATTGTAATCAGCAAAGAGTCTCGTGATGACGATAATGATAATATTCCCTATCGCCTCCGTAAGCAACCACACTGACGTCATAACGGCCTTCATGCTCTCCGGGGCCTCTTTGAAGGCGAACTCGCTGCCCGTTACAGCAAACAGTACCTGTATTTGAGTTACAACTAAATTTCATCCAATACATACATTAATTAAATTTGCGGTCTGCCCCTGGCATTACTGAAGTCCATGGGCGACAGTAACCACTCACCATTAGGTAGGCCGTAAGCTCGTCTGCCTACAAGGGCAATAAAAATAATAATAATAATGTATGATGCCACAGAAATTCGACTATAATTATTAACTTAAATTATAAGTTTGAACATTATTATGGTTCTATTGTCAAACACTACTTGTTTAATCACATATTTCGCCAAGGCTACACTATAGGCAAATAATGTTAAAGACCAACAGTATTAATCTATTCTCGATTCGACCACAGACTTTAACAATAAACAAAAGAGTATATAAGGAACATATATGCGTGTGTGCGTCAAATACATGGTAGTGTGTGTAATGTTTTCTTTATTGATTTAATGATTTTTTTATATAATTAAAAAAATATTAACATTCTGCACTCCTTCTCTATATTCTCTATAAGTGTAGGAAATTTCATACTCCTCCGTCCGCGCAATTTTTGTAAAAAGAGGTACAAAGTTTTTGCTTCACGTTTAAAGATATGTACATAGATACTAGAATAAAAAATTAGGACGTCTACGTCTGTAGCCGCCCGTAGCAATCACGTGTAGCTCCGTAGCTACGTGTGCTACACAACCTCTACGATAACTGACTATCCAACATTACTACATATTTGAGGTAAGTTTTATTATTCCTAAAACAATTCAAATCGCAATCGAGTATGATCTCGCTTCGGGCATAGATAATCGGGTTGACTTTTTTTCTAGATTCTCCAATACTTACGGAATATATTTGCTTATTGCCCTGTTAATTTTTCCGTAGCTCGATCATTTTGAGTATTAAAATACAAACTTGACTCGCATACAACTGGTATTTCCGAATTCCAAAACGTTATTTAAAAAAAAAAAGACTCTTCCCAAAACAAAATACGAAATCATCGTTACAGTGCTGAATTTGTAAGATAAGAAAAAAGAGTGAAAGCAAATCGCCACACGTGAACGCACAGTTAAAGACCCGACAGCCCATTAACAACGATAGTGCATGAGTGCGAGTCAGACAAAAATATAGTACGTCTTAAGGTGTGAGTGAGATATAAATAGACCACCATCGCTCCAAACGTATTCGCGAACTACAGAGCCGTTAAGAGCTTGAACAATATTTTTGGTAATAAATAAATTCGATTTCTCTTAATGATGTGAATCATGAGGACTTGGTGCACCGACCCCACATTATGCGGGATAAGAACTAGAAGAAAAAGAAGATGATTATATAATAATAACTGTTGATTTTTAGGCAACATTTATTTGCACTCTATTTGGAAAAGAATTGTTTTATTTCGTTTGTGGCGGGTAGCCATCATACAGCACAAGATATTTTACAAACGCCTGAATCTCGCTTACGACATTTTCAAGATAAGCTTGCATATATACAAGTTCCGAACAACAACATTTGGACCGTCGGTCTACCGAGCAATATCACCCGCTCGGTGAAAGATCTTCCCTTTGTCGTATATCTCCCCACACGTTAATCTTACAATTTTCAATTTCGTCTTCTCGGTCACCCGTACTAAAAATTATGAACTAAAATACTCAAATCGTCAGAAACTCTACAATTCATATAACAAAAACGAATCATAAGTTCAATAATGACTGGATAATTGTTGAAATATACATTTCAATGTTGATCATTAGCGTTAGAGCCTCTACAAGAAACTCTATATACAAATCTTCGACTAATCACAATGCTATGAAAACTTTCAGATTCACAACGGAAATGAGTTAATATTTTACACTATATTGCCATCGAAGTTAGACGAGCTTAAAGCTCAGCTGTTTTTAATTGGGTACAGCCAAACCGCAATCCAATCAGAGCTTACCTCTGCAACTGCCATTATAAAGAACTGCGGTATCAACAGTGCCATAGTTATTGAATTCGGCTGTGTTATTGTGACCACTTGTAATTCCTGAAATAAACAAAACATATTCGTATTTCAAATTACATGTATTTTTAACAGCTGGTAGCAACGAATTGAACTTGTTAGTAAAGAATAATTAAGGCATTAAATCTGTAAATGTGTTCAAATATATATAAAGTGCAATAAATATACGTAGGTACGCTATATAGCATTCATGGGATTTTTGTTTTAAATCGAAAAAAATCAGTTTGAAATGTTGCTTGTTTTTATCGGTATCTCTCAATTTCGAATAAAGAACAAGAAACATACTTACAAACCCAGTTTTAGTGTATCCAATGATCACAGTGTAAACTCCACCGCTACCAAAATCGATATTACTGCCGATCACTTGATTATCTACTATCACCGAGTAAGTCGATGTGAATACTTCGATTTGTTCCGATACTCCCGGACGTATGGACGCCTCAATGTCATTTTGCCTTTCGTTATATAATGTTAGGTTCGTGTCAATAAAATTAGGTGTAAGAAACCTGTAATTGTTAATGAAATTTGAGACACAGTTTCCTTGTGTCAATCACACATTTTACTGGTGCCAGGGCGTCTTGTGAACCCTGCGAATGAGTACTACCGCCCTGCTTAATTCTACTGTGATGCAGTAATGCGTTTCGGTTTGAAGGATGGGACAGCCGTTGTACTGTAAAAACTGAGTCTTAGAACTAATTTTCGAAGATGGGCGGCGGCATTGACGTGCTTGATGTCTATGGGCTCCAGTAACCACTTAACTCCAGGTGGGTTATCAGGTCGTCCACCCATCTAAACAATAAAAAAATAAAAAATCCGAATTAGTTGCCATTTTAAGAAAAACACGTACACCAAAGCAATACCCAGAGACATATCAAAGTAATTCCAATACCAAACTAAGTATTATGATCGAAGTCCTAATGGATTTGGGCGATTACTATCTCACTCTTCAACTTCAACCCCAGAAAGCATTAAGATAATGTCAAAAGAAAATGAAGAGATTAGATGATTTCACAAGAAATTAGTCCGTACGACTTGATGAGAAGAGACCGGAATAATTATTCAATTGACACTTTGAACTAATAAGTCTTAACACTATTTCTGCCAAAAATGGAAAAACTTATTAAAAATGTATCTTGAAATTTCTATATTTTTTTTTTAATTTATTTATTTATTTATGTACACACAGAAAACAAGACACAGTACAGAGTAATAGGAAAATTATGTACAAACTTCTATCTAAGTTTAATCAATTTTTCTCTATACATAATTCTCCTTCAACTCGTTCTAGATTTAAATATACGTACCTTATTTGAATTTAAATACAAATACGTCATAATATATGATTTCGTTGAAATAGTGATAGAAACATTATCAACAAAAAGAAAGCTACCAGATGAACTCTTCTGTCTACCTATTCAAGTAACAAACAAAAACAACTTACCTCACAAATGGAAAACCAGATTTACTCTTCTCCAACTTATCTTCGTAGCTTAAGACTTCATCATTAGCCAAAAACAACGATACGGCAGCGCCATCTTTCAATTGGATCACTTCATCTCTCGGTTCTATGCAACTACCGCCCAATTTCAAATCGAACCGTTCGTTGAACCGTACGGTTCTCGTAACGCTGGCCAGAGCCGGGATCGTGTAGGTGATATTCTGTTCGTCGCTTTGTAATGATACAGAGCACGGGTTACTGTTGAATACCCGCAGCTGCGAATAGCCCGGTTGCGGAAGGACCGGGTACGTCGTCTGAAAATCACTTCCAGTACAATCTAACATTTCGAGTGAACCATTTGTTGTATTCGTTCGAGTTTACTTATGTACTGTGATTGTAAATCGCGTCATCGAAATCCAGTGGTTAACACCAAAAAGAGGGTAGACAGATTTATCTGCTCCTACAGCCTTAACTGTTTAGTCTAGCCGTTACTTTTGTACCGTGAGTGTAAATCGCGTCATCGAAATCCAGTGGTTAACACCAAAAAGAGGGTAAAGATTTATCTGCTCATATAGCCTTAAATGTTCAGTCTAGCCGTTACTTTTGTACCGTGAGTGTAAATCGTGTCATCGAAATCCAGTGGTTAACACCAAAAAGAGGGTAGACGATTTATCTGCTCCTATAGCCTTAACTGTTCAGTCTAGCCGTTACTTATGTACCGTGAGTGTAAATCGCGTCATCGAAATCCAGTGGTTAACACTAAAAAGAGGGTAGACAAATTTATCTGCTCCTATAGCCTTAACTGTTCAGTCTAGCCGTGATCAAGGCGCTTGCAACACCAACATCGATAACTCATTAAATGATTCATTCTAATATGAAAATCGTGGTAATAACCCGTTAAATAATTCTTCGAATCTCCCTCCTTATCAAATTTTACAACATTAACTAAACTTAATTATTTTAGCAAACTCTAGTTGGACCATTCGTGAAAGATATTAATTATGACATTTGCCTTTAAAAGATCTGTAAATTTAAGGAAAATGTTTTTTTTTATATTTAATTTATTTATTTATTACACTTCATGTAAAATTTCCATCGGCGGATTTAATGCCTAAGGCATTCTTTACCAGTCAACCAAAGGTAGTGCAGAGTAAATAGTGATAGGTGCAATGAAATTTACATTAAATTACAAATACATACACAAAAAATATATATATACGTACATATATCCACAATCACATACATATACATATTTTATACATACATACAATAGTTTATACAGTATTAAAAGGAATATATTAATAAATTATTTTACCTTCAGATATATTTCAAGGAGAGCTGAAGCTATAAAAGCCACTCCGGCCAAGACTCCGCCGAGCGTTAACTTGTTCAGTGGATTTTTTAGTATATTGCGTTTCTCCAAATACGGATACACAAACTGTCAAATAAATAAAAAATTATTACACGTTGCATTTTGAATTCTGAAAATGATAATAACTATCAATGATTTCACACTAAAAGGTGATATAAAATGATCATTTTCTGGGAGATAGAGAAACTCTTCCCGCGAAAACATACGAAGGATTCGACAAATATTCAGAATAGCAATCTTTGTCTAACTATAATTGAGACCTTAGAACTTATAACTCAAGGTGGGTGGCGCATCTTATACCTTTAAACAAGCAATTCTTATCAGAAGATATAATTCAGATTATATATATATATATATATATAATCTGAATCTCGGAAACGGCTCCAACGATTTTCATAAAATTTAGTATACAGGGGATTTCGGGGGCGATAAATCGATCTAGCTACGATTTATTTTCAGAAAATGTTGTTTTATTCGTGTTTCAATAATCAACTTTATCGATAATTAACTTTATGACTCTTCCCGACATCTATTGGCGAATAATAATACTATTTTTCTTAATTGAGAGCAACTAACTGCCTTAAAGACACAACAAGATGGCGTTATAAAAAAAAAACCGGTCTTCGTCTAGTTTACATTATAGATGTCTATGGGCTCCACTAACCACTTAACACCATGTGGGCTGTGAGCTCGTCCGCCTTTCTAAGCAATAACAAAAATTCTACTTTAATAAAAACATATCTGAAATGTATGCTACTACATGTATGTCGTTAATTGTGGAAGTCGTATGTAGTGGGCGTTAATTAATTTTAACAGAATTCTAATTACACTTCACAAGTTGTCGTGTTGCAAATACAATTGATTCTAAGAATCGTTAATTAAAAACAAACGTTTGAACCAAAAGAACCTGCCTTCTGCGATACGGGTATTAATATCAATATCCAAACCGGAACGAGGACCTGCATTTGGTCCGGCTTGATTGTAACGAAACCGAACCTTCCGTCCATTTTCGTTGCTTGTAATGTCCATCGTGAGCCCTGAAATGCAATTTTAACTGTGAAATATATGTTAAAGCAATTAACATGTACCAATGGGCTGTTTGGATAGTTTGGCTCTGTTTTCTTGGGCCAAACTATCGTCCAATCTTTTCCGTGTGTGGCACAAATACAATTTAGGATTTACCGGATAACGGACAACAACATACTACTACTACTACTACTACTACAACTACGGGAACTACTACTGCTGTTACTGTTACTACTACTACTGCTACTACTACTACTGCTACTACTACTACTGCTACTACTACTACTGCTACTACTACTGCTACTACTACTACTGCTACTACTACTACTGCTACTACTACTACTGCTACTACTACTGCTACTACTACTGTTACTACTACTGCTGCTACATCTACTACTACTATACTGCGATCACTAACCGGCATTTAGTGTAAGCCCACACTGGTAGGTATCATTATCCTGCCTATTCCAATTCGTGTCTCAAGGTGGACGACCGTATTCACATCGTGTGGTGACACTAAATATTTAAGAGTAGATGAACGCATAAGCATGCAATAAAATAAGTACGAGTACATGATCTTGACCTCCTTTGGTTTCTTTAAGCCACTGAGTTTCTCGCCGGATCTTCTCAGTCGTAGATTCAGCGAAGCAGTGCTCTTGCTAGGGTCAGTAGTGTCCGTAAATAGCTGGAATAGTCCCTCAGGCTACGAGCGAATGAATGAATGAGCGAATTTTTCACTACTTACTTGCCACGTACCATCCGGCTATGGATTGAGCTCCAGCACGGTGTTTCCTGAGCGCTATGACATGTCCTTCTTTAAAAGAGGCTTGTGGAGAGTATTGAGCAGTAGGCAGCGGCTTGGCTATGCTCCTGGTATCGCTGAAGTCCACGGGAGACGGTAACCACTCACCATGAGGTGGGCCGTATGCTCGTCTGCCTACAAAGAACAATGGAATAAAATAGTAAATATTTTGAAACTCACCAGTTGATCCAATAAAGACCAGAAAACTGGTAGTACCGTGAACAGCATTACTATTGACAGCGTCTTCTTGATGTCCCTGATGAAGCGCTTGTCGTAACGATTCTGCGTCGTATCCAGCCAATGCGTATGCTTATTGCTTCTGTTACGTTTTAATACTGCGTTTTTGACACCTAACTATAAATAGATAAGGTCTAATTTAAAATTAATTAAAAAAGGTAGGTAATATTAATAAGGACTAGTTTAATTAATCTCTCATACGATTTTTTTTAAAACGATTATTGTACGAAATTATAATGATAGCCAGGAACAAGTCATTCACGAACGTCTAGCCTCAAAATAGGATTCTGTATAATTATGGGAATTAGAGACACTTATACCCGTTTAAATATACACACAAATATAGACATCAAGCACCCAAATAATGAGCAAACAAAAATGTTCATAACACGAATGTTCCTATGATGCGGAAATAGAACCTAATACTCTCGGCGACGCAGTTAGGGACGTTACTACTGCACAAACAAGTCAGCCAAAGTAAGCATTCACTAGTGGTAGGACCTCTCATGAGTCCGCCAGGGGAGGTATCACCACCCCGTCTATTTCTACCGTGAAACAGCAATGCGTTTCGGTTTGAAGGGTGGGGTAGCCGTTGTAGCTATACTGAGATCTTAGAACGATATCTCAAGGTGGGTGGCGCATTTACGTTGTAGATGTCTATGGGCTCCAGTGACCATTTAACACCAGGTGGGCTGTGAGCTCGTCCACCCATCTACGCAATAAAAAAAAAAGATTTTTGAAAAAAAAAACTAAATAGATTACAATTGTATATCCTTTAAATACATATATACGTGATCGTAGCGCTGTTAACATCTCCGAAATATCGTGAACTCATTAAATACGAAAACCGTGGTAAAAACCCATTAAATAATAGTGTGTGTAGTGTAAATAACAGCGAGTGATTAAAACAATTCGTATCATTAAATACTAGAGCAAGCCTTCAAGCGAGTGAATACAATTCTAGAATACGTATAAACAATAGCATTCCAAACGTGCAGTTACATTTAATCTGGAATTCCCCTCACTACGTGACACAAGCGAGACACAAATAATTCGGCGGTCGCGAAACCGGCTGTCACAGTTTTGTGCCAGTAACTCGCTTATATTAAACATACAGTATTAACATTCCCGATCCTGCGGACAGAATGGAAAGCAGTCGACGTCGCCCAAAACACGTCATCTCGGATCCTCCCGATCCACTAACGGTGCTTTTAGGTACTTCAAGCACCGGTCACCGTTCTCGTCGAACCCGTCGCTTGCGACGAAGGGCTCGACGAGTAAATTAACTCTCAGATATAGCCCACTGAGTTTCTCGCCGGATCTTCTCAGTGGGTCGCGTTTCCGATCCGGCGGTAGATTCTGCGAAGCACGGCTCTTGCTAGGGTTCGTGTCAGCAACGACATCAGGTTTGAGCCCCGTGAGCTCACCTACAAACGTTAGGGTTACGCTGGAATAGCCTCTCAAGGCTATCAGCTTAGGAAGGTTAAAAAAAAAAAACAGTATTAACTTTAACTAGAGGTCCCGTAGTAGTCGAAATTCGACTATAATTAATTGGAATTGTAAGTTTGTACACTATTAAGTTTGTATTTTCAACGCCAAGACTACACTATAGAAAAATATTAGTAAAGACAAACAATATTTAATCTATTCTCAATTTGACCACAGACGTCAAGAACAAAAGTTTGACAAAAAATAAATAGTACCTATGCATGCGTCTGTGTATCAAATACATGGCAATGTGTGTAATGTTTTCTTTATTGATTTAATGTATCTTTCATGCACTATTTTAAAAAAATATTAGCATTGTGCACTTCTTCTCTATATCCTCTATATGTGTGGAAAATTTCATACTTCTCCGTTCGCGCAATTTTCGTAAAAAGGGATACAAAGTTTTTGCTTCACATATTAATATATAGATGTATACAGGGTGTATTGCAGTCGTTACCGCAGCCGAAAAAAGAGTAATGTACCACCCTGTGTAAATAAGATACTTAAGCAGAAAACGTAACATTCGTTTGCAAATTTGAATGCCATTTTAAACGAATCCAGAAATTCAGTGATCAATTATCACAGACCAACTTTACTTATTCTTCTTCTTCTTCTCAGTCGTGTCACTCTTGACAGAGTGGTCGTGATCGTCATGTAGTGTCGTATTAGTTGGTACGTTATTAGATTGTTTATGGCTTTCGAAGATGGTTGAGATCAACAATTCTAAACTATATCTAGCTAATGTTAACTGCTAACAGGCTACGAATTGCCCATAGTTGTGATAGACATCAAGTAATAGAAAAAAAAATCGGTTGTCTGTAAAGTCGGTTTACTGACGATAGTTGAACGTGACAACGTCATAAGAAAATACTGCTGGAATGGTTTCATTTTTCAATTATCGCAATTACCGTTGCTATAAGCAATTGACACCACATTCGACAGATGCCGAACGCTGCCGAACGCCGAGGCCGATTGTGCCTCTTTGTCGCACATTGTGCGCTCTCGCTTGCACTTCAAGCTTTAAATGGAACGCCTCAGAGCGAGGTAACGCCGCATGAGTATGTTTTTTCGTGCGTGCAGCCGGCTCCATCGAATTATAAGACGTTGTCACGTCAAAAATGGTTTTTGAAAAAAAAACCGTGATAGTTCATTCTACACTGCATATTACAAAAATATTTATTTTTCATTACACAGTGCTCAGAATAAAAATTGGAGTATATATTTTTTTAAGGACCCAAGTCTCTGCAACAGTCCAGATACGACTTACTTTATTCGTACGAACATTTTATGCTCTTTTTCGGGGATAAATGTCGGATACTATCGTTACGTACTGCGCGTCTACTTAAGACCGCTTTCGGAGTCTCTCAGGAGGCGTCGACAACATCGTTATGAATTTTATTATGATGTTCTTAATACATAGACTAAATATTTTGACTGTATTGTTATTATAAAAATATTAATTTTAAGTTCTATTCGAGGTATAAAGAAAATAAAACTGGAGGTTTCGCAACAACCCACGGCCATTCGGTAACGTTCGAACTTATTGTGGTACACTTCATTCACGGTTGTTTGCATAAGAGTTAGTGTATTGCGCAAACGAACGCTCTGAGATCGTTGTCAATGTATGATAAAAAAATATGTTATTTTTTGTACGTTATTACAAAGTTAAGTCGTACACTGTGTGCATTACTAATAAAAATCTTACGTTACGGACGTTTTTTCCCGGTTAGGGTACCACTCCGCATCGTCCCATAAAGAGCTTCGTTCCAAAAATAATAATATGGATAAACGATTGTCTTGCATCAGAATACAAAGGCAAAGTGAATATTATACATATTTTTAAATCTATTACTATCCACTTACACATACTTACTGGTGGTAGGACATCTTGTGAGTCTGCACGGGTAGGTACCACCACCCCGCCTATTTCTGCCGTGAAGCAGTAATGCGTTTCGGTTTGAAGGGTGGGGCAGCCGTTGTAACTATACTGAGACCTTAGAACTTATATCTCAAGGTGGGTGGCGCATTTACGTTGTAGATGTCTATGGGCTCCAGTAACCACTTAACACCAGGTGGGCTGTGAGCTCGTCCTCCCATCTAAGCAATAAAAAAAAAAACAATCAATACGACCAGTAAAATGTTGATGTAAATTTTCGCTTTCGCGCATTTTCGTTAAGGACGGGTATCGACCGTGTACCCACTTATGCAAATGCTTCTAGTTATATTCGAATCAGGGATCGTTTAAATTAAAACAAGTTCGCAGTACACATCTGCTTTGACTATTCATTCGCAAATTGATACCGGTCTGTCATCAAAGTTTGCGTAACTAAACAGTCACCGTATATTAACATACTTTCGTATAATACTAATATTAAACTTAACTATAACATTGCCGTGCATATGTTATGATATTTATTCAATTCTATATCAAGCCACAAAAACAAACGAGTTTATTTTGGGGTGAAGCTATGATGAATTGGTTCGAAATGTTATCTATATATTAATACGTGAAGCAATAACTTTGTATCCCTTTTACGAAAATTGCGCGGACGGAGGAGTATGAAATTTTCCACACTTATAGAGAATATAGAGAAGAAGTGCACAATGCTAATATTTTTTTTAAATAATGCATAAAAGATACGTTAAATCAATAAAGAAAACATTACACACACTACATACCATGTATTTGACGCACACACGCATGCATACTATTTATTTTGTACTTGACGTCTGTTGTCAAATTGAGAATAGATTAAATATTGTTTGTCTTTGTTAATATTTTTTATAGTATAGTCTTGGCGAAGTTTGTGATTATAGAAGTATAAAATACAAACATAATAGTGTACAAACTTACAATTCCAATTAATTATAGTCGAATTTCGACTACTGCGGGACCTCTAGTTTGTAAATTAAATCGTAACTAATACTCACAGATACACATTTGACGAAATCGATAACAACATTGCCTTCGGGTTTCTTTATGATGTATTTATTTTTTGCACTGACGAATATAACTGAAAAATAATAAGAATAATAATAATAAGAATCCAGTTTAATATTTCCGATTTATTCAGTCACAAATCCATAAATAAAATTAACGCAATCCTTAAATTACAGATAAATTGAAACGGGAAAATTTATATTTTCAACGGTTCGGGAGTAGATAATGAATTTAATATTAAAATAATATATTATTATAGTCTATTTATTTCTTTTAGGAAGAAGAAACGCGAACAACTTACACACAAAAGTATCTGGGCTATAATAATACATATAAATACAAATAAATGTATAATACAAATAAAAAAATTAAATAAATATAAATACATTTTTTTTTACTAGCGAATAAACTCGAACGTGTTTCGGTCAATAATCACAATGCAATTACATTAATCCTGATCTCGGTATTAAAAAAAATCTATACCTCTCTGGAAAACCAGCTTTCCATTAATGTATTTACAATAATATGAATTTCCTGAACGTTGACAGACAAAGGTGGTTGAATCAGAATTCGAAAAGGGATTCGCGTCTACGTGTGAGTTTCACGAACATTATACGTTCCCAACGACTTTGTGTATTCAAAGCGGAATGCTTGACGTTCAAGATGAAAATCTAAATTGTAGTTATATTATTAAATGCGCTTTGAATATTTATGCTATGCCTCTGAAATTTGCTGAGATGGAACTATTGAATTACCGCCTTCTATACCGATATTTCGCCCGGGCAAGGATATTACAAAAGTAAAAGGTTGGTTCATTCAAGATGTAGGTTCTATTCGGGTTTTTTTTCCTACCTAATTTTTGATTAATGGGGCTTTTCCAACTTCGTACGGACCGGTGGATAAGCTCACGAGCTCAACCTGACCTGAGTAATACGTTTAGGTTTGAAGGGTGGGACCGCCGTTATAACTATACTGAGACCTCAGAACTCATATCTCAAGGTGAATTACGGCATTTACGTTGTAGATGTCTATGGGCTCCAGTATCCAGTTAACACCAGGTGGGCTGTAAGCTCGTCCACTCGTCTAAGCAATAAAAAAAATAAAGGTCTATATCTCATTATTATCTATATTACAATACTAACGGCCCGTTCCGGCTCCGCTCGGGTCTTTAACAAAAATTACAACGATATTTAATGTTGTTTTATTTTTTTTAATAAAAGAACACCTATTGCGGCATAATTATATATAATAATAATAAAATATTCTGTCGCGACACTTTTTGTAAATAATAATGTGTTCTACAAAGTCGTAGTACATTATTTTATTCTATAATGAATAGTTTTTGCAGGGCACGTGATGTAAAGAATATTTTAGGTAATTTTTTTACACCTTGGGTTACATTATTAGAGTTTTAGTAAGGATCCCTAATTTTTTTTTTTTCAAAAAAGATTATAGACTATGTCGCTCGGGAATAGTGTAGCTTCCAAACAGTGAAAGAATTTTTTAAATCCGTTCAGTAGTTTCGAAGCCTATTCAATACAAACAAATCTTTCCTCTTTATAATATTAGTATAGAAGTATAGATATGTATTACGTTTGGAAATGAAAATTGGTATCCGCCTACGACCTTTGATTTTTTAATAATCTTCATTTGGACATTCTGATTTGAAGTTAGTTTCGAGGTCTATGTTAGCTCGCTTCAGAACATATTTACATACGTTTACGTAGTCTATAAAATTAACGTATGCGAGCCCAATACATCCAAACAAGAACAACATTTGTTTTGTTACTCATTAAACTACTTTATTTGCAACCGAGATATATTAAGACTTTATTTATACATTAAACAATGAATTATACATCAAACACGTATTTGATCGTTGTTCAAATAAACGTAATTAGATTCGTTTCACCTCTAAAAGATAATTATTGTATTGATAACAACGATATTGTTACGGAAAACGTAAAGGGAACATAATTTTTCCATAATGACATTAGTTTATGAAGCGGTAGTAGCACTTTAAATAGTTTATTATCACTTATCGGTACCTGTTTCTACCGTAGCGGTTAGATAACGGTATATAACAAGTATTACAAAATAAACAATACAAAACAAAATAATAATAAAAAGTATATGTAGATAAATTGGTTAGAAAAAGTCATGAAGTCAAATATGCAAAAGCAATAAGATAATAAAAACATGCATTTTCAATGCAAAAGTTCAAAATGGGTCATTTGACCCGTTATGGTATGTTTAGTGTCAGGAAATAAATACATGCAGACATGGGCCTGCACCGCTATCTTGCCGAAATCTGCCGCAAAGCAATCATGCGTTCCGATGTAAAGAACAGTCGAAGCAATACAATTGAGACTTCACTCATGTGGCTTACAGTGGATAATGGTGTTCACATTGCGAAGTCTATATGACTCCAGTGCGCCTTTAATACGAGGGAGGGGAGGGTTTAAATTTCAATAAATGTACATATTATTTCATAAGTTGTAGCATGATAAAAAATCTTTTTTGTTTCCCTAATATTAGTGACATCGTCATCATCATCACATGGCTAATTGCGCCACCCACCCTGAGACGTGAAGTTAAAATCTGAATTGGGTTCTTCGCTGTAGCAATAAAGAGAGCAGTGGCATCTAATTTTGCTTACAAGTCGATTTGAAGCTCGGCACCATCGACGCGAGTGTTACTCATGACACGACCATATTTTCATTTAACAGGAGCATTAATACGGTATCTTTCACTTACCTATAGACATAAGCACAACAAGTCCGGGAGCACCAAAAGCCAACGAATAACAATCTTTCTCTCCGAAACAATGTACCTCGGATCTCATGATGGGCGACACGGTCTTCGCAATGAGACTCCCCACACAGAGATTAAAATACATTATACTGAAATACGCGGCGAGATGACTCTCCTGTTCGGGTATTTTGAACTGATCTCCTCCAAAAGCGGTGACGCAGGGCTTTATGCCTCCCGTGCCTACTGTTATCATGAACAGACCGATCAGAGTGCATAATCTGCGAAAGGAAAAGGCTATAGACGAATCTCCACACCAAAGTATTAGCGCAAACACGAATAGGAATATGGCTCACATACATCAAGTGTATCTGTATTATTGCTTAGATCAGATAGAAAAACTAAATCTTTTGAGTAATAATCGTAAAGTTATCATCGTGGTAACTAACCATTTTCCAAACGAAATAAAGATTGAAGTTGCCTTGGTAGCTGTATTTAGCCAAAGGTCACAACGGTCAGCGGATGTGGAACATCCAGTTTTTTGAGATTAAATCATAAATGAAAAACACTGGTGAGTATCGTAGCNTTATTGCTTAGATCAGATAGAAAAACTAAATCTTTTGAGTAATAATCGTAAAGTTATCATCGTGGTAACTAACCATTTTCCAAACGAAATAAAGATTGAAGTTGCCTTGGTAGCTGTATTTAGCCAAAGGTCACAACGGTCAGCGGATGTGGAACATCCAGTTTTTTGAGATTAAATCATAAATGAAAAACACTGGTGAGTATCGTAGCAATTCTATTTGAGGATTTTAATATTTCATCCATTCAAATTCGTAGCATGGAAAAGTGCTAATTTACATTTTTGACAATCATTTACAAATCAGATTATCGCGTGTCTTACATATTTGGCTAAGTATACTCGTAATTGAACAGACAAGACCGTTCATCATGGTTTAAGGAAATTAGACACATTGATAATTATAATTTTTATCATCTTTGTTGGATATAGCACGGCTTTTAGGAATAAATTTTTTAATCATTAAAACTTAAAAGCATTTTGAATGTAAATCAATTATTTTGTATTCTAGGTAAATAACATAATACGAAATTTGAACAAAAAGAAAAACCGACTTCAAGAGAATAAAACGACAAGATCATTAATACCTATAGTTGAAATCAATTAAATTTGTCTTATTAAGGAACTACTCAGATCTTGATTAAATGGGATCACATGAGAAGCACCAGCTTTTAAATAGAAAGAGGAATCATCAAAAGGGGTTCAAGTAGAAAAAACTTCTGAACGAACACACTAAAAACAGTCGTTTCTTCTTTTTTGAAGTCGGCTTAAATTAAGTTGCCCAAATAAAGAACAGAGAATTTCGGACCTACGAAGGCCTTTATCTCACTAAAAGTTAATTAAACCCTGTAAAATGTATGCCCCACTTCCCAATTTAAAGCCGGGCCGCTAACATTTTCCGCATTGGGTTGTGAAACTTACAAGTACATTCTGGGCCTCGTGAAAAAAAAAGGATACTGAAAAAAGGTCCAACATTTTGACCGATAAAACATGATTTACGTATTAATTCAGCTTAATTTCACACGGATGACGCCATCGGGGAATGCTTATCAGATGGTTTTCGCAAATTCAGTTTACCCAAAATAAATTCGTGATATTCTTATAGGGCGATGCTATTGCAAGTGCACATGTGCGTTGTTACAATAACCGTTAAACTGACGATAAAAATCCATCGAAAAAAATCGGTTGTCTGTAAAGTCGGTTTACTGACGATAGTTGAACATGACAACGTCATAAGAAAATACTGATAGAATGGTTTCATTTTTCAATTATCGCAATTATCGTTGCTATAAACAATTGACACCACATTCACTTTTCGCAAATTCAGTTTACCCAAAATAAATTCGTGATATTCTTATAGGGCGATGCTATTGCAAGTGCACATGTGCGTTGTTACAATAACCGTTAAACTGACGATAAAAATCCATCGAAAAAAATCGGTTGTCTGTAAAGTCGGTTTACTGACGATAGTTGAACATGACAACGTCATAAGAAAATACTGATAGAATGGTTTCATTTTTCAATTATCGCAATTATCGTTGCTATAAACAATTGACACCACATTCACTTTTCACTGAACTTCATACTTGACGAAAACATGTACGCCTCAGAGCGAGGTAACGCCGCATGAGTCATGTTTTACCGTGCGTGCAGCCGGCTCCATCGAATTATAAGACGTTGTAACGTCAAAAGTATATTATGTAATTACGGATATCAATATTTTTTAAATCAAGTCTAATTCAGGGCTCGAGCATAATCTAGGTTGCTCAGATACTTAGTCTTTGTGTCATCGTGTACCATTCCACTCATAAAAATAATAAGAATGTAAGCATTTATTTCAGTTTTCATAAGTCGCTAACATAATTTAAGCTACTTTAACGTTTTAATCTCTCCTTTTTTGTTCCGATACCTCAAATGCTTTACAGTTTTCGTAATCATCACGGATCACTAAAGTATTAATAGTCGATATTTCACAATCTATATACTATCTACTGATATTCTATAGCAACTATATATCTAGACAGTCACGTTTCTTTAATTAACAATATTGTTATCTTTTAGACAGCTAAAAAAGAGACGGGTGAATGAACTCACGGTCCAACTAGTGTTAATCGATTACTCAGTGTGCTTAGTGCGAGTTTTTTACGTTCTCGATAGCGTAAAACTTAACTCAAATTTGTATGCAGTTGGAACAGCGCCTCTAGCGGCAAACGTAGGCAAACGTTCCAACTCCATACAAATTTGAGTTAACTTTTACGCGATCGAGAACGTTAAAAAATTCGCAATAAGCGCACAGGTCGATAAATATCACAAGGTGAATGCCATCACCCACTTTAGTTATAAGATTTAAGTCTCTATAGTAAAGCGGCTGCCCTACCCTTCAAACCGTAACGTATTACTACTTCGCGTCAGAAACAACGTAATAAATGTATTAAATCCTAAAACCTATTGTATTGAATAACGATGGTATTATTATTACGTTTATATAAAACATAAAAATATACTAGCTGTGTCCTTACCTTCCAGGTAGAGCGAAATGCGGTATTGCAGTTATTGCAACCAAAATGTTACCTGCCGCATACACGAACATCATATACAAAATTGTCCTAGAAATCGCAAAACTTGTTTTAAAAACAGAACAATTATTTATCCTACAATACAGTAGGTAACAAGAAATTTTATTTATTTGTATTCATCAGGGTTGCCCATAGAATTTACAGTAAAGCAAAAATATGATATATTTTTTTTAAATATTAAAACACTTCACAACTGTAGGTATGTCTTATAAGAAGGAACGTCAGTAATCAACAAAAGCGAACCTCACCTGAATTTTCCAAGGTAATTATCAGCTAATATGCCCCCAATAATCGGGAAAACATATACTAATGTACTAAAAACGTGATATGTTTCAGTCGCACCATCGTCTGTATATCCCAGCTTACTTCTTAAGTATAATGTTAAAAAAGCTGTAATAAACAATAAACAGCTTAAAATTTACTTCATAATAACAAAATGCAAAAATCGCAGCTGTTAAAATATATCCTTATTTCAGTTAATCAATAAAAAACTAAGCACCTAAAATCTAATTACCTCTCATTCCCGAATAAGAGAATCGTTCACAAAATTCGGCCAGAATGATAATAATAACAATTCCGGGAAAACGACCCGAACTCTGTAAATAAATTCGTTAAAGTATTACTGTCGCAAAATGATGTACCAATATTCACATTCTTTTAAACTTAACAAAAAACCTTATTCACTCCATTACTGGTGCCAAACGATTTTTCCTCAGTCATTTTTTCTAAATAACAACTCGATCCATTAAGGGCTACACGACACACGTCTTACATGTACCTTCTCGATTTATTTATAATTTCAGCGTTCTGATGTAAATTTGTTAAGCACATCCTATCATTAGAACAACACGCACGTGCATTTGGCAGTTCAAACAATTTATTGAGACAGTAATGCTTTAATAAACACAAACAATAATATTAAACTATTTTAAGTGCATGAATGTTTACAAAGAATATCATTGAAATAATGTCATGCTTCTTTGTTGTTCAAGTAACGATTTAATATTCTGAGGACGATGTGAGTATTTGAATTAAAACGACAATGAACATCCTCCAAGATAATGTACTTAATTTTCCGCGAAATATTCGAGTGTTCTAGTCTGAAGGTATTAGAAGAAAGTATTAATACGTGACAAGCATCTCCTTCAAACTATATTTAGATACCTAAGAGCAATGCAAGCAAGACAAGTCACAAAAAACTAAGCAGTGACTCAATGCTACCTATTATCAACCGACTGTATTTATTTATAATACAATACAAACTTTAACAAAAAGTAAAACCGGCTTCAACAAAATAAAATGAGAATATCATCAATATAGTCGAAATCAATTAGAAATACAATTATTATGGATAACTCAATAACTACTAGTCGTCTTGATAAACCAAATGAAAAGTACCAGATTTCGATTTTAAAAAATCATCAAAATCGGTTCACCTAGGAAAAAGTACTCAGATAAGAGACAAAAACAAATCAGTCGAATTAATAAACTCGGCCTTTTTTGAACTGTGCTAACAAAAGTAGAGGAAGGACCTAATAAATTATAATATTATGGTCTGCAGAATTAACTTCGCTAATTATTAACAATTTATTTGATAGCAGTTCTGATTTAGTATTATGTTCTTCAGAGTTATTTGGAAACATCTTCAACTTCCGATATCTTGCTAACTGAAAAGCGAGTAACGATTGTTCTTATTGAGTTTCTCAATTAAAATCATCTGCCCCCATGACTATCTAACATTATCACTACATACAAACAGAGTCGCTTTCTCTGTCCCTATATCTGTCTGTCCCTATGTATGCTTAATTTTTTTAAACTACGCAACGGATTTTAATGCAGTTTTTTTTAATAGATAGAGTGATCAAGAGAAAGGTTTATATGTATAATATAACATCCATTAAATAGTGGAGAAATACTGTTAACAATAATAAGTTACAGTTCCCTAAGCGAAGCGAGGGCGGGTCGCTAGTAATATATATATAATACATAACTACAAAATAAAACAGTATTTTTTTTAAATTTGGCTCGAAACGTTTCAACTAAAAATATTGTAAGAATGTAGAGAGGCAGATAATGTCAAATCCATGTTGCGACATAACCTGAGAGTTTATACAGTACTGATCTCATTGTTAATAGAAGATGCCAATAGTCTAAAAGGAGTTAGTTACCTTTTGTTTCGCTTTCAACACAGTATTATCATTATATTATTTATTATAATCTAAGACGGAAGCAGAATGAAAATCTAGTAAATTACTTCCAACACATCACAGGATTATGTATACAATTAGAAACTCGTGGTCAAATAAAACATGTCTCCCCATGCCCCATTTGACGACGAACCGAAGTCGTCGTGGCCTAAAGGATAAGACGTCCGGTGCATTCGTATCTAGCGTTGCACCGGTGTTCGAATCCCGCAGAGCCGTAAGTTTCGTGTAGTCTGTGTGGTCGGTGGAGATCGATGGGGTTTAGTCGGTAGTCGGTTCTGTGGAGCAGTGCGTCGCGCACCTTTTTCAAGGCGTAGTCTCCTGTGAGAAATTGAAGGAGATGGAGGAGCTCGATCCTTCTCTTCTCCCCTTTTTCCTCTCAGGAGGCACCGGAGTCCGACATAACCCGGTTCGTTACCTGCTCGACCGGGTATCCGATAATGGATTCACCAGCGTTAAAAAAAGGCGGGTACCAAATTTTCTGATGAAATACGTACTTTCTTCACGATTGACTTCCAGTAGGAATTCCACGAAGGAATAACACCGTGTAATAAAAATGAAACCCGCCAAATTATAATTTACCTTAGCAGACTTTTTTGAAAAAGAACCTGAGAAGCCACTGCTTCCGAATTAATTTGTTTCATTTTACCACACTTACCGTCAGTAAGTCACAATTATTACACATTTCACTTAAGAGAAATAATAAATTAATAATTTATAACTATGCAATTTTTACTCCTGGCCTTCCCGCCATAAAGTCTCAAAAACTATATATTCCTTCTCTAGCAGATCTTTACGTTTCAGGCTAATCTTATAAACTGTTCACCCTAAAATATTGTTAGAATTTAAATAAATATACTTATTTGTTTGGACCTAACGTGTGCATGTCGATGCTTAAATAGGCAACACAACAATTATGCAAGTCGTGTTTAACGTGAATAATTAGTATACAATATCATACAATTAAAATATTAAGAGTATAGTTTTAGATGTTTCAATTTTGGCGGGCTTCCTATTGTTACTATTATTATAATTATGTGCGTTGAGAACGTTCCCAGAATTACAGCTTCAGGACAGTACAGCACAATACATGGTATGGGCTATATATAATCCCATTGCTAGATAGTGAACAAAAAGCTTGTAATTTTTTATCTTTAATAAAATTGTACGATATATCCTACCCTTAACAACCAAGTTTTTAAACCCAAAGGTATGTTTATCAAACGATTTTTGTTATTGCTTAGAAATTGCTTGTTATACGCTTAATCTGTAGTAGCATTATGTAAATTAAACAATTCTCTTAACTTATATCTCGCGTTCCTGAAAAAGAATCTTAATACTAGACTATACAATGAAATAAATACTCATTTTCGTATACCCAACCCAAAATGCCGTTGTACCAGTAGCTACCTCTTCATGGCATCACTGCGACACAATAAACCCCATTGTGGCCGCGCCTGACCATAGCCCAAATTCTAGTAGACGACCTACACCATTCATTCACGATGGCGGTTACCATACTCATCAATATCCACTCTCGTGCAACCGCTAACGCTAACGCTAGCAGCAGCTAAAATTGAAATCACCGTCCTCGTCAAAGTAGCCCACGAGTTGTTAAGCCTAGAAAGCGTTAACGCAAACGTAGTATTAAATTGATAAAAAAAATGTGATTCTATAACTATTTTTATTTCACTCCATTCAATATATTTACACGTTATTTTTATTCCACTTTTCCTATGAAAAACATTCTTCCAATATATTTTTTCCAATTCCAAGATTTAATACTATGGGCTAGGTTCCCTTTGCCTGACTAATCAGACAATTCAACATCAAATTCAAATTTTCTTTAAAACGGTTACGGTAGTGGTAATAATTCATGAAAAGTTGGTTGTTAACGTAAATAACTGTAGAACGTGTGTTAATTAATATATAGTTAAAAGCAGTTTAAGTCGATTAATGATTCAAAAGAATACCACGATTTATAGTTAGTGTTTATTATATTTGTGTTTGTTGTGTCGTGAGATGATAGATTTCAATGAAGCGTTATCTTAAAGTTGTCAAAAAAAAAAATTGTTCACATCAACCAAATATAAATATGTAGTTTATCCTTAAAAACATATTGCATCCTCCGAGATGTTGTGTGTAACCCGATACGGGCTTCAAGGATGTCACTGAATTTACAGTGTTCAAACTCTTCGGAATTCAGCAAGCTGCAAGCAAACCGAATACTGATAATTTACTGTTACTACGGAACAGTTACATTTTCTTTTGTAGAGTTTAATAGAAGCAACAATGCCAAGTTCAAAGATACCATCGCCCACGCGCTCCCAAGGTTCTCTGCTAACGCCGCGCCGCCACAGGACACGCAGTACCCGTAGCGTAGGCTCCCCAGCTCGTTCCAATACACCAAGCCGGCTGACTGCTATCATCATGCAAAACAAAGAGCCATCTTTCGTCTTATCACCACTTCCAACCCGGAGATCTGTATTAAATGATGACACTGAAGTGGAGGAACCACAACGTAAGTGAAATATTTAAACTAAGTCTATTAGTTTAAAACTTGATATTTATAAATTCAAACATAATTTTTTTCTAATGACCCTGCTACTATCTGATAAATTATTTGGAGAAGAGAAAATTGCAAGCCCTGTTTGTACTATTTTTCAAGCCTCTTGATCTCTTTTGGTGATCGTCCTCGTGTGTTACAAAATGGTTAGAGATAGTTTTATTGTAACACAGCTATACAAGCTTGAAGGCAGCTCATACATTTGTGACTTGCTAAAAATTTAACACAGTCTAAGATGATTAGGTACTTTTGACTCCAAAATGGAAAAGATAAAATGTATACATTATTTGTTTATTAAGCTTAATAAATAGCATACAGTGAAAGTACTTTTCTTTTTGTTTTTTCTTGAGTTCACTTCTAAACTTATGTGGTTATATAAATAGTGTTATTTAATGCGCTTATTGCTAGAACCTTTTGCTCCAGCTGATTTGTGGTGTATTTACATTTGTTAGTGTATAAAAAGAGGAAAATCTAGCATTGCTTGTCTTAATTTTTAGAAATGATTTCAATAGATGCAGTATAACACAAATCACACTTTGTTTGGCTATACTTCAGCATATTACTTAAATTTAATTTTTTTATACTGTAGTCTACATGATATATTACACAGTTACTTATTTTACCTCTCAATTTAAAAACTTAAGCTCGTAGCTAAAGTGCTTCACAATAGCGTATATCAGTATGGAATAACAAATCTTATGATAGATGGTTTATTGAAATATGCCACATCAATAGAAAAAGTTAAAGAATAAGCTTAAAAATTGAAATTAAAACACATCTTCATCCGTGCTGTGATGTCAACCAAACCTTACATTAACAATACTAAAATGAATATAAAGAAAAACCAATACATAAATAAAACTGCCTCTAAAAATGCTCTAATGAAACCAGAGGATCTTAAAAGTGAGAGTAATGAGTCAGCTTAGTTATTTATCAGTAAATACTGGTATGTATGCTGATCACCTTACTCTGCAATTACTTCCCCATCATCCTATTATTAGTATATCTACCTTATATTTCTACCTCCTTCATTGTACTAGTTTACCTTATCTCCCACAGCAGGTGACATTTTTTACAGTGTGGTGAAAGTTATGAAGTATCTGATATATGCTTAACAACAAAATAACCAAGTTCTTCTCCACTACGTGTTGTAGTAACTATGCACTACGAACTATCCAACTCGAGAAATAAAATATAATAAATATTTAGTGGAAAAAACTTATGGAAAATAATAATAAATCAAAAGCCAAGGAGTCATTTTCACAAATAAATAAATAGTATTTTTGCATTTTTTAGGATTCATATCATACACATAGTTTAAACTAGTTTTAGTGTTTAATTCCATGTTTTATTGTCATCAAATTGATTTCTGTTTTTATAAATATTTTAGTTTTCATGATCACAAATGATTGAGAATGTAAAAGAAGTAAACCTTGAAAAGAGTTTTCATGAAAATTAAGTAGAATAAAATATCAAAATTGTACTTATAATTCATAACCATTGAGATTATAATGAATATGTCTTTTATTTAATCATTTGTTGCTAACTTTGGAAATTGAATTATTTATAGGTAAGAGCTGGTGGAGAAAATTGGATGAAAACTCCAGAGATATTCTTGAAGTATTGGAAGGAAATAAAGTTGGAGAAACATATGAAGCAGTTGAAGAAATACTTAATGTGGAAATACTGAGGTGAATATTTAATATAAGTGCTCTTAAGTATCACAATCTAGACATTATGTTTACCTGAAGACCTGAAAATATGTATTATGAACTGTTTTTTTTTTTTTTAATATAAATTGTGAGAGTTGAACCAACTACAAACAACTCTGCACTTTACTTCTAAGAAAGACCTCAGTCACAAGAAGAAGATGGATAGAGCTGGATCATGCAAAATACCACTATCACCTTATAAGATATTGGACTAGTCATGGTTGGCTATACTTACTATGGCCTATCACAGAGGGCGCCACCTGCATCTGCGGCCTGTATATCAGATTGAGTCAGAACAATTATAAGTGAGGGAAGACTTGAATATAATGATAAAATGCAAAGAGAGAATGAGTTATCATTTTCGTTCTTTTACCAATCCAACACTCAAATAACGAAAAGAACCGCACAAAGCTCGCTTATCCTAATCCCACTAATGTAGAGAGAAGGGTTATGCCACACCCTAAATATTCTTCTAAGACCGGTCAATGAACATCTCAAACATGTCGGTGTGTTCTGCGTCAAGCTTACATCACAATGTGAATCAGTCAGTAAGTTCAACAATGGCACCAGCACTTCGCCATAAGCTCTATTTTAATGTGACACAGACACTCGACACAAATAAACTGTTGTAAGAGCCTTGTGCTTTAATATAATCTTTCATTTATCCATAAATCTTTAATTGGTTTTTTTTTTCAGCCAAGAGAAAAAGAACTACACCTCAGATTTACCAGACAGTAGTGACAGTGAATCAATTAATAGTATAGTTATGCCACAAAGAAAGCTTTTCATACAAAAAGAAAATTTACCTCAAAAAAAATTTGGGCAACTCATTGACAATAGAGAATCATTAGCTAATGTTGATAAAACAACAGCTCATGAGAAATCAGTCACTGTAACTACGAAAAGCCTCTTTCAAAACAATAAACGAAAGCGTGTATTTCCAGCAGCTGCATTAAACTTATCACCAAATAAAACTGCAGTAGACAAAACAAAGCAATTTATTGTAGATCCTCCACAAAACCAAGCTCGAAACATATTCGGATATCGTCCAGCGGCTAAAAGAAAGAACATGTTTGCCGAGTTCATTGTTTCTGAGAGTGAAGACGAAATTTCCGAAATTCAACCAAAAGTCTTTGAATATCAAAAGCAATTCGACCATCGACGCTCTAGGGTTTCTAATTCGAGACCTATTAGAGAGACTTCACCTGCATCAAGTATAACAACTGATATGGAATTGGATGATTGGAAATATCTGCCATCTTCTACAATAGTTGAAAGTCATGACCAAAATCTCACAGAAAACCACGCCAATACTATAGTTTTAAAAGAACACGATCCAAAGAAACAAGTATCAACTCAACATGCTCAACAACCAAATGATGAGGATCACGAAATGGTATGCGAGAATAATGTTGACCAAAAAATGTTTCAAGATAAAGAAACAGATAACAGACAACAAGGTATAACGCCTTACAACAATGACAGAGGAAATAATACTAGTAACAAGGATCAAACTCAAAAAGAAGCAGTTGAAGTAGAACATTGTCACAACGAGTTTCAAGAAAATCAACAAAACATTACTAACAAACAGAAAAACGCAGGAAATATAAGTAATGTCGACAATTCTGGCGAACAGGCCGATATTTTTACTCCACAGAATGAAGAAATTGTCGAGCAGGAAAATGAAAATAATGACTTCATAAAACCAGAGAATATTGGTAGTCAGAATAATATTGATATTGAAAAACACGCAAATAATGAAAAAAACAATCATGTTGAAGAAGTTGATCAAAATGCAGAAACTGAAGAAAAAATACATCATTCTAATAATACTGATATATCATCTGAACAAAATGCTGAAGTAATAGCTTCAAATGAGGAGGAACAAATGAACAGCCATGGAAATGAGACTGGTATAGAAGAATCGGATCAAAACGCAGAATCAGAAGCGTCGTGTGCTGAAGAAGAACAAGAAGAAACGGTTCATGAAGAATGTGAAAGTGAAGAAAATAATTCTGAACGAGCACTAGAAGATTCGACTGTCGAAAATAACGATGAAACGGAAATTCATGAGAGAAGTGGAGACCAAATTCGAGAATCAGATGAAGATTTAGAAATTGATGAAAATGTGGAAAGAAGTGAATTAGGAAACGAATCCAACGCAAGTAATGACGATGAGCATTTGTATTTAAGTGATGATAATGATGATGAACCCGAAAACAGTGCCGGAGCTGATATAAATGTAAATGATAATAGCCCCAACACTGATAATATTGACAATAACGAAATCACAGATCGAAGTGAAACTCTTGAAAAAGTAAATTTACCTGAAGCTATTTTACACGATAAGAAAAATGAGTCTGACTTATTTACCATGCAGGGTAACAATACTGACCTTAGAAAAACTAAAAGCATGATGCTCACGAGTATCAGGCCAAGTTTGTTACCGCCCGTAGAAAGTACAAGTATGACAGATGGGACAAGAAATTCTAGCGCTGAGGGTTCTGGATGGGATTCTCACAGAACTACAAGGAAGACACTTCGGCAAACATTTGGTAAGGATTTCACACCTCGAAAATCTTTACGAGCGTTAGTAATGGAAAAGTCTGCTAAGAGACAGACTGCACTTGTTGATGCCAAAGAAATTTCTAAAATGCCACAAGCAAATTCTACAGAGATCCCGGAATTTAATGATGACTACCATGAAGCAGAGGAATCAATCGAACCAACAAATCATGAAATATCTAAAAATACTCGTCAAGCAACCTTAGAATTATATTTGCAGAAAATAAAGAAAAGCAACATGGAGAAAAACATCAGAATAGTAAGTTATGTGCTAACTTATTTTAAGTTGCATATTTTCACAACATAAATCAATAATTTAAACAAGTCTAGTATTACTTCATTAATTTACCTTATTCGTTACCAGGAACAAGAAGTAAGAAACTCCCTTAAAGCCATGAAACAATGCAAACAAAATGTAAATATTTTCAAAGTCCCTGCCAAGCCATTATTTGCAAGACATTCCACAAAACCAGTTCAAAACAAAAATAAAGTGAGAGAAATGAAATCATCTATGCCACTGGGTGATCTACCCCCTGAACTGCTGGAGGATATGAAATATAAACCGCCAAAAAGATATCAACCAAAGAACGCTTCGTGGACTACAAAGAGACTGTACAAATATTTGGAAGACAAATTAGAACCGAAGTAAGTTTTCGCCATTTCCAAAATTGTCAAAACTACGATAAGTTGACTATAAAACAACTTCGCTGTAATTAAATATTTTATAGTAATGACCTGAAATAAATTAGTCATAAGAGATATTTTACTGTAGAAATAGGTACCAGTGATTCCTGAACATGACAATAAAAAAAATCGTGATGTAAATAATAGATCTTGTTAAATAACAGAGACGTAGTCCAATCTCGTGTGATGGACCAAAGTCTGCAAGCTGCCTTTATCGTAAAGTATACGATAACAGTTCATGATCTTGCTAGAACAAACTGAGAAGTTGTTAACTTAGCAATATATAGAATATTTTCTGCTTCTGTTAAGGCTAATATTTGGCATGGTCCGTGGGTAGGTACCACTGTCCTACCTATTTCTGTCGTGAGGCAGTAATACGTTTCGGTTTGAAGGGTGGGACAGCCGTTATAATTTAAAAACTAAGACCTTAAAAATCATGTCTCGAGATGGGTGGCGGCATTTACGTTGTAGATGACAGGTTTATGGGATTGTGTGTATGTGGGATTGGTCAGCAACTGCGAACCGCGAGCCCAAAGATGTTTTTAGGGTCTTACTACATTAAACGACTCCCCTGCACTCTTACACCCGACGTTCGATCTCCTTCCTGGGTCAGAACCCGGTCAGAGTAGGGAGGTTTCCGCGGTCAACACTACAACCAGACACGCGGCGCCACCCCTAAGACGCTCGACCGACGGGTCGTCGAGGCTATAGTTGACGATGACTATGGGCTCCATAAACCACTTAACACCTTGTGAGCCGTGAGCTCGTCCATCCATCTAAGCAATAACAAAAAGGACAATTGTTAATGCACTATTATTAAAAGTCGATAAGCTGCCTCCTCAACGTTTTTTTTTTATTGCTTAGATAGGTGAGCGAGCTCACAGCCCACTTGGTATTACAAATTTGGTTACTGGAACCCATAGACATCTACGACGTAAATGCGCCACCCACCTTGAGATATGAGTTCTAAGGTCTCAAGTATAGTTACAACGGCTGCCCCACCCAACGCATTACCACTTCACAGCAGAAATAGGCAGGATGGTGGGTACCTACAGGGTAATGGTTACATTTTTTATATTTTTGTTTTCTAGATACGACTACAAGGCTAGAGTTCGAGCCGAGAAGCTTGTTGAAACGATCTACCATTTCACTAAAGAGGTAAAAAAGCACGAGGTGGCACCTAACGACGCAGTAGACGTGCTCAAACACGAGATGGCGCGCTTAGATATCGTCAAAACACACTTTGACTTCTATCAGTTCTTCCACGATTTTATGCCCCGAGAAATAAGGGTTAAAGTAAGTTGTTTTTTCTTTTTTCAAATTTTCAATTAACTAGCTTAAAAACGTGTAGTGTAATAAAGCAATGTAACCTAAATTACAGGTCGTACCCGACATAGTGAACAAGATCACGATACCAAGAAACGGAGTTTTCTCGGAGATTCTAAGTGGGCATACGGTACATGCGTAATTTTAGTTGAACTATTGTTGTTGACCTCTTTTTATTTAAAATGAAGTGATTGTAATTGATAATTAAAAACGTTAGAAAAAAATGTAGATTTTTCTTTGACAACTTGAAGTAGTGGACATGGTGAACACACCGTGAATTATTTTTAAAACTCATTAATTTCACATAAATTTCGTGACACGTAAGCGGGCTGGATGTGAACGTGCTCATATTAACAACCAGAAATTGAGCGGTTGATTTGGATATCGTATTGAAAGTTTTCAAACATTGTTATTTTTTTTTAAATATAACAAACTAAAAAATGGGAATATTGTACACCAAACCAATAAAAAAGGCAGCTTTAATAGGAATGAGATTTGCTATTGGGAAAGTTAAATTGAGATTCTAGAATGCTAACCTGAATATTATTAACAGGATCCGGTAAAACACCTATGAAGCTAATAGTCGTCGTCGTGGCCTAATGGATAAGACGTCCGGTGCATTCCTGTTGTGCGATGCGCCGGTGTTCGAATCACAGGCGGGTATCAATTTTTCTAATGAAATACGTACTCAACAAATGTTCACCATTCATTTCTACGGTGAAGGAATAACATCGTGTAATAAAAATGAAACCCGCAAAATTATAATTTGCGTAATTACTGGTGGTAGGACCTCTTGTGAGTCCGCGCGGGTGGGTACCACCACCCTGTCTATTTCTGCCGTGAAGCAGTAATGCGTTTCGGTTTGGAGAGTGGGGCAGCAGATGTAACTATACTTGAGACCTTAGAACTTATATCTCAAGGTGGGTGGCGCATTTACGTCGTAGATATCTATGGGCTTAAGTAACCACTTCACACCAGGTGGGCTGTGAGCTCGTCTACCCATCTAAGCAATCAATAAATAAAAATTAGAATGTATTTTTCGTCTAACATCGCATAAACAAAAGTAACATTGCAAAATGTCCCATTATTTCTAAAAATAAGATGTAAGGCGCGTGAAAGAGCACTTAGAGTAATTTGAACCAATAAAACAACTATTACGGACTATAGGACTTGTTTATTTTCATAATCGGATACAATATGTAAACCCATAATACAATGGAGCACCATACAAAAGTTCTACTGCAATATCTCTACAGGTACACATTCCTGGTCACACTAAACTTCTGTAACTTTATGAGCTATCGGCAACAGATTGTTTATACCTAGTTTCGAGTACAAAAGTATACAAACAACGTCACTATAACATCATTCTTGCTCGTTTATATTTGTTTGAACGTATATTCAAGTGATTATTCTTAAACATCTAAATTGGGGCAAATTCAGACATCGCCTTGAGTACATATTGTAAGTGCTAAAATATCTCCGTAGTGGAGAATTGAGACTGTGTAATACTAAAATTATAGCATACTTTAAGAAAGTTTCAATTTGTGACCATTTTTACATTACTTAAAATGAATAAAAAATTCACAGTTTATTGTTTATTAGTGTAAATAGTAAAATTGATTAATGAATTGGCACTATTAAGACACTATTTTGTAGAGTTACAATCACCCACCAATATTCACATTCTTCTCTTATGTACTAATCTAATTTCTAATCGATCAATTTTTATTTAGGTGTACATACTGTTAGGTTTTTATGAATGAGGCATTTAGGGTCATACATAGCACACGATATTTTTAGCATCATCGATTGACTATTCTATAAGAAACAGACACAGTGTAAAATGCAAGGTGCCGAATGAATAGGATACGTCTATACTCTCACTCGGTTGGTTTTTTTTGGGAATTTACAAAATTTTGTGAATTTCCTTGAAAATCATCATGGATTTGAAGTTCATTCAAATATCACGAATGAATGAATGAATATGAATTCTGATGATGTCAAATTTTCCGTCGGTGTCACAAAACTATTTCGTCAAATCCATTAGCCATTCGTATCTCATCTTTCTTTCGTCTTTATTTGATAGTACCTATTACAAGCCCCCTGTACTGATAAGAACAGATAAACTTTTTTATAAAGTGTTCGGACCATCAAACTAACGAACTTTTGTTCGTTTGTTTAAGTATGTTGGTCGGCAATGCGTTCTAAAACCATTCATATGATTCTGATGAAACTTGATACAGGTATTGTTGGCACTGCAGAGAAAGTTTCTGTCACACAACGATCAACGCACGTTAGTTGCACGCGAGTAGTTTCCAGAAACCTATGTTTTTCGCACAGCTAGAGAATTCTGTCTTTAAGGGAGCGCGACCGGGCTTCACTAATCCTTAATAAAAATTTACAAAAAGTCCACATTATTATTTTCGAACTTTTTAAAATAGAATCGACATCTCTGATGGCAAAATTATCGTATGCTCTAAATACGTCAAATTATTGTAAAAATACAATCATTTCGGTCGTGCCGTAAGTACGTTATTTGAAATATGAAACTTGATTTGTTCCATTAATTTATTAAAAGGGCTTTTCTAGACATCGATTCTTGTTAGACTATCGTCCGAAATTTTGCCGTAGGCGCTAATTAGGTTAATAGAGATATCAGGTAGCAAATTACGTATTCTTATCGTTATTTGCAAACTTACAAAAACAGACTATTACCACAATACCGGAAACTACAGTTTTGTTAAATGTTATATTGACAATTTAGTTATTAATATTTTAAAATAGCGTTACAAGAAAAACTAGAAAATATCATTATAAGGCGTATCTGTCTGGCGTATTTCTGTAATATTACATTGAATATTTCCCAGCATTCTCTAATACTGTTACGACAATATCACCAAGTCCGAAATTATTATTCTTTAATAATTATTTAATATATGGCGCTACGTACATACACAAGTAAAATCGACATAAAAACAATCAGAACAAATGTATAAACGTAAACTAATATAATTAGCTACATATTGCTTCATATTTCATAATAATTCTAAGTACCTAAATCTAAAAAAGCGAATAATAAAGCCGATGATTACAAAAATAAAGCATAATAAATGTAGATTCGGAATTAAAATGGAAAATTATTATTGTTTTAACTTAATACATGACACTTCATAATATATATTGAGAGAGACGTAATATGCAGATAACGGTAGGAAATATTCCTGTAAATAATGCAATTTACAAAAGTGTTCATAATAAGTGTCCAACAATTCACTTAAATTTATTTACCATCGCTTAAATAAATTAATAAATGTATTTAAGCATATTCAAATTCCGACCGACATATGAAACATAAAAAACATACATACTCTTTATAGTATGCTAATTAGTCACTATTCATAATTCTTCCGATACACATTCCAAGCTTATAAATAAGTTCACATTATACTGAAGCATGGAAGCATTACTGTATCACCTAACTATAAACAATGAATAAAATATCGCTTAAACATTGGTAAGGTCCATTCCTATAAATCTTATCATATAGGACAGACATAAAATGACAATATTATATGTGAGCTTAGTTACAATTTCACTTAAAGAAAATTAACACATCATTCATTGTATTCAAATAGAAATGATCAAACTCACAAAACTGATTGAAATATTTTTGTATAAACATTATTACATTTTCAATTTTAAGTTCAAGTGTGCAAAAAATATGTGCATTTACATAAATCAAAATCGACAATAATCTAATTTTCACATTGCACTACTAGTGAGATCTACTAGAGTTAAAACTAAAGAAATGCACAATAATTCAGTCCAATGCATTCCAATGTTACATATTTCGGCCATTTTTTATTCTAGTTTTTTCAATTTAGTTATATTTACTTATGAAAATATTCATACATTTAATTCTCATTGATTTTTATGCTGGCCAAATTAAATCAAAATTTCGAATATTTTGTTGACAAAAATAAATCTAGAATTGAAAGTTCCAAAATGTTAATTAATTAAATAATTAACGCAATATTCTGTGGTAAGATAACTCAAATAAAAATTATTGACATAGCATATGACATTATTAATTTTTACCACTCAAATATTGTAATTTATTTAATTTTCAAGTGCCCATCCCTTATCTGAACCATTTAGTTAATTCCACACAAAGGAGGGCAATATCTCGTATCATAATTGTTTCAATTATTTCCATAATGTGCTTTCAATTTCATACCAATTAAAGCAGTCTTTATTTAAGAATCATATAAGCCGTTTACAATGTTTTACAAATATCAGTTTTTTTTTTTTTATATTGAAGGGAAAATCATCGCAATCCTTATGATAAGGCACATTCAATCTAATTTAGTAGTTAGAATGTACTGACGGAGATTAAAAATAATATCAACTAAACTGACAACTTTTAATCCTAGAGTTTCATCGGTCGTTGTAATAAAACTCCCACTGTGGAGCAATAAAAATAATATAACATGTCGATACATATAAGTTTATCAAATCTTGTCCAACCGCAAGTTGACAAGGTCACAACACAAATTTATCAATACTTTTCCCTTTTGATACAACCGACGTTATGATCGTAGAAACATTTGTCTCGTTATTGTATTCGGCATTGAACTTTAAATTGTTTTACTATGTTACGACATCGCTAATAAACTGTATTGTTTATACAATGCCTTTAAAAATTTCCGTACATATTGTAGAAAAATGTAAGCGAATAAAATACTGTCTGAATACTAGCATTGAGTCGTGTGTTGAATTTTAACAGGAACGATACCGCAAAGTAACCACANAAACATTTGTCTCGTTATTGTATTCGGCATTGAACTTTAAATTGTTTTACTATGTTACGACATCGCTAATAAACTGTATTGTTTATACAATGCCTTTAAAAATTTCCGTACATATTGTAGAAAAATGTAAGCGAATAAAATACTGTCTGAATACTAGCATTGAGTCGTGTGTTGAATTTTAACAGGAACGATACCGCAAAGTAACCACAGTTGATCGTTAACTTTAACTTCACAAGAGCGCGTGATGCACAGCGTGTTTGATAGCGTGACCGAGCCCACTGAGTTTCTCGCCGGATCTTCTCCGTGGGTCGCGTTTCTGATTCCGTGGTAGATTCTGTGAAGCACTCTTCTTGCTAGGGCCAGTGTTGGTAACACTCTCGGTTTAAACCCCGTCAGCTCACCTACCAGTTCAGTAAATCTAGAATAATCCCTCGAGGTAACAAGAATAGGTAGGGAAAAATACTTTTTCACATGTATGGGAGCGTTTAATCCATTCTGTCTGAGGTGACTTACCACCGGTAGGCGGGGGGTTGGGGGGTGGGGTGTTTAGCGGGGGTGCGCCGGCAGAAGCTCCACGTAGTTGGCGGGGAACAGGCCGAACTCCCCCCGCGGCCCGAGCCCCTGCCACCAGCCCGCGTCTATCTGCTCGATGTGCGATATGATGTCCCCCGGGTCGAAAGTTATCTCAGACTCGTCCGCTGTTATGTGTATAAAAGTTTTTTTTTACTATTATTTATTTATTTAATTCAGCTGCTAGTACTGTTATAGAGCATCTCCATAAATGCCGCAAATGTGACGTTGTTTATGTCTTAGATAAACCTATGATAAAACAATTCAATTATAATATCGGCTTTCTTCTTTGTAATTTAATGTAAGTAAATGATAAAAAACAAGTCAGTTATAATTTCATTATATTATACTTTTTGTTTACATATTTGATAGATCTAATAAATTTCATAGAACGCAGATTGTGATTTTTTTTAGTTATTGCGTTTGTAGGCAGACGAGCGCACGGCTCATCTGATGGTGAGTGGTTACCATCGCCCATGGACTTCAACAATGCTAGGGGTAGGGCCAAGCCGCTGCTTACAAGTAAACTCACCAGCTTGATAATCGTACAGCGCCCTAGCGGTCAGTCCAGGATCTTCATTGAGATCTTCGTATATTGTACCCTCTTCTTCTAAACCCTCAGGTGATGCATCTGCAGATAATTCAAGAATCTCTTTACCTAACAATCTGAATTACTAATCACTTGCATATCACAAAACAATAAGACAATTTAATACATAAAACGAATCTAAATCTTTAGGCATCAGTGAATAAGGTCGAATTTCGATAATCTAGCGAACATTGACTATTAGAAAAGCTAACAATCTGAATTACTAACCACTTGCATACCACAAAACAAAGACAATTTAATACATAAAACGAATCTAAATCTTTAGGCATCAGTGAATAAGGTCGAATTTCTAAACTGGTGGTAGGACTTCTTGTGAGTCCGCGCGGTTAGGTTACACCACTCTCCCTATTTCTGCCGTGAAGCAGTAATGCGTTTCGGTTTGATGGGTGGGGCAACTACTGTAGCTATACTTGAGACCTTAGAACTTATATCTCAAGGTGGGTGGCGCATTTACGTCGTAGATGTCTATAGGCTCCAGTAATCACTTAACACCGGGTGGGCTGTGAGCTCGTCCACCCATATAAATAATAAAAAAATTTTTTTTTGGGTGTTTTATAAAATGGTAGTCCTTACCTTCATTTAAGGTACCGTTGGCTTCTTTTTTGTAATTAACATTCTCTATGACTGTGTTCTGTCGGCTGAGCTCCTTGCCGGTGTCTTCGGCCGCACTACTCTTACTGTACGGCGACCGTTTGATCGTGCTGAACTTATTGTCGCTGTCGTCATCGTCGTTTTCGTTCGAACTAGAGTACGCTGCGTCGAACATATCGTTTTCCAGAATGTTCTGCTTTATCATCGGCTCGCTTTGCTTCGACGAGTCCGTTCCGATGTCTCTGTAGCTGTCGTCACGTTTGCATTCCGCGTACGTGACGTCACCGAACGAGGCCGGCTCGACGTCAGTGCTGGGACTCAAGTCCGACGGGTCGATGATCGGCTCGTACTGAATCTGGGAAGGACTCTCTAGACTCATCTTGATCTTGTCGATGTTCTTCAGGGGACTCGTTTCGGGCTGCGCCCCGACTTCCGGAATGTTCGTGTCCAATTTCGTAGGGGCTTTGACCGGCGAAACCGGTTGGGGTGATTGACCTCGCGTGAACGTGTTGATGCGTTGCGCGATCACTGAACTACGTACGGGCTTTTCTGGGATCGAATTTGATCTGAAATGTTTTTTTTTTCAATTAATTTTGTATTATGCACCAAAGCTTTTGTCAAATCGTTTATAGTGTCCATCAATAGTTAATCACTTAGTTGTTGTCTAGATAAATAATGAGATTAATGATTGCATCTTCTCTGCATTTATCTCTATGACGAGATTAGTTTATAGTTTATTACAATTATAACAAAAACATCCAACACTTTTCGCTTGATTCATGATCATAAAAATTATTCGTCTATGATTGAAAAATTATATCATTTTCACTCGGTCACGTTTTAATTCTGGAAATTTCACTTCTAAACGGTGCAAGCGAAAATAGCCTCTAATGTCGACACTGCCTTAATCTATACTTCTATACTAATATATAAATCTACAGTGGTTTTTACGGATGTTCCGTTATAACTACCGAACCATGCATCCGATTGATCTGAAACTTGGTATCCATGTTGAAAATACATGTATTTAATGGATAGGCTAATATTTATATGAGTATTTGGAATCCCTAATAATAATGACAATAAATACATAATAATGTTAATTTTAAATACCCCGTGAAGCGGGCCAGTACGGCTAGTATACGTATATTATCTAATGAGCGACACGCTGCGGCTCCGCTTGGGTCTTTAACAAAAATTTCAACGATATTTGACGTTATTTTATTTTAAAAAATAAAAGAACACTTATTGCGGCATAACTATTGTTAGTTAGACATCTGCTGTCGCGACACTTTTTCTAATTAATAATGTGTTCAAAAAAGTCGTAGTACATTATTTTATTATATTATCAATAGTTTTCGCAGGGCACGCGACGTAAAGAATATTTTAGGTATTTTTTTACACCTTGGGTTACATTATTGGAGTTTTAGTAAGGATCTCTAATTTTTTCAAAAAAGATTATATATAGCCTATGTCACTCGAGAATAGTGTAGCTTCCAAACAGTGAAATAATTTTTTAAATTGGTTCAGTAGTTTCGGAGGCTATTCAATACAAACAAACAAATCTTTCCTCTTTATAATATTAGTATAGATGTTACTGTATAGTAGTGACCTTGAGGTGTTGATCTGTCCTTGAGCCAAGTTCTGTTGGAAGAGTGCTCGTGCAGCAGCGGTGGAGGAGCCGATCAGCTGTCTCGCTTCCGCAGACCGTTGCCGCCGGAGCGCCTCGCTCGCACTCACCCCGGTAGGACTCACAGTTTCCACTGGACTTCTGCTTAACAACAAGCCAGAACGCGCATGAGTGACTAGACCACTGTCAGAGACTGCGTGATGTCTGTTTTCGCAGCTACCACTATTTACTTTTTTTTAAAGGGATTTTATGACCTGGTAACTAAGACCTTTCAGTTATGTCTTATTTTAATTTATATTCTTATTTTTATGAAAAATGATAATATGGAGCAAAATGAAATGAAATAACATGATATGGGATGAAATATAATATAATCTCAGTAAAATGGTGGTCATATACCATTTCTTCACTCACTCCCCACTTACACATATCGTCTTTCACGCAATCCATCAATTTCTTCTTAGGTCTACCTCTTCCTCTATATTCTTCCACATTCATAGTTAACACTCTCTTACCAACCTCATTTTCATTTCGTCTCATCACATGTCCATACCATCCCAAAGGCGCACTTCTCAACTTCTCTGTCATAGTTGCCACTTTCAGACTCTAACATATTCATCCCATATTCTATCCATTCTCGTTACTCTACATATCCATCAGAACATTCGCATCTGCTGAATGCAATCGCCTTTCATCCGCCATTTTAGTGATCCAATAAGCTGATCCATACATTAAGAGCCCACTGAGTTTCTCGCCGGATCTTCTCAGTGGGTCGCGTTTCCGATCCGGTGATAGATTCTGCGAAGCACGGTTTTTGCTAGGGTTCGTGCTAGCAACGTCGTCAGGTTTGAGCCCCGTGAGCTCTACTAATTAAGCCCTACTAATTAAGGTTACGCTGATATAGCCTCTCAAGGCTATCGGCTTAGGTAGGAAAAAAAAGAAGCAATTTTTTGAAACTTACTTGTCGTGTTCGGCTTTGGCTCTTTTCTGTGCTTCTAACTCGTCTCTTCTTCTGACCATTTCCTCGGCTTTTCTTTTATCCTATTAAATAGATGAATATAACATTCAAGGCAAGAATCATGTGATAATTGAAAGAAAGGAACCGCGGAAAGAAAGAAAAAAAGGGATTCGTTCTAGTTTCCAGGTGAGCCCTTAAATACAACTGCGAGTACGACCTAAACATGGGTGGCGAAATCCCCATTGTTATGTCAATGAGCTCCAATAACCTCTAAAACTAAGTGGGCTCTGAGCTCCTCTGCGAAATAAATAGTTCTCTCTCTCTCTCTCGCTCGATCAGCCTACAGACGTCCTTGGAACGTGTTCCGTCCAAAAAAAAAATAATAAAAATGGAAAAAAAAAATCTCTGTCTCAGATACATTATTTGATATCCCTCACACCCCACTGTACAAATTGAATCTTTAAAAAGGTATTTTTTGGAACTCGTGGTAGTTCACTTGGACATTTAGCAAGGGTGCAGTTCAGTATATTGTCACACATGTCAATTAACATTTTTCCTTTTTTTATGAAATGACAAGAAAGTACTTAAATAGTCAACAAACCTCCTCTTTCCTTTTCTTTTCTGCTTCTATTCTTTTCTTCTCTTCAATTTCTTCTTTCTGCCAAAACTGGTCTCTCTCTTTTGAATTGATTTCTTTTACTAGAAAAAAACAAAATTTGATTAAAATAAATGTAGTTTACCATATTTTTTTTAAATCAATTGTAATCCAGTATCAGTACGAGCTGTAAACAATATAACCAACTTTGGTCAGGATTTTTGATTAAATCCTGTCTTATCACTAAACAGTAATTTATTACAGCATTAAGAAATGTTATGAAAGCTAAAGAAAGCTATTGCCATAAACAGGTGGTATAAATTACTGTTGATAAACTTTATACGTGAAAATATGGAATTATCTTATTGATATTTCTGGTCTTCTATAACTTTACCCGGATTAACTTTCTGATATGCAGTCCCAACTGGTCCACTTGGCGGTAATTCCTCAGGTCTACTCGACTTGAAATTAAATGCTGAACCAGCTTTGGCCAGTTTGTCTAGGATTATCTTTTCATCTAAGTCATCTTCGGTTCTTGCGTGCATGGTCAGGTGGAAACCAGTGAAGAAATTAGCCACATGTTTAATGTGGTTTGCACAGGTTCCTTTCCTAACAGTTGGTGCACCTTCACCCTTGAACATGAACATGCAAAACTATTAGATAACTAACAAGATTTACACAATTAAATGATTTTCATAGAGTTTTTGAAGTTGTCGTGGCCTAAAGTATAAGACTTCCGGTGCATTCGTGTTAAGCGATGCACCGGTGTTCGAATCCCAGGCGGGTACCAATTTTTTTAATGAAACACATACTTAACAAATGTTCAAAATTGACTTCCACAGTGAAGGAATAACATAGTGTAATAGAAATCAAACCTGCAAAATTATAATTTGTGTAATTACTGGTGGTAGGCAGCCATTGTAACTATACTGAGGCCTTAAAACTCATATCTCAAGATGGATGGCCGCATTTACGTTGTAGATATCTACGGGATTCGGTAACCACTTAACACCAGATGGGCTGTGAGCTTGATCACCCATCTATGCAATAAAAACAATTTATCAGGATCGACCATTCACCTTTTTAGGTATAAGGTAGGTTGGTATAATATTAGGTAGATAAAAAGGGAAAAAATATGTTAATATAAAGTTATATTAACATATTTTCTAATTCTAGTATATACATCTAATACATAAATTTACTTATACTTCTAATATTCTAATAATATACTTCTAATATATACATTTAATTTTATTTTTCAAATATCCTGCAGTTTGAATGCAAGCAACAACCCCACTCTTACTGAATTTATAGAAGAGAGGATTCTAGCAATTGTTTTAATTGTAACTCTTTGCTGGAAAATATTAAATTCCAGTATCCTTATTTTCATCCCTTTTTTCCCAATTTTGGCCATTTTTAAAGCCTACTTTTCCTAAGTTTTCCTTCTAACTATCTCTAAATGTATTTTGTTAATAATTGAGGCCTTCCAAATTCAACATGGCCTCATGTTATGCCCTTAAACAGGCTTTAAACCTATGCATAACCTTAAAATATATTTTGATGAAAGCTCAGATATCATTGAAGTCATAATAAAATTTTGTCATAATAAAATTCTAGAACTATCTTTCTTCTAACTTCTAGGAATTCTATAACAGATTTTTTAACTGAACCTCGTTTATTCTAAATAATATTTAAGATAATATATATGTATACAGAATATTTTAAATAATATGAGACTAAGCATATTGACAAAGTACTTTATCTAACGTCTTATCTATGGGAAAGTTATACCTGCCAGTTGATAAGCACATATTTAGATATGCTTCCATTTGGTACATCCACTTTTAAGAATGCATATTGTATTTTCCCACTATTCAAGTCATCAATCAACTCAGTTAAGCCTCCATCTCCTTTGCTGACGAACTTGAGATCATTTGTGAGCCCTTCATAACCATACAAGGCCCTGAAATCAAATATAAAAATAAGAGGTTTCTTATGTTAAAGTTTTGATTCTTGAAACCTCCATATACAATACAAAAAACCTAAACTATACAAGTTTATTAGACTGCAAATGATTATTTTAAAATAATTTACTCCAGTGACTTGTACTACAGTTAGTTACACAGTCAGAAGGCAATCTACACTGTGAGTTCATAAATGGTCATGGTAATTAATGTTCGAAATTCGCTACTTAAATCGTATGAGCGTATGTTTTAACTTCCTCACCAATTAGGACGAGACCACATTCATTTTATGTACACTTACCAGTTCGTTTCGGTTTTTTCGTCTAATACATCTCTCCACGCACTGATTAAAGCTTCTTTATGTTTATCTAGGTTTATAGCCATTTTACATTATTTCCAAAAGCATTGAAATATATTTTACTTCACAAATGCCTATATGATTTCAACGATTATAAATTCTGTGCCTTTCGTATCTGGCCTGACTCACAAAACTGCTGAAATGTCATTGACATTTGAATTTTGACATAATTTGACAATACACTGACATTATTTTTATTGACAAGACGATTGACACTAAGGAATTGGTGGGTCAGCAGTTTAAAAAAAACACCGAACTTAATTAACTTGAATTGTAGACCTTCGACTAAATGCTATGTGTATGTGTAGATAGAATAAAGAGACGAGATAAGAGTTAACGACCTATCTAATGTTAAGTGATTACTGAAATCCATAGACAACGTAACTGTCGCTTGAGGCGTACAGTCGATATTGATCAATATTGATATTCTACCCTTCAAACCTAAATGATGAGTGGGTACCATTTGCCATTTTACCATGCAGAGAGTAAATTACAGTGTCACAATACCTAAAAAGAAATCGGACTAATCTTATTGATGTATCCAACGGTATTCACGTTGTAGTGTCTATGAGCTCCAATATCTGTATAGCATCAGGTGGAATGTGAAGTCATTTTCCCACCATAACAATTAAAATTAATGGTGAATGAATATTGAAGTCAGAACTGTGGGTCTCATTAAGTGAAACTCCGGATCGATGTGCATGAGCGAAATAATATAATATTACACGCCCATCGTCATTTTACGGGTGTAAGCTTTAAATTAATAACAATAAGGATTATCTGTACATTAGCAACACATCAAATAACCAAATAAAAAAAATTACCACTATTTTAATAGAAACGATGTTCTGTTATCTTATCAAATATCCAAAAATATAATTTTAGATTATGAAGATGATAAATATTCAAGCAAAAATATTTAAATACCATTTTTGGTTATATTTGTCAACCAATTTTCTTTGTTTATGTTTATTGAATATTGCCGATTTTAGTGATATTAATAAAACAAATTTTATGCAAGTAATTAGGTTTTACTTCAAAATTTGAAGAATAAAACTAAATATTAAACCTTGATGCTCAGGGATATGTAAAGATCTTAAAATCGATCATCGAGCACACAGTATTAATTCTACATGGCTTAAGCGTGAAAAAAAAAAGGAAACTTTTTTAGTATAGCTTAGAGAATATAAATATTTCGCGTGATACTAAAATAAAAAAATTATATATATTATGTACATAATTATTTTGGTGTTCCTTAACCAATTTAAAATTTTACATATTAAGTACAATCTGAAATTACCTACTGCTATATTTCATACATAATTTATTTCCAGTAAGCTTTTAAAATTGACCACAGATTAATAGGGTAGGTGTTCATAAAAGATTCCAATTAGAATGATTTATTTTTCCTACTGTTTGCATTAAAATGTTGCGCGCGCAATCTATCGTTCTAATTTTCTCTCATGTACAATAGTAAAAGAACTTTCATTCATAGCACTCAGTCAGTCTCGTAGTGAACCGTCTGGCGCGACGCAGTGCAAAATGAGCCTCTACCATTAATGTTTCAAAACAAGTTTATACTAACATGTGGGTAGATGTGAGTGGGCGCGAAAAGCACAACTACATGACGCAGACAAATGGATGTTTTATACCGGGGTGAGTGGAAAAAAAACTTCATTAGAAAGTTATATATACTTTTGTTTTGAAAAGATTAATACGACACAATATAATTAAATAAACATTTAACATTAACAAATATTAAGAATTTTATTATTGTTCCTTTAGTGCATAGTGTGAACACTAAAAATAAATAAATAATACGGTAGGTACATACCTAAATAGTTAAAAATAAATCTCTATCTAGACACCAGTATTTTTAAAACTTTTCAACGTCTCACTTTACTTTCTATTTTACGCATTGTAAGTATTGTATCGGTTAATTCTCGAATTGTTGAAAGTTGCTTTGTGTTTGATTGCGGGCAAAGCTTTTTTTTAGATTTGGATTCATAGAGTTTTAAATTTGAGTTTACATTATAATTATTACATATATTATTACTAGCGTAGTTTCGTGAGTGTGAAAGGTTTTTGCAGAAGAAAGTTAGTAAATGTGCTATGTAGGTCGTGTAAAATACTTTCTGAGGACGAATACTTTTTATTTGTATAGATGGGTGGGTAGACGCGTTTCCAGCCCACTTGATGTTGACTTGTTACCAGAGCTTATAGAGTATAGGTATTATATTATTTTACAATATATTATCTGTCCAAGCCCAACACACATACAAAAAAAAACAATTTCTTTGGGATAGCGGCCACCTTATTGTTTTTATATTATTTGAAATAGCCATAATAAATATTTTTTTTATTTTGATAGATCAATACACGTCGATTAGTACAATAGTCAAGTGTCGATGAATATAACAACATCTTTTTCGTTTATTTCCACGAAATGTGTGAAGTATGTCAGAAATATTATAATGATAGTAAAATAAAATAAAATAAAAATGAAATGGGTAGTAAAAATTCGAAATCAAAACCGTAAAAGTTGTTGATATGTGTATACTAAAACAAGCAAGAGAACAATCAAATTATCATGTTTTCCTTTTATTATTCTTTGTGTTTTCCTTCAGCTATCGCTGTTTGCAAAGTATATTGGATATTTTCACAATATATCGACTACAAAAAACTTTATGTTATATATAAAACAAAAACAACGAAAGTTTATAATTATCTTAAAACAGGGTATGTAGCAATTATGATTGAAACAATACAATTTCAAAGAAACACCGTTGAGGCTTCACAGAATTTTCAATGCCGAATTTGTTGTTTTGAGAAAATGTTTACCATTAAACTTTGTAGTAAAACACAGGCCGTGTTTCAATGTAAACATCCTTGGACTACCTATTGAAATTTTACAAAGCCTTAGGTAGTGATTAAGCGCCGCCCTTCGCTGTACGTTGCTATGGTTACGTAAATGGATGCTAAATTAATATAAAATGTATTAAATCGTGTAAACTTATGTTATTATTTTGATTAAATATTCTACATAGTATTACAATAAAATTAAAAATATATTCCAAAAAGCTTTTGTAACGTTTAACGACTTATTTGGTACCTAAGCAGTTTTTCAATCGCTAAGAACCGGCAAAAACTCAGAGCTTATTCTTTTGCGAATATAATATTAAGTCCATCACACTGGTTTCAACACGGATGCCAAAAAATCATGGTCACGAATAAGAAAGTATTAGGACGTTTAATATATGAATTACTCTGCATAAGCGTCGAAAATTGTAGTAATTAGGGCACAATGAAAAATCCTAAATAGAAGCTGATATAGTTGGTAATCCAAGACCTTGCTATAAAAATTTGGACCATAGGGAGAAGGAGAATGTTGTGGCCGACGAGCCTGCATCAATATTTTGGAAAAATATGTTTAAAGCATTTATTATCCAAATAGCATCAATGACGACCTTCATTATCAGATGGCACTTGAAGAAGATCATGATAACATCATAAAATTGTACAATAATAGTAAGTAATTTACTAGAAAATAACGAAAGGAGTATTGTTATATAAGGTATTTATAATAAGAAGTCACCTGAAATTAATTTAACTTCGAGAATTTTTAAGGAAATTAATCCTTGAATGGTCATCTACTCTAATCGTCTTAATTTTTGGGAATTATTGGAGTAAACCTCTCTGTCTACGTGTTCAAATCCCGTGATTGTCAAATTATAGTTACTTTTACGTATTGTTGCATAAAAGGTAATCAAGTAGGTAGGTTATGACATAACCTACTATTGGTCTACTAGGCTTAACTATGTCATTCCCGAAGTTGAAACGGGAATAAACTACAAGCCTAAAGTACACAGTATTCCGTTACTAAGCTAAGTGTTGATATTAAATAACAATATCTGTATAAAGATCCGTTACTTAAACCATACTAATTTTATAGCTACCAAACTAAGTTTGTTACGCCCACTGACCAAATCAACACTGAAAAACCACTAAGCTGATTTGATGATATATTTGTTTGGAAATAGATTCAAGCTTTGAAAAGAATATGGGCTATATTTCGTACTGCTGCCGGTAACCGTCCACGCGTAATAAAGTGTAGTTCACGCAAGCAGAAAGCTGATTATAAATGAGATAAAGATTTTCATGATTTAATATCAGAGGTCTATTTTTTATGTTATTGTTTCCAACGTTTCAAAAACCTAAGCGAGTTTTCGTGGTAGCGAACAACTAAGTGAAAGTACTTTTAATTACGTCTATTATTCGCGAAAACTATGGCGATCAAAGAAAATGAACTGTGGGTAAGACCGTTACAGTTCTCATGAATTACATATTTGATGGACCCGAAATTTAACACGAAGAGAGCAGCCAGACGCTGCATGAAATTCCCAGGTATAGATTAATACAAACTTAATCTAAGTGAGATTTTTTTCTGGGATTTTCTGAGATGGTAACTAAGAGCTTTAAGTCATGTCTTATTTTAATCTACTTAAATTTTTATTTTTATGAAAAACGATATTGTGGAGTGAAATGAAATGAAGATGATTAATTTGAGACATTAATCAACTGGGATGAAATTAAATGAAATGAGATGAGATTATAAGGAATGAAATATAATATCAGTAAAATGGTGGTCAGTTACTGAGATTTTTCCAGTGGACTTTTTGGAGGATCCCGACAATTTACGTCCAGCGGCTTTGTTTCATTTTCCCACATTTTTGCACTTTCACAGATATTAAGCAGTTAATAAACTACCGTTGGAACACATTTAAACCTGAAGAAACACTAAATAGACAAAATAAAACAAATCACACACACAACTTCACTCCTCGTGTTCCCGCCAAAAAGTCCAATATATCATAATATATGTGAGAGATTCTGCGGTGCACTTATGTAGATAGGTAATACACCTGACACTGACATATAGTAACAGTTGATAGAAAACAAATGTCGGTAGGAAATTCAAATGTAAATTTCTTTTGTACTGTTTGAATAATGCCAGTTGTAATGTCTTTGTTTTGTGGAACACAATAAATACACAAGTTGTTAACTAACACTAATACCGACCTATCTTAGCAATTTAACCTGGTATGATATCATGACTAAGGCTGACCTTATGAATATTGTTGACATAATAAATTACGAAATTCAGGACGCACCGTCAGAGGGGGTGATTTTATATTTGGCGAGTAATGCGCCATGATTGTCAGAGTTCCGTTTTAGGGGTTCCACAAAAACACTGTTGTATTTAATGTATTTAGACTACATTAGTTTTTCACCGACACATGTTTAACGAAAAATATTATTATTTAATGTGTTCTTACAACGATTTTTAGTTTTAATGAGTTCCAGTATATTTCAACGCCGTTCCAAGTTAGTATTACTTGGCTATTAGTGCAGTGCTTTCCAGTCACTTGTCTTTGATATCTGTTAAGAGAGACAACAGGGAATTAAAAACAAAATGGGTAGATGTAGACCGTATAATATAGAGAAAAAATCTGGACAGTTGAATTGTTTTACATTTACGTACATAGGTACATACTTGCCAATCGCCCGTCAATATCGGTTCGAACTTGTCGCAGGTCGCGGTTGCACAGAATCCTTATATATTTTTTTAAAATACGTAGGTATTCTATTTTTAACTAATGAAAAATTAAAAAAATAGAAGTAGACAATAAAATTTTATTTTATTCAACCTATTGAACTGACGTCACATAATATTCATGTCGCTTCGTTAATATACAAATCACTTTGTATTTTATCGCCGACGCGACGGTTGATGAGGATCGTAGATTTCATTACAGAAATTGCTCATGCTTAATCTAGCTTAAAATCAAAAACGATTTTTATATTTCGTGAAAAAATTTAATTCTTTCATGTCAATAAGTTATTTGGCTTCGATATTGTTCATGCGATATGTTAATTTAATCTTAGTAGATAAAAATACCTAATACCTAAGTACCTACTAACTCACGCCTTTTATTCCTGTGTTGTATGTAGGTATATTAGGTTTTTTTTCCTAAACAATAATGTACAAAACTGAAAACTTGGAACAATAGTGAATTCTTTTAGTAACTTCATTTCTTCTATTTATATTTATTCTGTTTCATGAGTTTAAACTATTTTTTGTATTGGTGTTTGTATTTCTTAGGCGGCCAATCATTGAAAATCGCAAAATTTAATCTGAATAATAAATAATCGCTGAAGCTGAAATCTGAAGTCGTCGTGGCCTAAAGTAAAAGAAAGCCAGCCGGTGTGATCATGCCAAGCGACGCGATTGTGCCGGTGCTAAATCGTGCATGTACCAATTTTATTAAGGTTTTTTTTTCCTACCTATGCTGATAGCCTTGAGAGGCTATTTCAGCTTCACCCTAACGTTTGTAGTGAGCTCACGGAGCTCAAACCGGAAAGTTGCTAACACTGTCCCTAGCGAGAGCAGTGTTTCGCAGAATCTACCACCGGATCGGAAACGCGACCCACTGAGAAGATCCGGCGAGTACCTAACTCAGTGGGCTGTGTCTATGGGGTAATTCGCTCGTCGAGCCCTTCGTCGCAAGCGACTGGTTCGATGAGGACGGTGACCGGTTTTTTAAGGGAATACATACTTAATCGTGAAATAATAACATCGTGTCTTGAAAATTCAACTTTCCGTAATTGCTGGTGGAAACCACAACCCTGCTTGTATTCACCGCTAAGCCGTCTGGCTTCCATTGGCATTTTTTTATTGCTTAGATGGGTGGACGAGCTCACAGCCCACCTGACGTTAACTGGTTATTGGAGCCCATAGACATCTACAACGTAAATGCACCACCCATCTTGAGATATAAGTTCTAAGGTCTCAGTATAGCTACAACGGCTGCCCCACCCTTCAAACCGAAACGCATTACTGCTTCACGGCAGAAATAGGTAGGGTAGTGGTACCTACCCGTGCGGACTCATAAGAGGTACTACCATCAGTAAAAGAGGTCCAATCATCAGGCATTTCTGACTACGGCAATCACTTTGCCCCATCGATGAAATAAATAAAAATGCTGAGCGTACCCTAGCGCAACATAAAAATCACCCATTTAAAAGAGGTCACGGTCAGAAATGGTACTGTTTGTTTTTTAGTAGGTACCTAACTCAAGTTTGTCACGATAGTAAACGGTATCTTAATAATCATGTCCTTAAGACACTATAACCTTTACACATTTAAAATATCATTAACCTTGTTAGAATGTTTTTTTTTATTTTTTTATTAAGGCATAATTGATTTCTTGTAGCACTTGAAGTTACCGGAGTTGAACAAATTATCCTAAAAAGGTTTTTATCAATAAATCTAATGTGTTTTTTAATCCTATACCTCATCGCTTTCTAACAAATGAGACTCATAAGTAAGTAAAGACCCAAAAACAATCCTCCGCAATAGCTTACGGTGCCTGCTTTATAAGTAAGTAGAACTAGGTCAATAGTGGTGAATCCATTTAGATTGTATTTCCGTGAGTTTAGTAATCTACGCAATTCGTCCAATCAGTTTTTTTTTAATTTAATTTTATGGCTTAGATGGGTGGACGAGCTCACGGCACACCCAGTGTTAAGCGGCTATATAATAAGTTTGTTTATTTTTACAAACAAAAATTTCATAAATTTACAGTAAGCGTTTTTAGAAAATGAACGTTATGAAAATTATGTTTTGGGACCTTTGACTTAAACGGTTTTGTAATATGCAATAGGAACATCTGACAGCAGTAATCATGGTGGTAATGAATAGAACCTTATCTTTCGAAGCGGTTTAGGCCGCACGCAGAGGAATTCCGTGCCAGGCACATTTCCCTATCGCGAACGATTCTGAACTTCGTAGTACCCGACGTAACCGCCTGCTATATTTCAAAGGTTAAGTAGGTCGTAATTCCGTGATTACAGCTCGTTTTTGCATTGACTTTAGGCTATGATAAAAGTTTATGTCATAACCTTAAAAGTTTGAAACTAGACATGATAACCGACTCGTTTACTATAACCGTAGGTATTTATAATTACATCACAATAAAGAATTCGTATAATTAAATTTTATTGTCATTAACTATTTTATAAACTCATTCTTTTATCACATCTAATTTTGATCGCAATAAATTAAAAAAGCAACTTAATATTACCACAACGTTTTCGGAATAATGATATTAACCAATGCAGTTTTACTCGTGAATAAGGATTCAACGTCTACAATTACGGCAATGTTTTGAAAACGTTAATCGCAACCGTGGTAAATTTGATTCGGAGTCGACTGTGGGAATAATTCGTATTGTTTTCACCTTCGTGTTACGCGGACGACATCACAATGGATATGCAGGTCGTTGGTCTCATCTCTTTGCTATCTCTTGTGAATGGGTTTAACTATCAGCAGCGATGTTTATTGTATAACAAGCGTTGTAAGTACCTAGCTATTGTAAATTAAAAGTTGCGTTAAAAAATCTTTAAGCGTTTTACACAAAACGGTCAATTACAAAATGCTAAAAAACAATTTTTTTTTATTATTTATGTGGGTGGAATAAATATTTTTATTATTTACATTTTCAGGCGTATCGTACTGTCCACGTTTGATGCATCCGTATCACACAAGATGTGATGCGAACACAATTTCTCAAAGGACTTGCGATAATCCACAAATTTACGAAATGGGTAGTGTATGGTAACGATATAAATCAGAAAAAACTTCAAATTAATAGTTTTAAACACTTCGTTTTCAAAAATTAAGCGTTGTATTCAAAGCTATTAGCAAAATTACTTATGATCTATTGCATTTCCAGATTAGGGCACTGAGTACATTCACGGGTGCTTACATAATTCCTCTTGGTTTTCCGCTTTTTAGCATAGCATACCTGTCGTTTCAATGACATCCCCATACACACTGCCCACTGAGTTTCTCGTCGGATCTTCACAGTCTGTCGCGACGCCGGTGGTAGATTCTGCGAAGCACTGATCTGCTAGGGCTAGTATTAGTAAATTTTCTCAGGTTGAGCCCGTGAGCTCACCTACTCGTCCGCGTGTAGGTGGAATAGCCCCTTAGGTTACCAACGTGGGAAAAAAGTGACATGATATTAGTTATAACATATAGTTTATATTATTTACATAATCTTCGCTAACTTTTTTAGGTTATACATGTGGATGGTCTAGGTGTGATTGCAATGGTGATTTGGTACTAGACGAAGAAACAGGACTTTGCGTTGACTTGGACGCTTGCCAACTTAAAAATGTCAAATCTAAAAAATATAAATCAAGAAAGTCTTACGGGTTACGAAAGAATTTAAGAGTTGACAATGATGAAGACAATCCTATCCGACAAATGTGAATAGTTTAGTTTTAGTTTTATGATATTTGGATAACAAAATAAGGAAAAATATGTTTTCGGGAAATGTAATAAAAAATAATAATAAGAGTTATGGGGATTTTCTTTGTTTCGAAATAAAATCTGATTACTGAATCTGTAAATCTGCCATATGCGTGCGTCTATCTCAAAGAGTACATAGTGACGTAGGTAATAATATAATAATATTAGTAGTAGGTAGTAATGATAAATTGGAAAACTCCGATAACAATAGCCACCGGCAGCTTTATCATACCTAGGATATCTCGGCAAATCATTGTCTAAATACAAATACACAACTCAAATTGCCTATTAATCCAACTGAGAATCTCGACTACGAATGCAATCGTTGGAGTTTCTTCGTGAAATGCAAACTCTGATTCTAATTATGTTTATATATCGTTGATATTAAGTATATCAAATAAACATTTTCCTAATAGCATAAAAATTTCATTGTTTTGTAATGTTAATATCATTTACCCATGTAGATATTCACATTCGACACGTTGGTACTGACGAAGGTACCTACTCTGCATTACTTATCTAAATAAATCTAAACTTATCTAATAAAACAAAATCAGAGATAATCATCATGGCCTACTTTGTTGTTTACTTCAAGAAAGGGAAGTAAGCTAAATGGAACATCAAACATGGCTGCCTGCCTTTAGTAATTTATGTTCCTCTTATCGCCTTTTAAATTTCACCGAAATCATATAGAAGACAAACAAAATTCACCAACATAACTAACTAGCTGGGTGTGGTAACAGTGTTTGCCGAGTAAACGCCGATTTCAGCAAAAGGGAGACAGCAAATCGGCTAACGTAGCATCAAGCATGACGTCCTGGCCTAAAGGATAAGGCGTCCGGTGCATTCGTGTTGAGCGATGCACCGGTGTTCGGATCCCAAGCGGGTACCAATTTTTCTAATGAAATACGTACTCAACAAATGTTCACGATTGATTTCCGCGGTGAAGGAATAACATCGTCTAACATCGTGTAATCAAAATCAAACCCGCAAAATTATAATTTGCGTAATTACTGGTGGTCTCTTACCTCTTGTGAGTCCGCACGTGTAGGTGCCACCGCCCTGCCTATTTCTGCCGTGAAGCAGTAATGTGTTTCGGCTTGAAGGGTGGGGTAGCCGTTGTAACTATACTTGAGACCTTAGAACTTATATCTCAAGGTGGGTGGCGCATTTACGTTGTAGATGTCTATGGGCTCCAGTAACCACTTATCACCGGGTGGGCTGTGAGCTCGTCCATCCACCTAAGTAATAAAAAATATAAAAAAAGACTTCCCCGCGGAAAGTGGATGAGAATAGTTGTAGACCGAGTTCGTATTACATAAGAGACAATGGGCGAATGTGGGCCCGTTTTCTGTTTTTTACTATGGATGGGTAGATATAGTCACGGCCCAGCTTACGTTTTATGGTCAGCAGAAAAAACCCATAAACCTAAAAAAGTGAACTGTGTATTCTAACATATTGTTTATTAATTAATAGAATGAATATAAGGATGAACATAACTTTTTTTTGTGAAGGATTACTGGTGGCCCAGAGGCCTTTCCAATTAAACCAGGATAGGTGGGCGAGCACGGGCTCAGCTAGGAGGGGTGGGATTTGCTAACAACTGCCCGAGCGCCAGAGAAGACCTAACAACTCAAGAGCAGCTGCTTCGCGAATGAATCTACTACCGGATCGGAATCGCTACCCGCTGAGAAGATCAGGCGAGAAACTCAGCTGGCCGACGTATGAGTTAGATTGTACGTCGAACTCTTCCAGTTCTTTTTTTTATTTTATTGCTTAGATGTGTGGACGAGCTCACAGCCCACCTGATGTTAAGTGGTTACTGGAGCCAATAGACATCTACAACGTAAATGCGCCACACACCTTGAGATATAGTTCTAAGGTCTCAGTATAGTCACAACGGCTGCCCCACCCTTCAAATCGAAACGCATTACTGCTTCACGGCAGAAATAGGCAGGGCGGTGGTACCTACCCGTGCGGACTCACAAGAGGTCCTACCACCAGTAATAACCTCGACCAGTTCGACCAGTACGGTTACCAGATTCCCTAATCCTGCTCCTAATGTTAGAAGTGAAGGCGTCTAATGCAAAACTTATTGGATCTGCGCTGGCAGAAATCTCTCGATACTATGGGTGGTTACCTTAAATTGATTGAGAGAATTTTTTTATATATAAAATGCTTTTTCTTTCTGAATATAGTATTTAGATATATAGCATAATATCTAAAATATAGCATTCGGCAATTTAAAGGAAATAAGTAGGGACTTTTAGGGGATATTCTGGAACAATAAGTCAAATAAAAATAGACTTTTAGAAATAGAATTAGAAACTAAAAATAGTTTAACATTTCATCCGACACTGCAATAACGTGATACGTACACTGTATATAAAATTGAAAATGATTACCCTCCTACTGAAGGAAATGATTTATAGCAAACATAGGAAACGTAATGTTTAACAAACAAACAGAATATGTACAAAAGATTGAACGGCAATATTAAGTATTGATAAACTCACATCGTCACATCAATAGCTCTCATTTTCAATTCATTTTAACAATATTGATTACCGGCAAGACGTTATGAACTTTTTAATGTTGATCATATTGATGATGCATGGCATTAATGCCCTTTANATTTATAGCAAACATAGGAAACGTAATGTTTAACAAACAAACAGAATATGTACAAAAGATTGAACGGCAATATTAAGTATTGATAAACTCACATCGTCACATCAATAGCTCTCATTTTCAATTCATTTTAACAATATTGATTACCGGCAAGACGTTATGAACTTTTTAATGTTGATCATATTGATGATGCATGGCATTAATGCCCTTTACTATGGAAATGTTGGTAAACGTGGTTGTCTAAGTTACAATGGAACATGTGAGTTAAATTAATAAATTTAACGTTCAACGCAATGAATATGTCTTTAGACCACGGCAAAGGGTAAAGTTAAATTAAAAGGGCTCTTTTTGCTCTGGCTATTTTTATTCACGTAACAAAAAATATATTATTTATTATAGCAAGCATCTTGACGTAAGTAATATTTCGATTCTAAATGCACATTAATAATTAGCACAAGTTCTTTGTCAGTTGACAATTTGGCGTGATTTACTGCACTTACGAGGCTGAAAATATCTAAATCATGACACTCAAAGTAATACTCGTAAAATTCGCTTAAAAATACTAGAACACAGCAATTCAATAAATTTTTAAGTTATATTTTTTTTTAGGTAAATATAAAATTCGTATAAATTCCAGGTGTAGAACAATGTCCCGATAACATGCACCGCGTCAACAGCGAATGTCGCGCGACTCCATCACAAAGGACCTGTGATGAACCAGTCTCTATTTCTTTAGGAATAATTTGCGGCTGGTCGCGATGTGACTGCGATTTCCCCCTAGTCCTGCATCCAAGCTCTGGATTTTGCTTCCTACTTGAAGATTGTCCCTAATTTATTATTGAACAATTCCATCGATATTCCGAATAAATGAAAATGGAATTTACCTCGGAGTATCGGAGGTTTTTGGATTATACCATTTTCCTTGTGTAAAATAAATGTATTTTTCTTTACTTGAGGATTTTATTACCTAGTTTTCTCATTTCTTTAAATATATAACTTCTTATTTGTGATTTTCAAATTATTGGACATTTTTTAATAATACTTAGTACCTATATTACAAGTACAGGGTGGCCCATAAGTCCTTTGAAAAGTAAAATTTGAATAAAACGAACAGGGCGCGCGTGAGCGGTGCAGGGGAAGCGGGGGGAGTAACTTCGGTTTCTGGGAATTTAGTCGCGATGGAGCGTTTTACCGGAGCGGACCGTGCGTTTTGTGTGCGCGAGTTTTATAAAAACGACAATTCGGCAACCGTTGCGCGGCGTAAATTTCGAGAACACAAAGGTTTACACAACTTTGACGACACTCCAACTCTTCAAACGATTAAGAACTGGGTTGCTAAGTTCGAGGAGACCGGTTCGACGTTAGATAAACCGCGGTTGGGTCGCCCAAGGACGTCACGTACGGAACAAAACATAGACACAGTGACACAGTCTATTCGCGAAAATCCGACACAGTCAACTCGTAAGCGCGCCAGAGCATTAAACGTATCCAGGACATCGTTACAACGGATTTTGAAGAAAGATTTACATATGCACCCTTACAAAATTCAGTTGGTTCAAGAATTAAAGGAAACTGACGGTATTCAAAGACAAAATTATGCGAATGAAATGTTGAATCGGTTTACTTCCTTCAATAACATAATGTTCTCTGACGAGGCTCATTTCCATCTTAACGGGCATGTTAGTAAACAAAATTGCCGCTATTGGAGCCCCATCAATCCAAAACTTAAGCATCAGAAGCCCTTACATAGTCCGAAAGTGACTGTTTGGGCCGCTATGTCAGCCCATGGTATCCTAGGGCCTTACTTCTTTGAGGATGGCAGAGGGCGCGCAGTTACTGTTACGTCGGAGCGATATGTGGCTATGATCGAAGAGTTTTTCATACCAGAATTGCAAAACTTTTCAGGCTTTAATGCCAGGACGTGGTTTCAACAGGATGGGGCCACTTCTCACACCTCTAACACTGCTATGCCCGTTATCCGTCAACTTTTTCCTGGCAAAGTTATCTCTAAGAGAGGAGACATTTCCTGGCCTCCACGTAGTCCAGATCTGACCCCGATGGATTTTTTTTTGTGGGGCTACCTTAAGGCTAAAGTATACGACACAAACCCGCGGTCAATTGAGGCCCTAAAAGAAAACATCCGCAGAGAAATGACAAGCATTTCAGCAGTGACGTGCCGCGCAGTCATCGACAATTTTAGACGTCGTTTGCAAGAGTGCCGTGATCGCAACGGATTACATTTAGGAGATGTTATTTTCAAAAAATAATTCCCGTTTTTTAAGCTTTTTATGTAAATAAAAATTTAATTCATAATGTAATTAGTTTTATTTTAATAATTTTTTTTTCATATCAAAGGACTTATGGGCCACCCTGTATTTCTACATTTCATTAGACCATTGATTTTTACGAAGAAAGTCCGAGAAGGATGCAACAGATGGGGCCATACTGACTTAATTGATAGCGAAGAGCCATCTTACATAAATCCTTGACGGTACGCACCGACGGCAACATCTAGTGTATCTCATTAAACCACTTTACTGTCACTGAGTCCTGTAAAGTCGCCCTGAGTCCACCCTAGTCGCGATAAGCAAGAGACGACGCAGCAGTTTACGCAGCAACATACGTTACCTCATAAGACCACTTTTTACTGATGGTCGGACCTCTTGTGAGTCCGCACGGGTAGATACCACTACTCTGCCTATTTCAGCCGTGAAGCAGTAATGCGTTTCGGTTTGAAGGGTGGGGCGTTGTAACTATATTGAGACCTTAGAACTCTTATGTCAAGGTGGGTGGCGGCATTTACGTTATAAATGTCTATGCGCTCCGGTAACCACTTAACACCAGGTGAACTGTGAGCTCGTCCAACCATCTATGCAATAAACAAATAAAAAGACCAGACACTATTACCAGGGTGATGGTAGACGTACTTAATCATTTCCCCATAACTACCATCGTCAATATCCAGTATCCAGATAGTCGATAGATACAACCCTTTAGCGTTCTTAAGGACCCGATTTGTTCTGATAGTACCCACATCACAGTTTTGTTTTTGTAGTTTTCATATTCTAACTCATATATTCTTGATTACAGATACACTGGTCACTGTCCCATGTTGAAGTTTCGTTACGGGAAATGCTACGGTGATAACACGCGACAAATTCTACGTGAAATCCGAACCAAAGGACTTTTCAAGTGAGATTTTGCAATCTACGCATTTTGTATGAACTGCTCAATTTTAATATCTTAGAAAGGTGGACACGTCTAGTCATGCGAGGTGAAACTAAACAGGCGAGCTTACGGCCCATCTGATGGTGAGTGGTTACTGTCGCATAGAGACTTCAGCAATGCCAGGGCCAAAGCCAAGCCGCTGCCTACCGATTAATACTGTCTACAAGCCTCGGTTGAAGAAGGAAATGTCAGCGCTCTGGAAACCCGTGGGAACACCGTGGAGAGGAGCTCATTCGAAAGTCGGATGGTACGTGGCAAATAAGATCTCTGGAACTGTGGATAACCGCAATGGCAATAGAATAACCAGAGTAGCAGGAAAGTAATAAAAACTTCATTCAATTGAAAACAGGCGCGAAAAAATCTTAATAGCCATGATTAGTCCGTTAGTGACCGCTCTCATGGAAACGAAGAATTCGACGTGCAACCTAGCCTATAGACACAGCGCGCTAAGTTTCTCGCCGGATCTTCTCAGTGGGTCACGATTCCGATCCGATGGTCGATTGTGCCAAGCACTTTCTAGGGCTAGTATTAGCAAATTCGTGAGCTGACCTACCCGTCCGCGCGTAGTTGGAATAGTCCCGTAGGCTCCTAGGACGCGCGGTCTGCTCCAGACACCTGCAGACCGTCAAGTCCCACATACCTACCTTGCGTGCCCCCTAGGCAGTGGAAGATTTACACTAGGGACAGTCAGGGCAAGTGCTCAGGACGACAATTTTTTTAAAGTGAATAAACATTTTTTGCCTTATCAAGATTGCTCAATTTAATTAATGAATTCTCTTAATTAATAAATTTCTATTTAATTGATAATTCAAGAAATTCTATTCATCCATTACCTATTTGTGCCATTGTTTTGGCATTTTTGGTAAAAATTAATAATCAAAATTATATAATCGATTTATTTCCTTGGAGATTTAAAATAATAATCGATTATTCTATTTTCTGGAATTAAAGTTTTTTTTTTTATGTAATAGAATTAGGTGTCACCCTTAGTGCCAAATGATTCAAATCAATTTTAAAAATCCATCAACAACAATGATCGTAGAGACATTTTGTATGTCGGTGCCGAACTTTAAAATACGATGAAATATCTATAAGCTTCCGGTAGCTTGTACGTCAAAGTTAGGATGTATTTAAAAGTTAGCGGTGTCTCGGAAACTAGCTGAGCTGGAAAAACCGGACACTGTGCAACCGTACCAAATAGTATATTTAATTTCCATCTTAAATAATATTAATAATAATAAGCCTTTCCTATTTCTGGTTTTACAATCTTAGGTGGATTATAATAGTACCTACATTAAACAACAAATATGACTTTTTTTAGTAAGTTAGCTTAAATTATGTTAGTAATATAAGTAGGTATGTGTATTAAAATAATTATAAATTAACCAGAAATCCCGGTTTGTGTAAATACCTCCTCCAAAGATGCCTTGTGCTATGAAGAGCGAATTTATGCCAATTGACCTTTTCAGATCATCTTCCCAGCGGGCTAAGGGTCTCCCCTTCTCTCTTCATCTTAAATAAACTGCCACAATTATTCTTTTTCCAGTAAACCATTCCAATACCGCACCGGCGACCATTACGAGTTGAACCAATTACCGCGACACGACGCTCCGCAACGAGATACCTACGACGGAATAGGAAACCGTCAAACCTCACACGTGACTGGATACACTGGATACGTACCCGGAATGAATTTTACGTAAGAAATTTATGTGAACTATTTTCACTGACGCAGTTTCGCAGTTGTTAAATTTGATTGTTGTTTGAATTGTAGTGTAGGTATATTGTTAGTTTAATCTTGAATCACGACATATACACAATAAAACGTGTTATAATTTAGTGCATAGATGTACATAATTTAATTGCTAACTTAGTAATACAGATGAGCTTCAGTGTACCGTCCACCTGATTAAGCGACTACTGGCGCTCATTTCTTTTTCTTTTTTTTCGTTCCCCTGCTGATAGCCTTGAGAGGCTATTTCAGCTTCTTCTTGACGTGTAAGTAAGCTCACGGGGCTCAAACCGGGTGTGTTGATAATACTAGCCCTAGCAAGAACAGTGCTTCGCAGAATCTACCACCGGATCGGAAACGCGACCCAATGAGAAGATACGGCGAGAAACTCAGTGGGCTGTGTTTATGGGTTAATTCACTCGTCGAGCCTTTCATCGCAAGCGACGGTTTCGACGAGGACGTTGACCGGCTGGCGATCAAAAGCACCACAATATAAATGTAGTCAATATCTTGTAAAATGCAAATGAAGGGCCAATTTCATTGGAATAATGACCATTATACACTTTTAAATCGTACCGCATTATATCCCCACAGTATAAATACGCAGGACAGTATTATCGTTTACTAACATCCTGTGCGTCCTCACAAAAAAACCAATACGATTGTTTGCTTATTTTGGATTTTATTTCATATACTTAGGTATACTGTAGGTGTAGTGTACCATTACATCTAAGTGTACGCCTTAAGTGTAGTGGTACAATTTACAGCACACTGAGTTTCTCGCCGGATCTTCTATGGGTCGCGTTTCCGATCCGGTGGTTGATTCTGCGAAGCACTGCTCTTGCTAGGGCCAGTGTTAGCAACACCTCCTGGTTTGAGCCCCGAGAGCTCATCTACAAGCTAGGGTAACGCTGATATAGCCTCTCAAGCCTATAAGCATAGAAAAAAAAAACAATTCAATGTATGTACCTTATAACTTCCTTCACCAGTTACGGCAAGTCATATGGACGAACAGCGGACGATTGCATGGAAAATTTCGTGGACAACCAACGTGAATTACGTCGTAAATCTGATTTGAACAGAAGCTATATTAGATCGAGAAGTGCACCGAAAATGGAAACTGTACATTCTAGGGACGAAATACGGAGGGATCTCAGTAGATTCCGGGAGATTAATAAATATAAAGGTAAGATCATAATCTTCAGTCCAGTCAATATACATTTAAATAATAAATAATATAAACAACTGGGAACGAGTCACACACGATAATCTTACCCCAATTTAGGATTCCCTGTGTTATGGATACTAGAGACTGACAAAGATACTTAAATACGTTTAAATATATACATATATAAATAATAAGCACTCAGACAAAGAACAACCAAACCTGTTCATCACATAATATTGGCTCGATGCGGGAAACGAACCCACGACCCTCGGCGCAACAATCAGCGCCGCTAAATACTGTGCCACCGAGTCAGTCAAAATGTACATATTTAATATTAGAAGTTTGTCACATTGTCATGATCTGACCAACGAGGTTTTAAATCAGCTTTTACATAATAACCTCCAAATAGCATGGGTAGGCTATTTATTTTCCAACTCAGCACTCTCGTTAATTTGTACATATTTCCGATTGCATTACGTCGGTTGTTACTCCACTACCGTTGTGGTCATACTTAATCTTTTTATAAGTTAATCGCTTCGCATCTCCCCGTTCGAGCGTAACTGGAATAGTCCTTTAGGCCACCAACTAAAAGGGATAGGGTAGATAGGAAAAAAATAATCGCATCTATGTAAATGACCAAGGATAATTACAATTAAGTACTAAGTATTCAAAATCTTTTCTTTTTCTTTTTATTGCTTAGATGGGTGGACAAACTCACGGCCCACCTGGTCACAAGTGGTTAACGGAACCCATAAACATCTACACCCACAAACAACTACAACGTAGATGCCACCACCTACCTTGAGATATAAGTTCTAAGGTCTCAGTTTAGTTACAACGGTTGCCCCACCCTTCAAACTGAAACGGATTGCTGCTTCATGGCAGAAACAGGCACCTACCCGTGTGGACTCACAAGAAATCCTACCACCAGTAATTACGCAAATTACAATTTTGGGGGTTTGATTTTTATTACACGGTGTTATTCCTTCACCGTGGAAGTCAATCGTTAACATTTGTTGAGTACGTTTTTCATTAGAAAAATTGGTACCCGCCTGCGGGATCAAACACCGTTGTATCGCTCGATACGATTGCACCGTGCGCCTAATACTATTTAGGTTATGACAACTTCTAGTTCGAAATAAAATCGAACAAATTCTATAAAAATTCAACTGCTCAATTATCAAAGCTGTGCACTTTCTTTTAATTTCAGAAAACACAATATCGCCCGAGTTTCCACCAATAGCTGGCTACACGGGCCATATACCACGCATCAAGGGATCGGAAGCATCGTTGAGCCAAAGATACCATTGCGCTGCCAAACGGGGCCTTGAACTTATTAGACAGGAACGAGACACAAGAAAGGAACTCATAAACGCCGACACGAAAATTAGAACTATACTCAAAGATCATGATGATAAAAAATATTCATACTGGAACTGGGGATAGCATACGGGAAGAAGAATGTTCTTCACGAAACGTAGGTGAACGTTCTTCTGTGACCAAACTTTTAAAACATCCCGACTTCGAACCATTCCTTGTAACTAAAATCAATTAAATAAGGCTATGTACTGGACTATTACTATGCCCAACTTTCAATTTAAAACACATGGAAAATTAAACCTTACAACAATCACGATACGGTCTATTACAAATTTTCTTGAACAAAATATAGATTATCATTACCACGGCATTTCGTTGTTCCTGCGATTGAATTAGTGTGGAATGCTTAACGACGACGAGAAGATCTTCCACCGAGCGCGTGTTATTGCTCAGTAGACCGACGGTCCGAATCCTTATCTTGAAAATGTCGTAAGCGAGATTCAGGCATCTGTCAAATATCTTGTGTTGTGTGTTGGCTACCGCCACAATAGAAATCTTCTTAACAAAGTACTGTATTGATAGTTGAAATCTCATCAATATTGAAGAAAATTGTCACACACGTCACAAGCACAATAAAAAAAACCAAATGGATGAAGCGGGTTTGTGAATTTCACATTCAGTATTTTCAAAATCACGAAAATATTTGTAATATTGAGTACAAAGTGATGGCAAATGCAAAGGTACTTTAAGGGGATATAGATTAAGAAAATTAAGAGTATGCGAGGCATTCAAAAAGTATTTTAAAGATACTTCCAATTTGTAAATGCCTTCAAGTTACGAATGTTCTAGAAATAAATATACATTGTTCTATAAACTTTCGTTTTATTAGGTAAGTACTTTATGTATTTTTATAAAATCGTTTTAAAACCTTGGCAGTTCTAATGTGAACTAACACACCATTTAATATTAGAAAAGTACTGGACAATCATAATAATATACAAAAAAAAAAAAAAAGTGTGTGTGTCCGCTCCGACGCACGACTGGAGTTTACTGGATATAAAAAATTAAACGAAACAATACGAGAAATAGTTCTATATTACGACAACACGATACACTACAGATTATTAACAAATTAACGAGACACAAAACAAACGACTAACAAATATATGAAAATACAATAATGAGAGAAACGCGCGATCNCATACTGGAACTGGGGATAGCATACGGGAAGAAGAATGTTCTTTACGAAACGTAGGTGAACGTTCTTCTGTGACCAAACTTTTAAAACATCCCGACTTCGAACCATTCCTCGTAATTAAAATCAATTATTTAATGTAGCCCGAAGTTTGAATTTAAAACACATGGAAAATTAAACCTTACAACAATCACGATACGGTCTATTACAAATTTTAATGAGCGAAATATAGATTATCATTGCCACGGCATTTTGTTGTTCCTGCGATTGTATTAGTGTGGAATGCTTAACGACGACAAGATCTTCCACCAAGCGAGTGATATTTTTTTTTCCTACCTAAGCTGATAGCCTTGAGAGGCTACTTCAGCGGAACCTTAACTAGTAGGTGAGCTCACGGGGCTCAAACCTGAGGACATTGCTAACACGAACCCTAGCAAGAGCCGTGCTTCGCAGAATCTACCACCGGATCGGAAAAGCGACCCACTGAGAAGATCCGGCGAGAAACTCAGTGGGCTGTGTCTGAGGGTAAATTTACTCGCCGAGCCCTTCGTCGTAAGCGACGGGTTCGGCGAGAACGGTGACTGGTACTTGAGTTACCTAAAAGCACCGTTAGTGGATCAGGAGGATCCGAAATGACGTGTTTGGGGCGACGTCGACTACTTTCCATTCTTTCCGCAGGATCGGGAATGTAGTTACCGGCAGCCACGATGAGAGGGTTCTCATATCGTGCCGCTTTATCGAAGTGGCGGGTGATATTGCTCAGTAAAACTTATATGCAAGATTATCTTGAAAATGTCGTCAACGAGATTCAGGCATCTGTCAAATATCTTGTATTCTACGTTGGCTACCGCCACAATAGGAATTTTTTAACAAAGTACTGTATTGATAGTTGAAATCTCATCAATATTGAAGAAAATGGTCACACACGTCACAAGCACAATAAAAAAACTAATGGATGAAGCGGGTTTGTGAATTTCACATTCAGTATTTTCAAGATCACGAAAATATTTGTAATATTGAGTACAAAGTGATGGCAAATGCAAAGGTACTTTAAGGGGATATAGATTAAGAAAATTAAGAGTATGCGAGGCATTCAAAAAGTATTTTAAAGATACTTCCAATTTGTAAATGCCTTCAAGTTACGAATGTTCTAGAAATAAATATACATTGTTTTATAAACTTTCGTTTTATTAGGTAAGTACTTTAAGTATTTTTATAAAATCGTTTTAAAACCTTGGCAGTTCTAATGTGAACTAACACACCATTTAATATTAGAAAAGTACTGGACAATCATAATAATATACAAAAAAATAGGAAACATTATTTAATTAAGATTATTGTCATGTTCAACACGACTTATCTATAATGGATCTATAATATAATAATTACTACTTATCTTTAATGGATTTAAATTATCAACAAGGCACATACATAAGGCACATATAACAAACTTAAACTTAATTTTGTAAAAATAGAAAAATAGTTACTTTGCTTGTGTTTAATCATTTGTTAATCTCTAACATTTTAAATTAATAAATAGTTTCTAGTGTATACTTAATACATAATCTTATTCTATGCGATCTTATTAATCAAATTATATTTGAATTTTTTAACCAATTGTTATAATTTATGTTTCTAGTGTAATATTCAATTAAAAATGTTAAGGAATCATGGCTTGATACAAAATAACTTTACCAGATTATGTAAGTCTATGGTTACATTAGATATTAGACTAGGTCCACTTTGCATAGTTTGTAGTTGAACGAAAGTGATAATGATCAAAGATTAAATATACCTCAACCTCCTATGATTTCATAATCAAATATCGGGTTTCATGCATGCAGTTCACAAATTTTAGGAAGACATACTTTATAAAAAAGATTAACTTAAAAGAGAGAACCAAAAACGTCATACTATTGACACAAGTGTCCTTAACAATTAAATTTATGGTAATATGATAAGTCTAAAACAAGAAAAATTACTAGAATACTACAATCGGGAGCCTTTATTGAAATTGACTGGCTCTAAATTCATTTTTATTTTCAATGAGTTTTAAATTAATTGACATCTCAGTAATTCTATATTTTTGAATTTTTAATTTCTCTGTTACCCAAACTAATTATGTTTGGTAATAAATTATTGATTTCATAATTATGCTATGACTTATTGGTATTAATTTCGACCATCTTACCTGTCCTCTCATCAACACCATCGATTATAACTGGATTATCGTCATTGAGGGTTAATGCTTCATTAATTTCATTTTTCTTTTCATTAGCAAGTTCGAGCATGAGAGTTTCAAGTTTCTGAGCCTTCCTCATTTCGTTGTGTGTTATTAAGGCGCATAAATGTTCTGTGAGCAGCTCTTTCTTTTCCTTTTCTTTTTGCAGCTGAATCTTCGCATTAAGAAATTCTTTTTCAACTCGTAAGTATTGTTTCCTGAAACATATTTAAGCAGAATTAATTGATTATTGCATGTAGGTCGTAAAAATATAATATTAAAGAAGATTTTTGTTAATTAACCCTTCTGGAAATAAAAAAATCAATACTAACTCAGCATCAGCATAACTTAAGCAGGCTTGATCTATTTTCTTCCTCAATACTGACACATCCTGTGAAAATTGACTGTCCAATACTTGTAGTTCTTTCTTGATTTTCTCAAGTTTCATTACTTCTTCTTCTGTCTGTTTCGTCCTAAAATTTTAATTTGATACCTGTGTAAATTGTTTTGTCTTTCTTTTCAACCTACTGGAATAATTTTTTGTGTTACTCTTGTGAAAGATATACTCTGCAGTAGTTTGTAATTAAGCAGACTACTCTGTGTTAGTAAAATAATACACCTTGATTTACTTGTAGAATGTTCTTTAGGTCAAGATAAAAACTAGCTTTCTGCCTCCATATTAGAGGCGGTGGTAGGCAGGGCATGTCAGAGTGGAACTGACTAAAACCGTTTATTACTGAACAGCTCACATCTGAATAAGAATGCATACCTAAATCATAGAAAATGGCATAAGTATTGAATATAGCAAAAAAAGTGTCCATGTAAGAAAATAATAACAATAAAATGATAAATATTAAAATATGTAAACATTAGTATCATTAATAAATAAATATTAAAAATATATTAACTTATATGATTCATAGTTTAAATGATTAACATTGATGTGTACTTTTTTTTAAATGACATTATTCAACAAATATATTATTATATTATATTTTTAAAACACTAATATTTCATTGCAAAAAGCAGAAATTTATAAAAACATTTAAGTTTCATCATTTCAACATTTATGTAAACTTTATCAACTTCAATGTAATTTTTCTCTTATCACTGCATGTGTTTGTAACATAATTCTAAATTGAAATCACAACTTCACATTATAACACTGTTGGCAATTTACATGACACATACCATATTGTTTTAGTGATGAGCTGGAAAAACTTTTTGTTCACCATTTTTTTAAGACATTTCAAAAATATATATTTTTTTAAATAAAATAACTTTAGCAGTTTAAAATGTATATGCACTGTACACATCTGTTTAGCAATTATCTTGTTTTGTATCTCAACACTGATAATGGATCTCTCAGTTCTGATAACTGATAACTAGGTGACATTCAGACAGATTTCTGATTGCATTGAATTGACACAACCATAAATATTGTAGTGCTCAATTTTAAAAAAGAATTTCTCAGTAAATTTTTATTAGTTTTAAAAATGCAAGTGTGCCCAAAAATTAAGTTAAATTAAAATTAAAAAAGTATTTGTTAACCATAATTATTCATAAATAATACTAATTTAAATTAATTAATTCATCAATCAAACCTGTCAGCTAAAGCTTTTGCAATCATTTCCTTTCTTTTCTTATTCTGTTCTTCCATAATCTTCTGTTTGAGTTGCAATTCTCCTAACTTCACTTTGTGAGAGGCCAGTTCATGTTCTGTATATTGAAAATCAACACCTCTCACTATGTCCGGAGCAGTACTACTCCTTCTACTACTTGTAATATCACTCTTGTCTGCTTCGATAGTATCTACTTGTACTTCATCATTTCCCTCTACATTATTTTGCAAAATAACTTGATTTTGTTTGTCCTCCTCCATTTTAGCATTTTTGGAGGGTGACGTTGGTGTTTTTAAACTAAGCTTACATTTATCAAAATCTATGCTGTCTATTCCATCGTCTGAATCCTGTTTCTGATTAATGGCTGTCTTATATTCATATGGCTTGGTTTTCATTGATAATTTAACTCGTTTTATATTCGAATTTTTTATGTACTCTGTAATTAAAATGGTTATTAAATGTAGACTGTCTCATAGGCAGTAAAAATTGTTGCATTACACACACCATTAATTATAAGGTTGTGCAAGGCACTGATATAGGCCAATCCAATTGGTGGATTATATGTTACTGAAGTAGAAATTATAGATATCTAGTAGATACGACTATGCTTCACTGACATTTGTAATAAAGAAGTGAAGAAGAAATTTGTGATCAATTTTACTTTTTTTTTACTTTAATTTTGCTTGCACAATTTGGCTTCAGTGACTTTTATCATTTATATTTTTTCTTGAAACTCTTAGAATCATTTGGCAATCATTATTATTTAGAATAAAGCTAATTTTCTTGAAGAAGCTTTGATTTATACCCAAAAATCGTTCTTAGATCTACTTATATATGTTGAGATATTAATATTTCAAATTCTAATCGCATGCGCTACTATTTAAAACTCTGAATAAGCGTTCAGTTATTGATATGCTTAAAAAAAGTATATTTCAAGCTCCATACGTACTGTTTTTACTCTCATCGGCAGTTTCGCCAGATTTAATTCTTTCCAAGTCATCTTCACTAAAACCTGTAAATTGTGACATGTTTCATTTGTTTTTACATAGATATGTCAGGGTTATGTTTTTCATATAAGGTGCATTAATGTAAAAAATTGCAAAACTCATAGATAGATCGTAAATGTAAAAATCTATATTTTCATTGATTCAACACTGATTCACATCAAATTTTTACTATTCTGCAACACTACTTTGACATTGACTATTTGACGTTAATGGAACTTTTTTAATCACGTTAGATTGAATTCTGGTCTTTTAAGCCAAAAACCCATTGAAATAGTGTTTCGCCCATTTAATTATTCGAATCCATTTAACATTTATTTTAACAATATGTACATTTTGTCTTTAAAATGGTTTGGTGTTATAGCTCTACTCTCAGCATAAGCACTTCAACACACAATGTTGAAGTTCTCGTTTTCTATTCCCAAAATAGTTTTATAAAAAAACCGACTCTACTTTCAATTATTTGATGGTTTTTAGTTAGGCCAAAGATCGTTCATACCATCTTTAATTAAACAAACTTATCTAAATGTTTTTATTGGTAATATATAGTTTTATGGAAGCTTTTCACATATTTTTTCTTCTCTTCACATTTTATCAATAGCGAATTCCTCCAAATACGTTGAGAACTTTCAGCTTAGGTGTGTCGTTTTAGTCGCTACAAGCCCTTCTCTATTAGTTAAACATATTTGAAAGTGTAAAAGATTGTGGAAATATAACAAAATCACTGGACCTGACTTCTCAGGACTTTATGTTTATATAAATTAAAGAAAATAATTACCATTTTCTGTTGTTTTTTTTTCAACTGGGCTTCAATAATAATAAGATGAAATACATACTATTATTAATTTTTTACTACATTTTTTTAAAGGGATTTTATGACCTGGACTAACTAAAACTTTTAGGTCAAGTCTTATTTTAATTTTATGTTACGTAACTTTTTTATATGAAAATTATAGAAATGAAATGAAGTTGAATAATATGAAACATGGCATGAAGTGAAATGAAAACGAAATGAAATGAAATGAGATGAGATGATATGGGATGAAGTATAATCTCAGTAAAATGGTGATCATTTACTGAGACTTTTTCAGTGGACTTTTTGGAAGATCCCGAGAACTTACGTTCAGTGGCTTTGTTTCGTTTTCCCACATTTGTGCACTTTCACAGTTACAGTTAAGCAGTTAATAAGCCACCGTTATTACACATTTAAACCTGAAGAAAGACTAATTAGACAAAATAAAACAAACCACTCCTCGCGTTCCCGCCGAAAAGTCCTAGAAAGAACTAATTATAATAAATTTTAAACTAACTGTGTTTTATCTATGGTGGTGTATTATCTATGAGTAGCTGATGGCCGTGTTGCAAATTCAATGCTTTCATAAATAAAAAATAAAAAAATATCTATGAGTAGAAATTAGCGTCGAACTCGAAGCGAAGCCGATACATTTTGAGGTTATATTTTGTATTTCTTGTTAGCCGATATTAAAGTAAGTACTGATGTTTCTTAAATAAGCAATGAAAACAATAAAGGTGGTTTGAAAATGAATTAACATCCAATTTACTTTTTAGAACCTGCAAAAATGGCGGCTGCTATGCCAATAAATCCCAAACCATTTCTTAATAGTCTAACGGGTAAATCCGTGCTAGTTAAATTAAAATGGGGTCATGAATACAAAGGTTTGTTAGTATCAACAGATGGCTACATGAATTTGCAACTTGCTAATACTGAAGAACTTGTCGATGGAACTTGTACAGGTTAGTATTTAAGTGAACAACTTTAAGTAATCACGAAAACATATTAAAGCAAGAGATTAAGATCTACTGGTAGTGGACCTGGACCAAAATTGAATTAAAAATGAGACGTTCGTTGTTTGTTTGGTCTATTATGAGTACACTATTCTGCACCCATTTCGACTTCAAAGCTTTCAAGCATTCTGCTTTGAAGAGTAGATTTAATATTCATATTGTAATAAACTTATAAATTCTAGAAGCCACTTAACACTAAATGTCATGGGGTTTATTTGCCCTTTTAATGAAAAAAAAAGTACTCGCTATCAAAGAATGCACAGAATCAATAAATTTCATAACAAGAGACAACATGACACTTGAGTCGTCTATTATCAAAGGTGGCAATCTGTGCATTTGGACAAAACATTTTTATTGAAATGTCAATACAGATTTATTTGAATATAATCGTCTCCTTCAAAGAATACGGTTCAAAACCTGCATTAAATAAAGGTTAATAGTTAACCTGTTATTTATCTAAGATGTCGTTCCGAAGAGTTTTGTGACTGCCAATGGAATACAAAGTCAATAATTCGTTTTTCTGATTTACCAATCATTGTCCAAAAGTCAGATTGCCGCCTTTGATAATAGTCGACTCACTTACAAGATTGCAAACCAAACTTTTTGCTTGTGAATAGTTTTGTGAATTTAATTAATTTAAATTAGTAAATAAAATGTAGAAATCAAATCTTAACATTTAAATTTTTTTTTGAATTTTTTTTTTTTGTGATTCTATAGTTTATTGTAATCAGTCCAAGCTACATCAAACTTAATGAAGTCATATTAGCAGAGTTCTGTAAAGCTTTAACGGCGTTTGTTTTGAATACTAGTTCAGTTAGTTCTGTTAGTCCATACATACAAAACACTAAATTAAGAATGCTACTTAATTTAAGTATTGGGTTTATTTCCAGGTAATTTAGGTGAAGTTTTAATAAGATGCAATAATGTCTTGTATGTAAGAGGAGCTGATGAAGAAGATGAAGAAGGAGAAATGAAAGAATAATTAGTAATTATTACATAAGTTAGAATAAGGAATTATCTTAAGAATAACAGGCAAAAGGGAAATTTTAAGCAAAAAAATAGAAATTTCATATTACTCTGTTAGCAGTAAAATTACCTTAGGTATATATCCCGAAATACTAATGATTGAGGAGAAAAATGTTAATTGGAACTATTGTTTTATACAATGTTTAAATGAAACAACTTTAATACTTTTTTTTTAATAACTATGTCTGAAACAACCTCTTCAGCATGAATTCCATAATTTGTATAATTAATTATAAGTAAATTTTCACCATAACCTTGTTTTATTTTCTCAACACTAACTTTACAGGAAAATATTTGCAATTTATATTGTCCTTGCAAAAAAGTAGCATGTGAAAACAGTGAAATATATTGAAAATTATATGTTAAAAATCTATTAAAAATCTTCAATCTATTTTACCCCATTCCTTCTTGCTCTTTTTTGGCCTTTGGGTATTAGATTCCAAATTCGCCAAAAAACACCATTTTCATTTAAAAAAACTTTGGTTTTCATTCTGGTTATGATTTGAAACTGAAAAGTAAATAATACAACCTAATTTAATATAGTTAAAGCTATAGAACTGACACTAAAAAGAGATGCATATTAATTTATAGGGTCTAGTCTGTGAGAGAACGAGATAGAAAACTCCTGCAGCTTACACTTCTACATTTTGCGAATTTCTCGCTTTCTATTGTTCTGGATGAAGAAAAAAGCTGACTGCCTACTTGGTATTAAGTAGTTGCCATAGCCCACTACATAAATCATCACTCATCTTAAGCCTTGATGCATGAGGTACAGAATGCAGAATAGTGATATTATCTCATTCATGCTTATCCCACATTCCACTTAGAATTACGAACTTATAAACATTGCCATATCGATTTTGAACGCCTACAGGATAAGCTATTGATTGTGGATGTCGGTGAACTTCGATCAATAATAGTACTAGATTACGGATCAGGAACAAAAATAAGACGCTCCAGTGGCCACGTTTGCAGACACGAAAACATCTTCATTTCTTAGAAAAAAGTTTAATAATGTTAACGACTTCAGTTTATTATAAACCTTAATACTTAAACATAAAGTTTAATTACCATTGCAAAATATATGTATTTAGGTCCTTTCGTCAGAAAAAGAATATTATGGAATAAATTTAAAATGTCACTTGAACATAAAAAGTCATCAGTACAAAAATATTTATTCTAAAATGATACTTAAAGCCTAATTTATAAGGTTAAAAATATTTATTTAAAATTTCGTGCTTATTGTATTGTGGAACTAGATGTAGTTCTTGGTATTACATTTCAATGCTCAGAACACAGTAAGTATTGAAAGACATANGTTACGTTCAGTGGCTTTGTTTCGTTTTTCCACATTTGTGCACTTTCACGGTTACAGTTAAGCAGTTAATAAGCCACCGTTATTACACATTTAAACCTGAAGAAAGACTAATTAGAGCAAATAAAACAAACCACTCCTCGCGTTCCCGCCGAAAAGTCATAGAAAGAACTAATTATAATAAATTTTAAACTACCTGTGTTTTATCTATGGTGGTGTATTATCTATGAGTAGCTGATGGCCGTGTTGCAAATTCAATGCTTTCATAAATAAAAAATAAAAAAATATCTATGAGTAGAAATTAGCGTCGAACTCGAAGCGAAGCCGATACATTTTGAGGTTATATTTTGTATTTCTTGTTAGCCGATATTAAAGTAAGTACTGATGTTTCTTAAATAAGCAATGAAAACAATAAAGGTGGTTTGAAAATGAATTAACATCCAATTTACTTTTTAGAACCTGCAAAAATGGCGGCTGCTATGCCAATAAATCCCAAACCATTTCTTAATAGTCTAACGGGTAAATCCGTGCTAGTTAAATTAAAATGGGGTCATGAATACAAAGGTTTGTTAGTATCAACAGATGGCTACATGAATTTGCAACTTGCTAATACTGAAGAACTTGTCGATGGAACTTGTACAGGTTAGTATTTAAGTGAACAACTTTAAGTAATCACGAAAACATATTAAAGCAAGAGATTAAGATCTACTGGTAGTGGACCTGGACCAAAATTGAATTAAAAATGAGACGTTCGTTGTTTGTTTGGTCTATTATGAGTACACTATTCTGCACCCATTTCGACTTCAAAGCTTTCAAGCATTCTGCTTTGAAGAGTAGATTTAATATTCATATTGTAATAAACTTATAAATTCTAGAAGCCACTTAACACTAAATGTCATGGGGTTTATTTGCCCTTTTAATGAAAAAAAAAGTACTCGCTATCAAAGAATGCACAGAATCAATAAATTTCATAACAAGAGACAACATGACACTTGAGTCGTCTATTATCAAAGGTGGCAATCTGTGCATTTGGACAAAACATTTTTATTGAAATGTCAATACAGATTTATTTGAATATAATCGTCTCCTTCAAAGAATACGGTTCAAAACCTGCATTAAATAAAGGTTAATAGTTAACCTGTTATTTATCTAAGATGTCGTTCCGAAGAGTTTTGTGACTGCCAATGGAATACAAAGTCAATAATTCGTTTTTCTGATTTACCAATCATTGTCCAAAAGTCAGATTGCCGNAGTTTAATTTAGGCTTATTTTATGGCTGTGTTCGTTTCCCCCAGAAAACAAATCCTTTTCAGCATATACGCTTAAAATATTTACACATACATATAAAGTTTTTTTAATACTTTTTTGCATTGATTTGCCACCACCATTGAACAATTCTAGAATTTTTATAAGGGTTCTATATTTCTTCTCCTCTTTCTTTCGCGACAATATATATCCATTGTGCACAGCGACAAGGGGCTACTAGGAAATCTACAAACAAAAATAGCATTATAAAATAACAAAACTACTCTATGCATTCCCTGTCCAAGAATAGGTGATGTTTGTTAGAATAGTTGGTGCCTTGTTGCAAACATTGGCCAAACAATTACAATATTCGTAAATTGTGTTCTATTTACAATATAATTGTGTTTATTATTTTATGAAAAACACTTAATAATATAAATTTACCAAAAAAAGATATTCCTTCCAAAACCTTGGTGTTACGGTGGTTTTTTACTCAGTTTTTGAACGCGCATTGCAGCGTTTTGACGTCTTAGTGTTGGCTATGATTGGACCATACTAATTTGAAATAAGACCACAAATTTATTTGTGGTCTTATTTTTCGGGCCGCTTTTGAAGCGCTAATCGCGAATCTAGTAGTATTATTGATCGAAGTCGGTGAACAAGCATTGGAACATATTTAGAGACGACCTAAAGATAGTTCACAAACTGATCTCCTACATTAGTCTTTCGTGCACGGATGGCTGTGAAATTCTTATAGTCCATATCGCGAGACAACAAGTACCTTAGTGTCAGGGAATACCAAAAAAAATTTATCAGCTGTCTGTAAAGTCGGTTTACGGACGATAATTTTACATGTTAACGTCAGTAGCAGAACTATTCGAACTGCTAGCTCTTACGTCACGCGACATAAATGTGTCACAAGCCAACACTTGGGCCGATCGTGCCTCTTTATCGCTTGTTCCCTGCTCTCGCTTGCACGCTCAGGCGTAACGTGACATTTTTTCGTGCGTGTAGCCGATACTTATCGATTAATCACGCCAGTATGCTATCCCTCTGTTTGTCTTGTATTAGTATTTGTTTAATGTGAGTGGGTAACATAATAAAATCACTGTAATTAATAAAATGGTTTTATCAGATTTTCCAAAAAATCCGCCTAAGACTCGGCACAAGATGATACGATTTCGCTGAAGACAGATACGATTTGAAATCTTCACGACTTGTAAGAGGATAAAAACAGCGTCGAAAACACCTTCTTCGACAGTAAAGCGAGAATGCAACAGCCCCCTGAGTTTCTCGCCGGCACTTCTCAGCGGATCGCTATCAATGTCGTTATAGATTCATTAGCGAAACAGCTGCTCTTGATGTGTTAGGCCTGCTATGGAAAGTTCAGGCAGTTGTTGATAAATTCCAGATTTATGAGAAATACCCATTTTTTAAAAGTAATCGAGCGCCACCTCTCGTTATTTTGTGGTACTATGAACCTTTCCTGAAATACCAACAACCACTGTTTACATTTTTTTAACTGTTGTGTATAACTTTTATATAGTATCTTGTAATGTGAAAATAATACTTTTAGGTACTGAACATTTAATCAATTTACATTTCCGGAAAGCGATTAGGTAAATCCAAAATAATAATCACAAATCGAAGGTTTGAAATAAGTAAATTTATTGTACATAAAGGACATAAAAAAAAACAATCATTTAAAATCTGTAGCAAACACGATCAAATTATGATTTCAATATTTATCAAAATATTCTTTATAAACGGATAAATTCACCTCAACTTAAAACTAACAAAAAAACGCCGTCCACGTGAACATTATTTTTAAAACTGACGTTTTGTGTCGGAACAATCGGTAATACACAGAGTAACATAACATTCTCACTTTGAGCATCGACTAATCTAAATATTGCTTACAATTTCGTAATGTAATTATTGAATTTCAATAGTAATATGCTGTTATCGCAACAAATCTTCTGTCGAGGTAATTCTGTTCCACTTCCAATGAGCCGCGCATGCTTCTTGCTAACGAGATTATCTGAGAACAAAATAAAAACCTTAATGTTTTAGGTATATTCAGTAACGCGCAAACAGTTTATTTACGAGTTAATCATATTGCTTATTGATAACGTCATTATTGCGTTTAAGTCTATTGTACACAAATAATGATAATTTATTGTAAACAATAACGAACTAACGTAGGAGATTTTTTTTATCTGAATTTGATTTTTGGTTATTCTTTTTGTTATTGCTTATATAATATAAATATAATAAGTAAATAGGCAGGGTGGTGGTACCTACCCGTACGGACTCACAAGAGGTCTTACCACCAGTAATTACGCAAATTATAATTTCGCGAGTTTGATTTTTATTACACGATGTTATTCCTTCACCGTGGAAGTCAATCAAGAACATTTTTTGAGTACGTACTTCATTAGAAAAAATTAGTACCCGCCTGTGGGAATCGAACATCGGTGCATCGCTCAACACGAATGCATCGGACGTCTTATCCTTTAGGCCACGACGACTTCTAAACTGCTAAACCGATCTGTTGGTAGATTCAGTGAAGCACTGCTCTTGTTAAGGCTAGTGTTAGAAAATTCGTCAGGCTGAGCCCCGTTGTATCCGACCGCGGCGGAGCAACGCAAAGTCGCCCTCGTCCGAAACATGTCTTGTCGGATCCCCCGGATTCGCTCTCGGTGCTTTTAAGCCCCTCAAGCACCGGTCTCCGTCTTCGTCGAACTCTTTCAACGAACTAACCCATAGACAACAGTCCACTGAGTTTCACGCCGGATCTTTTCAATGGCTCGCGATTCCGATTCGGTGGTAGATTTTGCTAAGCACTGCTCTTGCTAGGGCTAGTGTTAACAAAATTCTCTCAGGTTAAGCCCGTGAGCTCACCTACCCGTTCAGGCGTAGCTGGAATAAGCCTCAGGCTACCAGCGACTAGTTAGGGACAATGTAATTATACTGAGACTGAGACTTTCACTGACAAGTAGTTGATGATATAAGGAGTAACTTAGGCTACTTTTTTTAGACTAGCTTCGCCCCGCGGTGGCACTCACGGTACGACAATAGCCGCGGGTAACATCGCGGGGCTCAACTATCTATACATATAAATAAAATTGGAGTGTCTGTTTGTAATATTGAAATACCCGCTTTTTACTACATGCATATGAATATATATACGGTACATACACCAAAATAACATTTTTTACAATTTTTGTCTGTCTGTCTGTCTATTTGTTCCGGCTAATCTCTGGAACGGCTGGACCGATTTTGACGGGACTTTCACTGACAGGTAGCTGATGATATAAGGAGTAACTTAGGCTAACATTTTTTAGACTAACTTCACCCCGCGGCGTCACCCGCGTTATGACAATAACCGTAACATCGCGGGACTCAACTATCAATAAAAAAATTTAATGTTTCCGAAGCGAAGCGAGGGCCGGTCGCTAGTAAATAAAGAAAACGTCGCGAGGAGGGGGTTAGTGCGCTCACCTGGTCGGGTCGGGAGTTCCGCGGCAAGTACAGCACCACGCATGCCGACACGCTGCGGGCGACGCGCATCAGCTCGGACGCCGGCTTCGGCTCCAGCATCGTCTCCAGGTCGTACTCGCGGCTCTGTCAAACACAATAAGCCATTTCTACATCGAATCAATCCTGCTAAATATTATAAATGCGAAAGTCTGTAAGAATTGTTGTAGGACTGTTGTTTCACTGGTGGTAGGACCTCTTGTGAGTCCGCGCGGGTAGGTACCACCGCCCCGCCTATTTCTGCCGTGAAGCAGTAAAATTCAAACGAAGGAACAAAAAAGATCTTGTATTAATGACATGCGGTTATCTGGTCCCAAACTAGGATTCGTTATATTATAGGATACATACTTATGTACGTATATATAGTATGTATATATACGACAAAGAGCAGCCCAATTTGTTCGTCACATGAAAGTTAATCCGACGTGAGAAAGGTCCCCACCAACAACTACTACGCCATCTATTCAGGGAAGAAAAGCAGTAATCCCTCGTTCCAATTTTTTATTTCTTTACGGCCCACCTGATGTTAAGTGATTACTAGAGCCCATAGACACCTACAACGTAAATGTCGCCGCATGCCTTGAGAGATGAGTTCTAAAGTCTCACTTTTAACAGTACAACCGCTGCCCCACCCTTCAAACTGAAACGCCTTACTGCTTCAGCTACCCGTGTGGATTCACTAGAGGTCCTACCAACAGTAATTATTATCTAGTAGACACGCAGACTATTGTTTCGCTGCAATTCGGCACGACGTCTCAAAGAAACGACAACTCACGCTCGAGTAACTGGGTCCTCCCCACGGAGGGCTCAGGAACACCATGTCGGCCGCGAGTTGGGGCGCCAGCTCGAAGAAGTCGCCAACGATGAACTGTATCCGATCCGACACGCCGTACACCTGAGCGTTGTGCTTCGCCATCTCTATCTTCAACGGATCGATATCTATCGCTATGACTGGAAACAAAAATATAACCTTAGATTAGATGGGACTTTATATACTTGTTTCACTTTCACTTTCACTTACTGGTGGCAGGACCTCTTGTGAGTCCGCGCCACCACCACCATCACCCTGCCTATTTCTGCCGTGAAGCAGTAATGCGTTTCGGTTTGAAGGGTGGGGCAGCCGTTGTAACTATACTTGAGACCTTAGAACTTATATCTCAAGGTGGGTGGCGCATTAACATTGTAGATGTCTATGGACTCTAGTAACCACTTAACACCAGGTGAACTTTGAGCTCGTCCGTCCATCTAAGCAATAAATTTTTTTTTAGATATGAATGAGAAGATTAGTATAGACAGTCATCGTGGTGTTGTCACGCCTCCTGTAACAGCAGTTTATAAGATAAGACGCGCGGTATTCGACTCCTATGAGCGGGTACCAAATTTTGACGAGCGACTTTAACGATTAAGTATCGACTTAACCCATAGATCCGGTGGTAGATTCTGCGAAGCACTGCTCTTGCTAGGGCCAGTGAGCTCACCTAATAGCTCGGTGAATCGAGAATAACCCCTCGAGGTTATTAGAATAAGCAGAAAAAATAAGTAATGACATCGTATAACAAAAAACTAACCCATGAAAATTATGAGTCCGCAAGATTAGGTAGGTACAGCGACCTTGTTTATTTGTACCGCGAAGCAGTCATGCTATCCGGTTTGAAGAGTGGGGCAGCCATTATAGCAAGTGGACACTTCGACAAAATCTCCTAAGATGACTGCATTCACGTTATGATATCTATGGTATTCTATAACCACTTAACACTATTATAGAGGATTATAAGGTCGTTGACCCGTCATTGCAATAAATAAAACGGGCATTATAGATAAAATTCTGTCATCATCAGCTTTCAGAAAAAAATACGTTTTTTTTTTTTGTACTGTTGCCGAGGGTGAAATTATTTGAAGAGGTTCTCAGGTCGGCTCCAGTACCAAGTAACAACGTAAGGTCGTTCCATCAGCTAATACAAGAGTCGATGACGTCAGTACCTTTCTTGCTAGTCTTGGCGAACTGTATAGTGTTTCCGCCGGCGCCGCAGAAGGCGTCCACCACGGTGTCGTACGGGCACTTGGCGGCGATGTGACGGGCCACGTTCTCAGGGGTCACGCTGAACCAGCTCTCCCGGTCCAACTTTATACCCTCGTCGAATCTGTGGAAGTAAATCGATCTCGATTTTGTATTTAAGCACTGTTATTAACTACCGACATTAAGGCGCGTTATGAGCTCGCACAGGTAGACGCCGTCGTCTTGCTTATTGTTGACTAGCTGACCAGGCAGACTTCGTAGTGCCTCAATCGATAAAGAAAAGACCTGAACTTTTGTATAAAATAAACTTAAAACAAACAAAAGGAATCCGTCCGACGGGGGACACTTCAAAGGAAAAACAAAATTGTTATTCTTATTTAATTCCGAGCATTTTCATATTTATCTACCTTTTAAACCTTCTCTGGACTTCCACAAGTAATTCAAGACCAAAATTAGCCAAATCGGTCCAGCCGTTCTCGAGTTTTAGCGAGACTAACGATCAGCAATTCATTTTTATATATATAGATAGGGATAGATAGATAGATAAAGATATAAAGATAGAGAAACAATAGTAGTCATCGCGGCCTAAAGGATAAGACGTCCGGCACATTCGTATCTAGCGGTGCACCGGTGTTCGAATCCCTCCGGCAAGTACCAATTTTTCTAATGAAATACGTACTTAACAAATGTACACGATTGATTTCCACGGTGAAGGAATAACATCGTGTATAATATCCAGCAAACTTCTTGAGCATTTGTTGACGTAGTGGGGGTAAGTTTGCGCATGGTACACTCACATGCAAAAACATTATTTACTCTGCGTCATAATGCAATTAAATTATTAAAATCAACATATGTATTTATTTATATATTTATTAGAACATCAACAAAAAATATAGGTTAATAATTATAATAATTTAATCTTGGGGTAAAATAGATATTCCTTNCTGGGATTATTGCAATTACAAAATGTATTCCGTGACCCACCTTGAGACATGAGGTCGGTTTCTCAAATGCGCATCCATACTTCAGAACATACAGCCGTTAATTAAAAGATGGCGCGTAACGGAAAAATGTGACGCGTAACCGAAAAACGTGACGGTAAATTTTTTTCCAACGCCGATAAGGAAGTTTCACTTCAAAAACTACATTTTTTTGGTGATAAGAATAGTACTTCTCGGTCGGTCGGTTCCAGTAACAAGTAACACGTAAGGTCGTTGAATCAGCTAATACAAGAGTCGATGACGTCAGTACCTTTCTTGCTAGTCTTGGCGAACTGTATAGTGTTTCCGCCGGCGCCGCAGAAGGCGTCCACCACGGTGTCGTACGGGCACTTGGCAGCGATGTGACGAGCCACGTTCTCAGGGGTCACGCTGAACCAGCTCTCCCGGTCTAACTTTATACCCTCGTCGAATCTGTGGAAGTAAATCGATCTCGATTTTGTATTTAAGCACTGTTATTAACTACCGACATTAAGGCGCGTTATGAGCTCGCACAGGTAGACGCCGTGGTCTGGCTTGCTGTTGACTAGCTAAACCGGCAGACTTCGTAATGCCCCAATCGATAAATAAAAGACCTAAACTTTTGGATAAAATAAACTTAAAACAAACAAAAGGAATCCGTCCGACGGGGACACATCAAAGGAAAAACAAAATTGTTATTTTTATTTAATTCCGAGCATTTTCATATTTATCTACCTTTTGAAACTTCTCTGGACTCCACAAGAATTCAAGACCAAAATTAGCCAAATCGGTCCAGCCGTTCTCGAGTTTTAGCAAGACTAACGAAGAGCAATTCATTTTTATATATATAGATATAAAGATAGAGGAACAATAGTAACATAGTCGGCGCGGCCTAAAGGATAAGACGTCCGGCACATTCGTATCTAGCGGTGCAGCAAGTACCAATTTTTCTAATGAAATACGTACTTAACAAATGTTCACGATTGACTTCCACAGTGAAGGAATAGCATCGTGTAATAAAAATCAAACCCGCAAATTTTTAATTTGCGTAATTACTGGTGGCAGGACCTCTTGTGAGTCCGCACGGGTAGGTGTCACCACCCTGCCTATTTCTGCCATGAAGCAGTAATGCGTTTCGGTTTGAAACTTATATTTCAAGGTGGGTGGCGCATTTACGTTGTAGATGACTATGGACTCCAGTAACCACTTAACACTAGGTGGGCTGTGAGCTCGTCCACTCATCTAAGTAATAAAAAAAAGTTGTGCTAAAGATACTCCGAAGTCATGATTGTGATATGTGTCACTTGTGATGACCATGCGCTCCTGGTTACCAACTTAACACCATGTGGGCTGTGAGCTCGACTACCGTGAATCTAATATGATGAAACAAAAGATACCTGTGAAACAGAGAATGCCTTTTCTTCCAATACTTAAACATTTTAGGGTCGTCCTGTAATTCTTGGGGCATCTCGGATGCATCCTCCTCCACCCTCGAATATCTTTTCTGGCGTCGTTTACGTTTCGATGTTTCTTGTTGTGTTACTGTTGATAAAAGAGACATTCGTATTAATGGAAATTTTTTTAGGGGATTGGGGATAGTTAATACTAATATTTTACTTGTATGTGTTCCCAGCTTTGAATAAATAATAGTTTAAAAAAAAACTAACAAAATACGCTTTTATAGAAAATCCAACTAAAAACTAAAAAAAAAAAATTAATAAATTTTAATTAAAAATAAGAGAAAATGATTTCTATTATTTATTTTTAATTTTTTAGTCAAATTTCAATTTTTTCATTTTTTTTTAAATTGAATTGTCATCGGTCCTTAATAAGTATAACAAATTTCGAGTTAATCCGACGTTTTGAAGGGGGTCGAAATCATGTTCAAAGATTCCGTTACAAACATACATACGCCTGAAGCTAATAAAAGCGTTTTAAAAACTGCTGCTCCCACCTCTGTACCATTAAATCATGTTAATATCTTCACGTTATTTGATAATAACATTCCAACTGGTGATATGATGCAGTGAAGGGCGTATTCGCCTCAACGCTCTGAGGCTCACGGGCCCCGATGCCAACTTATTACCAGGTCACGGGGTAATTTACTCGTAAACGTTCAAAGCAATTTCTCAGTGTCAGTAGATAAAGTATACCTGAACTATCGTCTACTTGTTCTTCTGAATCCTGTGGCATCTCAGCAGCATCACACGAATCTTGCACTTTCATAGTCCGTTCGAAAACTGTGCTTTCCACGTGGCTCCCAAGTTCCAAACCTTCAATATATCCTTTGTCTTTTTCGTCCTTACGTTCAATAACTTCTGAAGGATCGTGTTCACTCTTTCTCTCTGTGTCCGATATCGTTTGAGTGCATTCTTCGACATGCTGCATTTGTTTTTCATACTATAAAATAAATAAATCTTATTACTAGCTTCTGCGAGTGGCTTTAACCCGTGTTTGAAAAAATATATATCCCTCAGATATAGTACTTTTTATGGGAATGTTAGGTACTATATGTAACTCTGTGCACTGACAATGTATATGCTAAATGTAATGATGATCCGTTGAATAGTTACTTATGAGGTGAAAACTTAACAAACTCACTTTTGCATTTATTATATTACCAAGAATAAGAATGGATTTATTATTTTTAGGCTTTTGGTATGTAAAAGATGGTATTAAAACAACCCTTCTTTCGGAATTTGATGCATACTGTTAGTGAAATAACACTATAAAATATTTGAAACGTCAAAAATAATCACTACTTAATATAAAACAAAGTCGCTTTCTCTGTCCCTATATCTGTCTGTCCCTATGTATGCTTAAATCTTTAAAACTACGCAACGGGTTTTGATGCGGTTTTTTTTTAATAGATAAGAGTGATTGAAGAGGAAGGTTTATATGTATAACAACATCCATTAAATAGTGGAGAAATCAATAATAAATTAGTTTCTGAAGCGAAGCGAGGGCGGGTCGCTAGTAATTAATAAAGTAAAAAAAACCTTTCAAACTTTCCATGTTTTCAGAATTATTTTCTTTTTTTTAGATGGTTGGACGAGTTCACGGCTCGCATGGTTTTAAGAGGTTATCGGAGCCCATAGACATCTACAACGTAAATGCCGCCACCCATCTCGAAACATGAGGTCTCGAGTTTTTACAGTAAATACCACGGTTGCCCCACCCTCCAAGCCGAAATTCATAGCTACTTCACGGCAGAAATAGGCAGGATCGTGGTACTTACCCGTGCGACGTCTCAGAAGACGTCCTACCACCAGTTAAAGAATCTTAATTAACTTACTACATCGTTTTATAGACGTTCAAAAAATTATGTAGATTACAGATTTGTGTTTTCTTAATGGCTCACCTCATCCAAATTAAGTGCATTACCGTCATCGTCAAAGTATGTTTTCTTTCCAGTTCCATATTTCTTATTTCTGGGGGGACGTAAGCGGGCCAATCGTTTTCTGTAAACCATGTGACCTTTCAGTAGTTTATCGGAATTTAAACAGAAACCCATTATCTCAAATGTAGATTTAATCGTCTCTGAAGCTGTCTCTTCGTCGTCGTATTCATGGCTGAAAAAAACAATCTGTTTACAGACTTACAATATGGTACAACAACATACAAACAACTTACAATATGGTACATTCATTTTACTATATTTACTAGCTTTTGCCCGCGACTTCGTCCACGTGGAATAGTTCACAAATAATGCTTTATTTTAGAACAAATTTGGTTAACATAAAAAACGTTATAATGAGCCAACCTTAACATATAGTCATATGCCGTCGCGGACTTTTTTTACATATTTTAAAGGGGAACAATTCTGTCATGCATTATTTTAGCGAGACTTTAACCGTTTCTGCAGCGCACGCAGCGGAAGCTCTCAAAAGGAAAAAAAAACCCGATTTTGAAATATTATTTATTGGTGCTCCGCTTGTATTGGTCTTAACGTGATGTTATATATCCTATAGCCTTCCTCAATAAATGGGCTATCTAACACTGAAAGAATTATTCAAGTCGGACCAGTAGTTCCTGAGAGTAGCGCGTTCAAACAAACAAACTATTCAGCTTTATAATATTAGTATAGACTACATGTATGTAATAATACATTTTGCTATTTACTGTACTGTATGTATTATGTAGTATTATTGTAGTAAGTATTAGAAATGTTTTAATTACTCACTCACAATCATTTCAAGTTTGCAAGATTTTATTTTTTGGTTTACGACTTTACTTGTCTGGAAGTACCACCATACTTCTGACACAAAAGGTCCTTACTGTCGAAACGATTACATTAAGAATTAAGACTATTGTACTTTTGCCTTCATTTGTTTAAACCAATTATTAGGAAAAAAACAATTTCCAGTGAATGTTTGTGGTATTTTGCTAATCTAACACTACTTTACTCAAGTTATAAAATAACAGATTGTAATATAGATTTATGGATATGGATTGATGTTGGAGTGAATTGAATAAAATTTATGTACCTTCGTTTTAATTTTATTGGATTTTCTTCGGGCGGATCGTCATCACCGTCGTCGTAGCTGTAAGATTTAAAACTAGTATTGCTGTCGGACTGCTGATAACTGTTCATATGAATTCCTTCTCCAGAATCGGACTGTGCAGGTACTGATTTTTTTTCATTTTCATCACCTGCTTCAATTACTTCCACTGTTGTTTCATTTTCCAATTTTATTTCTTCATCTTTGATTAGATTTTGTAGTAAAACACCTACAGAATCTAAATAACGGAAACTCTTTTTCTTATTGCGCTTCTTAACTTTAGGTTTGTCGTCTAATTTCATTTGTTCGACTTTTGTTTGCACTTCAATAACTGTTGGCATTTCTTGTGAATTACCTTCACTATTCTCACAGTCTATGTCTAATGATTTCTCAACTTTTCCTTTATCCATGGATGTTAAGTTTATCGGAAGGTCGTCATTGTTTTGTTCACCGTGTTTGTTAATATAATTAGCATAATGTGCAGCAAACTGCTCCCCGAAATGTTGTTTCCACAAAAACTGCCAATACTGCTCTGTGTCCATTTCAGTGATTGGCACATTATCCAAACTGTCATAAACAGTGGCTATTCTCGTTTGATCATTGGATTGATCTTCTGAAGATGATGACATACTGTAGTCATCGGTGGGGGTTGATTCTGAAGTCACATGACTGGAGCCTATATCATAACTCGATAGGGTAATTTTTGTTACATTAGTCATTGAATCTGTACCTGTCACTGTTCTCGGACTCAATATTCTATCATGCTCAGAACAGGACCGACGTCTGGCTATTGGTAGCCATTGGTCGTCTTTAACTGAAGGAGTCTTTTCTGTTACTTTTTCAATAGCACTGTTTTTTTTGTATGGATTTACTTTTGAATCATATGAAAATTTCCTCTCACGTATGCCATCAGCTCCAGGGGTGTTCTCTATATTTTCTTTGTATATATCCTCTGAGTGTTGTGTTGGTACACCATTCTCATCCATAGTCAAATCATTGTTTTCGTTTAAGAAAGCAGGATTTATGTAATTACTGTACTTCTTTATCCAAGATGCCCAGATAAGTCTTTCACCATGGATAGCCCAAAACTTTTCCCAAGTGTCTTCTGATAGATAATTTTCATTTTCAATTAGGGCTTCTGTATCATGGTCCAACTGTTCGAGTTTATCATGAGAAATGTAATCAGAATGATAATCTTGGTATGTGAGATCAGCACCACTGTCGCTAGGTTGTAAAGCATTTGAAATACCATGAATTTGAGTTGGATCATGCTCATCAGTTGAGCAGTAGTTTTCAGTGTGAGAAGCACTACAATAACAGCTGGCGCCTTCGTCTTTCTGTGGAATTTGAGATTCAAATTAATAAAAATTCTAAATTGGATATTTTTAATGCTCTATTTGCCAAATGGCAAAAATAAATGACCCTTGTAATTTCGTTGTATAAGTTAGATGACAGTGTTCATTTATAAGAACTAAAAATCAATGAATTTAGAAACAAAAATCCAAAAAGAAATCAGGGTAGGTAGAATATATATATCGTAAAACTGATGCTTATCTGTGCCCCTGGCATCTCTGATGTTCATGTGAACCAACCTCTAGAAGCTTACATTTGCATTTCCATGTCAATATTTTACTTTTGTGTTGTAGCAAATAGTATAGATTTCTTACCTCACACTTTACTTTATAAGATGTATCTACAGAGAAATGTACATGGGAATGATCTTCTCCATCCTGGGAGTCTAGAATTTCTGTTTCACTCTCGCTTGCATCTTCTTTTTCAATGTAGTATGTTTTAACAGAATCCCTAGTTATGGTGATGAAAATTATAATTTATTTTAATAGTTCTTATCTTATAATATAAATATTGTTGTATTTATTTTGTAAATTTTCTGAGGTGCAATGTGTGGTTTGGAAACTTAGGGGTGAAACTGGTTTCCAGATCAACAGTTAAGTAAGATCAACAATCATAACTATTTTGAAAGTGTCTTTTGAAGCATACTTAAATGAAACACTGTATTGTGGTTTATTTTGTGTGGTATTTTTACTATGTGTATTTAAAGCTTTTCTTGATGCCATCAGTCAGAATAACTCATAGAAACTCATTTTTATAAACAAAATTATTTATGTTATTAACTATTTTTCATTTTGAAAAACGAAAATGGGTAACAGGTGCCTTTTAAAAACACATCTTGTTGTTGATGTATGATATCAAAGATATGTATGTGTTATTTTTTCTGTTGTGATATTTCAGTATTTAATATAGTATTGTGCATAGTGCATGAGTGTTTATTACGTTTAATGTATAGTATGTGTATCAAATAATGTATTTACGTAAATTTTAGTTGTTTATTTAAAGAATTCACGAAACAAAAAACAAGAGTAAGATGAACATAATACTCTGTTCATTAATATAAAAATATATCGTAATATTTTACCTTATAATTATTAAACCACACAATTGTAAACTGCGTTTATGTTCTCAGACGTGTTTACTCCACGAGTGTTGATTAAAACTGATCATTGACCACTAACATTCTTCCATACACCACTTTAAAGAAAAGAAACACAATAAAAAAAAAACAATTGTTGAAAGCTTACCTGATAAAAGCTCTACTACAGAGACAATAAAGATAATTGTCTTCATCATATTCGTCGTCGCTGTTAATGCTAAAATGAAATTCTGCAAGTGGCTCCCAACGATGATAGTGATCATAATATTCCGACATCATAACAGAAATTAAATTCGGCTTACGATAAGTTCGTCAGTAATTGGCTAAACATAAGTAGGCACAATATTAGATAAGTTTTTATTGAATATTTTGGAAATTTAGAGTTCAACAAAAATCGAATATTTTGCTCATCCTTGTTGAGTTTTACGTTCCGTTTGACATAACTTTTATAAAATACTGTCAAAACAATATTGATTCGCTAAGACAACGGCTTCCGGGCTTATAGTCAATAACGATTACTAACAGTAGCATTGTAATTCCTTTTACTATACATTATTTCAGTACCTTCATTTAGTATATTAGGGGCTTAAATTGTTCATTAAACAATAATTTCATGATAAAGGTACCTATGCAACAGAGTTCTGGAATCCATAAAGTATTCACTTTGCAAAAAAAATTTTTTTTTATTGGTTTAAGCTTGTGTAAAAACCGAAACTATCTCGGAAGTAAGCTTACACAAAGCAAACAAGCAGCTTACTCACACGCTTATAGTTCTCGGGGTATGTCGTTGCGTTGCACACCAATAAGTCCGAAATGAAACCTGACTAATGGCATGACTTTTCTTTGTTCACTCAGTTAAAAAAAAAACTTTCTTGTTTGAAGCTGTCACAGAAAAGGTTGTTGTCATGTGTCTTTGCTGTTAATGTCAAAGAAATCCATTCCATGTGTTCTATTCGAACTGTTTATACTTTAATAGAAAAGTTAAAGGAAGTTGTATCTCTCCCTGTTTTGTAGTGTAAGTTAAGATAATGGGCAAGAAGAATAAAGAGTCTCTTGGGAGAGCCCTCATCAAAGATAGATTCTCTAAAAATCGCAACAAAAAACATGTCGAAGACAATACCATGGTTTGTTTTATATTTTTTGTTATTATAGCAGCTTCCTTTCATGGACTAACATGCAAAAAAAAATTTAAGTTAAGGTATCGGTGGAATGAATTCGTGAAATTTGATTTCAAATTATTTTTATTTCGAAATAGGTTATGATCTAAAGATACCACTTGCCCAATGTTTACATTACAATAGGGCTGTCGAAATATATTTAAATAAAATTTAATAAAAATGTTCTCCAAGGAATTTGTATTTCTTTTTTTTTTTATTGCTTAGATGTGTGAACGAGTTCACAGCCCCCCTGGAGTTATGTGGTTACTGGAGCCCATAGACATCTACAACGTAAATGCGCCACACACCTTGAGATATAGTTCTAAAGTATCAGTGTAGTCACAACGGCTGCCCTACCCTTCAAATCGAAACGCATTACTGCTTCACGGCAGAAATAGGCGGGGCGGTGGTATCTACCTGTGCAGACTCACAAGAGGTCCTGCCACCAGTAATTACGCAAATTATAATTTTGCGGGTTTGATTTTAATTGCACGATTTTTATTCCTTTTTATTCCTTCACCGTGGAAGTCAATCGTGAACATTTGTTAAGTACTTATTTCATTAGAAATATTTGGTACCCGCCTGCGGGATTCAAACACCGGTGCATCGTTCGATACGAATGCACCGGTCGTCTTATCCTTTAGGCCACGACGACGACAAAATCAGCTTCCCATGAAATTTGTTAGAGGAAATAGGGTGCTGTTTTTTTTTTAAAATAATTGTAGTACTTACTTACAAAGATGCACTCAAACTGTCGATACACACTACCTACTGTACACTACTAGTATGGTCAAAGTAGTAATCAAAATCTTCTGAACACAGATAATTTTAAATCACAACCATCATATTATGCCAATGTTCTAAGTGTGTGACTAAATAGGGCCCAAAAAAGTTAAAACTAGCAAAAATATTCAATAACACTAGACACTTGCGTAAAAGAAAGCAGCACATGGAATAAGACATAAAACACATGCTTCGAAAAGTAAAGGAATTCCTTAAAACTTGAACATTTTAAATGATAGTCCTATTGTTTTTGTGAGAGAAAACTTAAAACATCGCAATAAATATTTTGATGACACAGTGTTGGTGATGTCCGTTTTCATATTAAAACATGAGTTATTCCAAACTTCTAAACAGTAGTGTATGTTAATAAATATTCATATCTATGTATTTAACAGTATGTCAGTGTCAAATATATCTATTAAAATACTTACAGCTCCACACTACAGAGGTGAATGATGGATATGATTGGGGACGTTTGAATCTCCAGTCAGTGACTGCGGAGTCTTCACTCCAAGAATTTCTCTCCACAGCTGAACTGGCACAGAGAGAGTTCACTGCCGAGAAACTTAATCTAAAATATGTAAAATCTGTTCCTAGTGAAGTAGCCATTGTAACATCACAGCCTGATTTTGATGAGCCTCTCACTGTTCCACGAAGGTAAATCTTAGTTTCATTCATGGTTTATTATCCAAGATATGGCAGTGTATTCATTAAAATATTCTCACTTGGTCTATTTCTGGTAATCACCTTATTTTTAACACCTTTTTTTTTTTTTTTTTTTCCTACCTAAGCTGAGAGCCTTGAGAGGCTATGTCAGCGTAACCCTAACTTTTGTAGGTGAGCTCACGGGGCTCAAACCTGATGACGTTGCTAACACGAACCCTAGCAAGAGCCGTGCTTCGCAGAATCTACCACCGGATCGGAAACGCGACCCACTGAGAAGATCCGGCGAGAAACTCAGTGGGCTGTGTCTGGGAGTTAATTTACTCGTCGAGCCCTTCGTCGCAAGCGACGGGTTCGACGAGAACGGTGACCGGTGCTTGAAGTACCTAGAAGCACCGTTAGTGGATCGGGAGGATCCGAGATGACGTGTTTTGGGCGACGTCGACTGCTTTCCATTCTGTCCGCAGGATCGGGAATGTAGTTACCGGCGGCCACGATGAGAGGGTTCTCGTGTCGTGCCGCTTTATCGAAGTGGCGCATGGACGCCGACTGCAGATACTTACTGATGGACTCTAAGTCCAGGTCGTCATGGAGGTCGACGTTCCTGACGAACCACGGGGCTCCGACGGCTATCCTGCAAAAACGGGATTGAATGATTTGAAAGGATTTTAAGTGTATGCGGGCCGCGTGAGCGAACACTACACTTGCATAGGTCATGACGGGGCGTATGCAAGTTTTGTAGAGTGTCACCTTATTTCTAAGGGACATTTTACTTCGCCTACATATCATCGGGTAGAGACGTCCTAGAATGAAGGCGGCACGGTCGCGTACCGTCTTGATGTGGGGGCGGAATGTCATCCTACTGTCGAGGGTGACGCCTAAATATTTGACCTTCGGGGCCCACGGTATGGGCTGGTCGAACATCGTGATTGGTTTAACACCAATATTTATCATGTACTCTATTATACGGGTTATCAATTTGTGCCGTCAGTCTCACAGCCTTTTCTCGACATCTGTGGTTTCGAGTTAATGGCCTATTGTACCTTCACAGATACACCCTAATACCGTATCCACACACTGATTTTTAAAACTATTTCGGGGTAGAACAGTTGTAATACAACTGTTCTACCCCATTGCGATTTCAATATTAAAGCGTTTTTTTTTGTTCTACCTATGCTGATAGCCTTGAGATGCTATTTCAGCTTCTCCTTAACGTGTATGTGAGCTCACGAGGCTCAAACCGGGTGTGTTGCTAACACTGGCCCTAGCAAGAGTAGGCCTTCGTCGAATCTACCACCGCATCGGAAACGCGACCCACTGAAAAGATCCGATGAGAAAGTCAGTGGGCTGTGTCTATGGGTTAATTTACTCGTCGAGTCCTTCGTCGCAAGCGACGGGCTCGGCGAGGACGGTGACCGGTGCTTGAGGTACCTAAAAGCACCGTTAATAGATCGGAAGGATCCGTAATGACGTGATCAGGCCAAGTGGGCATTCAAGTACCTATGGGCTCTGGTCTGGGCTAAAATCTGGTAGGCTCATTTTAATTTCTTCTGGCTATTTTAGTCTTATTAAAATAAAATAAAACTTCAAAATTCGTCATTAACATTTAAAGGTAAACTTTTACTGTTCAGACCCCAGTGGAACCCTGGAGTAACAGCTGAAGAACAGCTCAACCGTGAGAGAGAAACATTCTTAGATTGGCGTCGGCATTTGAATGAACTTCAAGCTAAGCTTGGTGCAGCAGTGACACCTTATGAGAGAAACTTGGAACTTTGGAAGCAGTTATGGAGGACTTTAGAAAAATCTGATATTGTATTGATATTGTTAGATGCAAGGAATCCCTTATTATTTAGGTAAATTGCTAAACATTATTTCATCATCCATTCATGTTACACTTTATTTTTGTGGATACAAACACAGCCTTTTTTAATCTTGACATTACATTATATCTAGATGTTCAGTGACCCTTTTTCTTATTTTGTAAGTGAATTAATTTGCGAATAATGTGAATGTAGAGCTCCGTTTTATATTATTTCATAGTATCTCATTTGGTATAATAGAAATTCGGTATTATGTAGAATATTGTGCCTCTATAGTTTGGTACTTAATGTCGTTTATTTTAGATTTGATACACTGGAATGACCACTTTCAATTTACAGCTATTTAAAACTTATTTTCCGATTCATTTTAATAATTATATATGAAGTATGTACATGATACATAATGTTGGCTTACCATGTTTCCAATTTCATTAACAAAGCATACAATTTTTAAGCTTGCACTTGTTTTAATGCAAATATTTCTTGGCTAGTGAACACTCATCACAACAACAGCAACACATCACATTACAGACATAATATTATATATATCTGACAAACTCTTAGGTTGCAAGTTACATTGTGATTAGTGATTAATATATATATCTGAAAACATGTTACAATGCGAGTAGATAAGTAATCTATATATTAATACGTGAAGCAAAAATAATAATAATTATATATAAAAAATTATCAGGTGTGTGGACCTAGAAAAGTATGCAAAAGAACAAAAATGCAAAAGTATATTATTGCTGAATAAAGCTGATCTTACAAGTGAATATGAAAGAAAGTGTTGGGCTGAATATTTCAATAAGGAGGTAATATTTTTTTGTACTTTTTTATGTTTAAGATTATGCGAGAAAGATCTTGCACCCACCTAATTAAGTAGTTACAGTGGCGGATTAAAGGTCCAGAGCGCCCTAGGCAATCACTTTATCGGCGCCCCTGTACCGGCCATAAATGGCCATCATAATACTATAAATTTTAACTGGTTGTTCTTGTAATTACGATGATGTTGTATCATCAAACCCTAGACTTTAGTAGACCAGGACCCTTGTACTTATGCTAATGCGCGAATGAAATACAAACAAACCGCAATATTGCATAATACGAGTATATCGATGCTTGTGCAATATAATCTATTATAGATTTAGATTATAGATCAGCATTTAGTTCTTAATCGTCGATATGTTATTTTCTTTATTTATTTAAAAGTTCTGAGCTCGCGCGCCCCTAGGCACGTGCCTAGTTTGCCTTACGGATAATCCGCCTCTGAGTAGTTAACAGAGTCCATAGATATCACAAGGTAAATATAGCTACCCAACTAAAAAATTACTTGCTTTCAGAACATTCGAATAGTCTTTTTTTCGGCCGCCAAAACTACGAATGAGCGCAAAATATCTGAATCGGAGAATGAAACAGTACAAAATGAAAATAATTCTGACACAGATACGGCCAGTTCTGAAGATGAAGGTATTGAAGAAATTGATTTACTCCAAACCACAGAGGATGATATTGAATTGTTCAAGAAACAACTCAGTGAAATAGATAAGGCAGTATCAAATACAGCTGTAAAGTTAAATAGGATACAAGAAACATTAGATAAAGTACTTGAGAATTTAAAGCTTGGTAAATCTATAGAACTAACGACAAATGAACTAACGACAAATGAAATTGATTTAGAAACAGTTGAAAATGATTCGTTTGGAACTGAAATGCGAAATACACACGAAATATATGACAGAACTAAATTGTTGGAATTATTGAAGAGCATTGAGGTTGATAAGTTAAAAGATCCTCCTAGATTGAATGTCGGTATGATTGGTTATCCAAATGTGGGGAAATCTAGTACAGTTAATATACTTATGCAAACTAAGAAGGTAAGGTGATAATGAATTTAGAAGCTAAAACATATTTATTTCTCTGTCAATCAGTTCCCTAAATTAGCAATTTGTCTCCATTTGAACTACGAGCAAGGTAGAAGAAGTAAACTATGGCTTAAAAAGTAAAAAATCAAAGTTCTCTAACTTTTTTTATAACATGACATATTTTTGTGTCATGCTTAAATAAACATATAAAACATAAAGTTAATAATAGAAATAAGTTGTTCATACTTTTCTAAAATAGATGTGAGTTGCATCACAGAAGCATCATTAATATTGTTAGGTATGAGCTGATTGGAAAGCTTTACCCAGATTATTATTAAAACTCAATTCAATTATTACAACAATTATGGTAGATTTTCGTCACTTGGCTTCGAATACAATTCTCTTGATGTCGCTTATGTAACGCTGTAATAGTAGTTTTTTCCTAGATATTCTCGATAGAACTAGAATATTCGGGAATGTTCTATACTCATCTTGCGTATGACGAGAACATTCTCAGGGCCATTAGAACACTCGGAAACAACTTGATAAAACTGTTTTAAGTTCTAGAACTTTCGATTTTTTTTCCATAATATTCGAGATTATACTTCAGGTGTTTCGGTATCCGTTTTGGCTGATTAACATTAGATAGCGTTACCTGTACTGGTATAACAATATTTTCGAATTTCAGGTAAGCGTGAGCTCAATGCCTGGTCACACACGGCACATACAATCGTTGATCCTTGACAATGACATTGAACTGTTAGACTGTCCCGGATTGGTGTTGCCCGCGTACGCCGTTGCACCAGATTTACTACTAACGGCCGTGTTGCCGATTGACCAGGTAATAATTCATGATTTGTTTGAACACGGTAATACAAAGGTTTACTTAACAAGAATCATATGTTGACACTGAAGACTCCTTTTAAGAAAAATTAGTCTTCAGTCGACAGTCATAGTCCAAAATGTCGCCAGGCTTATTAACTGTTTAATATCTGTGAAAATGCGCAAATGTGGGAAAATGAAACAAAGCCGCTGGACGTAACTTCTCGAGATCCTCCAAAAGGTGCACTGAAAAAATCTCAGTAAACGACCAACATTTTACTGAAATTATATTTCATCCCATATCATATCATCTCATCTCAGTTCATTTAATTTCATTTCATTTCACTCCATATCGTCATTTTTCAAAAAAAGAATATTAATTAAAATAAGACTGACCTAAAGGTCTTAGTTACCAGGTCATAAAATCCCCTAAAAAATGTGTTTTGGTGTGCAACAAAATGTATTCTCTCTTTCTCTTTCTCTCTCTCTAAATGAATGAAAATGTAAAACAGATGCGTTCCCACGACGCGGCGATGGCGAGACTGTGCCAGCTGGTGAGCAAGTTCACGTTCGAACAGAAGTACGGGCTGCTGTTGCCGCGGACCGACGACGCGGACGAATTAGACTACAAACAGATACTGACCGCGCACGCTTGTGAGTTTACATAACCGCTTCTAACCTTTTTTTATTTTTCCTACCTAAGCTGAGAGCCTTGAGAGGCTATATTAGCGTAACCTTAACTAGTAGGTGAGCTTGCGGGGCTCAAACCTGACGACGTTACTAACACGAACCCTAGCACAAGAGCCGTGCTTCGCAGAATCTACCGCCGGATCGGAAACGCGACCCACTGAGAAGATCCGGCGAGAAACTCAGTGGGCTGTGTCTGAGGGTTAATTTTAAAATTTTAAAATTTAAAATTTCTTTATTTTAAAATTTCTTTATTTTAAAATTTATTTTCTATTTTTTAGTTAAATTTTCTATAAAAGCGTATTTTGTTAGTTTTTTTTTAAACTATTGTTTATCGTTTTGTATATTTCGTACAAGCAATTCTCGAAAACAAATGTCACCTAAAACTAATTAATTTCCAGACAATCGCGGCTTCATGACGGCGGCGGGTCAGCCGGACCGGTCCAGGTCGGCGCGGCTGCTGCTCAAGGACGCCGCCAGCGGACGCCTCAGGTGGGAGCAGCTGCCGCCGGGCTACCAGCCGCCTCCCCTCGAACAGCTCATAGAAGACAGGAGGAACGAGAAGAGGAAGCCCACGCCCATGGAAGCCAGGATGGTCGAGGTGCGGTGTACTTGTAGCTCGTTTCACGCAGACTGAAGTCGTCGTGGCCTAAAGGATAAGACGTCCGGTGCATTCGTATATAGCGATGCACCGGTGTTCGAATCCCGCAGGCGGGTATTCAATTTTTCTAATGAAATACGTACTTAACAAATGTTCACGATTGACTTCCACGGTGAAGGAATAACATCGTGTAATAAAAATCACACCCGCAAAATTTTAATCTGCGTTATTACTGGTGGTAAGACCTCTTGTGAGTCCGCACCACTACTCTACCTATTTCTGCCGTGAAGCAGTAATGCGTTTCGGTTTGAATTGCGGGGAGCGATTATTGTACTGAGACCTTAGAACTTATATCTCAAGATGGTTGGCGGCATTTACGTTGTAAATGTCTATGGGTTACGGTAACCACTTAACATCAAATGGGCTGTGAGCTCGTCCACCCATCAGCGCAATAAAAAAACCTTTTTGTAATTGTTTTCAAAATCCTTGTCGGGATGATTGTTGAAATTTATTTTAAAATTAGACAATAATTATAAATTAATTAATAAACAGGGTTGGCGAAACAAGTCTGAAGAGATAGACAGCGCTTTCTTCGCTATGAAGAAAAGTACAGCGCACGTTAAAGGAAAACCTATTATCGGGTGAGTCTTGTACCAGTACACGCGGTACTAACACAGTTTGATACTCGCTATATCAAATAAACTAATTTAAATTTAATGCAAATTTCGAAATTATTTGCCATTTTTATATTCGAATTATTAACCGATGCTTCATTAAAAAACTATACGAAAAAATAATTCATATTATTTTTATAAGTAAAATTTAATCATATAAAATAAAAATATATGCTTTTTGTCAGTTTTTCTGTCCGTTTTAACGATTCAATTAACAGCTGAACAAATTTAACTGTGTATTTCAGTGAAGAATAGAGAAGTATAGAGTTATGTTTGGAATAAGATTCAATGTTTAAATCATTAATTTGAATTTGACAAAAATGTTGTTTTAAACTTTCGCGTTTACCAGCATTAAACACATTATATATTTAACGGCTACGTAATCGGCTCTTACCACGGTTTTCACATTTAATGAGTTCATAGGTACACAATCACAATCACAAAATCGTGTACAGTACCCGGCAATAAATGTCACACATCGATCTATGGAAAGAGACAATCGTCTAATTTCTGTTTCGTAGAGCGTTATCTCTGTCGCACGTATCACTAACAGTCCGGTATCGGTTAGGGCTGCACACTGCTGCACTTGAACAACGACTGACAGACGTGACGTGTAGTGTGCGACAGAGATGACGTTATACGAAACCTTTATTAAATCAGTCAGTAATGATCAATTAGTAATTATGAAAAGATGTGTCAAAGCACATATGAAATAGCCCGTATGAATTTATTAATATACTAGCGGCCCGCCCCGGCTTCGCTTGGGTAGTAGCACACGCGATGTAAAGAATTTTAGGTAATTTTTTTACACATTGGGTTACATCATTGGAGTTTCAGTAAGGATCCCTAATTGTTTTGAAAATATAGCCTATGTCACCCGGGGATAGCGTAGCTTTCCAACAGAGAAAGAATTTTTCGAATCGGTTCAGTAGTTTCGGAGCCTATTCAATACAAACAAACAAACAAACAAATCTTTCCTCTTTATAATATTAGTATAGATAAGTAAAATTGAATCATATAAAATAAAAATAAGTTGTATATGTATATGTGATTGTGTATATAAGTATATATTTTTTGTGTATGTATTTCTAATTTAACATAAATTTCATTGCAACTACCACTATTTAATCTGCACTATCTTTGGTTTACTGGTAGAGAATGCCTTAGGCATTAAGTCCGCCAATGTAAGTTTTACATGAAGTGTAACAAATAAATAGCCAACATATTATGTTCGTACCGTGATATATGCGGCGATGAACAATATTACCATTAGTTTAACGACTCCCGGCAGCTATAAAGTTCGATACCGAACGACCTAACGAATGTGTTTCTAATTTTCAAACTACTTAACTACATTTGTTACAGCTATTAATGTTTATTCACGAAACTCGTCCAGGCAAAGGTTTCCGGTCCGTTTATTTTTTTTTGTTTTATTATTACTGGCGAACGAGCTCACAGCCCATCTGGTGTAAAGTGGTTACTGAAGCCCATAGACATCTACAACGTAAATGCGGCACCCACCTTGAGATATAAGTTCAAAGGTCTCAGTATAGTTACAACGGCTGCCCCACCCTTCAGACCGAAACGCATTACTGCTTCACGGCAGAAATAGGCAGAGCGGTGGTACCTACGCGTGCGGACTCACAAGAGGTCCTACCACCAGTAATTACGCAAATTATAATTTTGTGAATTTGAATTTTATTACACGATGTTATTCCTTCACCGTGGAAGTCAATCGTGAACATTTGTTAAGTACGAATTTCATTAGAAAAATTGGTACCCGCCTGTGGGATTCGAACACCGGTGCATCGCTCAACACGAATGCACTGGACGTCTTAACCGTTAGGCCACGACGACTTTTTCGTGAGTAATTTAATTTAATTTAATAAAATAAAATAAATTGAGACTAATGATTAGGGAGATTAAAGGGTGGTGACGCAGGTGAGCGTCACCTTAAACGTGAGCTGATGAGCTGAAAGGGAGCAAATGAACTCTGCGGAGAATGAGCGGACACGAAAGGGGAGGTAGGAAAACGGGACTTACTTGGAGGCTGATGCTGGCACTATCACGGTCGTAGTGGTGTTTCTCTGCGATGGGTGGCACATACACCTTTTCACCGGTTCACACTCAACCTTTTACTTAGTATATAACGAAGGGCGCGCGCGCACAATTTACTCAATATCGAACGAGCGTATCTCCGCGTGCCGTCATGTACCGCACTGTTATGAGAGGTGCGGGGTGCGTACGGGCGACGGCACCCGAGTTGAGCCGAACATTTACAAACGTCGCGCTGTCGCGCGAACAAAGGGTGTATATTAAAATTTGCAAACCTTGACGCTTCTAATTTATTCTAATTTCGTTTTAGAATTTTCTAGATTCTCGAATCTAATCACGTATCAAATGCAACTTGAATTAATCAATTTTCTTTACTGGAAAATATGCTATATAATTTTTTCACGTTGAACTCTGAGCATAAGTACTGTTACGCTTTGGGGTTCGGGATAAATAAAAATTCTACCGAAGTATAAATTAAAACTGTATTTGCACTTAAAACACTCCACAAACACATTAAAATTCTCAATTCGCTTCAGGTGATCCGTTCACTGTTTCGTTTCGAGTAGTTTCGATTATTGACTAACTGCGTAATAGATATGTGTCGTTCGTTCAATTTTAGAGATTCAGATCAGTACTGACCTGTTGACAAAATGATCCGGTTCGTACGACCCGTTCAGTCGAACGAACGACTAAGCGAGACGGGCGCGGGGCGAGACGCGGCAACCCGAAATGATCCGAATGACCGTCGTACTCGTATGGTTCTTTTCTTCTGATTCGTAGGTTTTGTGTTAAAAGAGTCGATTTAGTGAACGACTCATATTTTTTGAAGTGACCCTATCGTTCGCGCGGAATTTGAGACCCGTGTCGTTTGACTCGTTCGTTCGCGAACGACACATATCTACTGCGTAATATCTCTGCAACGCTTTTATAGTCGATACGACATCCCTAAAAGCGTCGAGAACATTCCTTACAAGTCGTGTACCTTCGATGCGTGTTTCCGCTATTTGACAATAGATGGCGTTGTACTTCTCGAGAGTTCTAGACGTTACTGGATCCTTCGACATTCGTTCGACTATTCGGCGATAGATGGCGTTACGGTTACCAGTTATGGCGGCAGTGCATTCTCACGGGGATGCACAGCGGGATGTCGTTTATAACCTTCATTCGGGACTGTTCTCGAACGACTTTTGAAGAAGGACATGTCATATTGTTCATGACACACCGTGGAAGGAATTGCCGGTCGGATAATGCGTAGTTCAAATAGCCTTTGAAAACGCACTGCCGATGAGTGCAATGGTTCCAGGTTTTTTCTTCTTTTTTTATTGCCTTTGTAGGCAGACGAGCATACGGCCCACCTGATTCAGCCTAACTGAATTCAGTTCACCCCACTTGGAGACCCGCCCCAGAGAGTTCTCCACATCGGACACAAGTTTTAATCGCCTCTCGTGTACAACGCTTCGAGAGAGACTCTGATGGCCGATATATCGCGCATCCCCCGTGCTATCTATCATCCGCATAGCAATGCATGCCATCAATAGATAGTGTGTATCAATGAATTATGTTTCTTTGAATTAAATAAAGAAGTGACATCGGCTAATCTCGATGCTAATACAAGCTAATTTAGGTGACAACTGGCAGCATAAATACCTCCACCCATCTTGAGACATAAGTGGGAATCATATTGTTTTCACTGACATCCTACCCTCATAGTTGAATATATTAATCTTTTGCAGTTAGCTAAGTAGTAAAATGCTATATTTCATGCGGACGACCACGAAACTATAGCGGGTATTTACTAATTTTTTTAATTTTTTTAACTTAACGACACTCAGTCGTTTTTACCACATCTGCGAGCATATCACATTAACAAATCAAATCAAAATCAAAACAAAACAACTGCAATTAGAAACCATTCGTCAACATCCGTATTCGCCAGAACTTGCTCCAACGGACTACCATTTTTTTCGTGATCTGGAAAATTTTCTACGTGACAATAAGCTTTCTTCCCAGGAGGCAGTACAAAATACTTTCGCACAGTTTGTAGAATCTAGATCACCAGAGTTCTATAGCAAAGGCATAAATGACCTTCCTATTAGATGGCAGCAATGTATAGATATTAATGGTAGATATTTTTATTAAATAAATATATTAAATTTAAAAAAAAAAAAAAAATTCAGTACCATTCGGCAATTTCGTACTTTAACCCCTAATACTGACAAATTTAAAAACGCGAGATTAATTTGCTAAAGTTTTAATTATGCCTACGTATCGCGAAATTCGTGGGAAATACTAACATTTCCCGGTCGGTAATAAGTTTCAAGTTTAGCCCATCTTCAATATTTAATGTTTCAATGAATGACGTCTTTTACACGGCGTCATAACATATTTTTTTGTTGTTTTATTTTTTTGTTTTATTATCTGTCAGTTGTTATACGTTAGAAATAGAATAGAAGAATCGATACAGCGGCCTCATATTAATGTACATGTGTGACGTAAATTTTCCGACCTTCAAATGTGCATTACGAAAATAAAACGTTCTATAAACGTCCGAGATGAAAGATATCGTTATTATCAATTAGAAGGGAAGCCTAAATAAACTTAGTAACGAAACGACTGGATGTAAGCCAAGTGTTAATTCATAAAGTTTGTCTTGACTTGCCCGCACGACACGGTTGCGTCAACGGTCGCTAAGATTGCCCTGATAACGAACACGGATGTGTTGGAACAGCTCTGCTCCTATATATAGTACATTACTTATGCACTGAAGAAAGTTTCAAGAAAATCAGAAACCTCTTTACATAAACCGCTGAGATCACATCGTTTTCTCGTAGTTAGGTAAAACAGAACAGTCGACCGTCTTTAGATATATAGCTGATTAAAAAATAAATAATATTTAAGAACAAATGACGCACGGTCATCTGGTCATCCTTACTGGTGGTAGGACCCCTTGTGAGTCCGCACGGGTAGGTACCACCGCCCCGCCTATTTCTGCAGTAAAGCAGTAATGCGTTTCGGTCTGAAGGGTGGGGCAGTCGTTGTAGCTATACTGAGACCTTAGAACTTATATCTCAAGGTGTGTGGCGCATTTACGTTGTAGATGCCTATGGGCTCCAGTAACCACTTAACACCAGGTGGGCCGTGAGCTCGTCCACACATCTAAGCAATAAAAAAAACTCAAATTAGGATTCCCTCTGTTATAGGTACTAGAGACTGATAAACATACTTATATACGGTTTAAATGTATACATATATAGATGATAAACACTCAGACGAAGAGCATACAAACCTGTACATCACACGAATGTTTGGCCAATGTGGAAATTGAACTCACGACCCTCGGCGTACCAGTCCGAGCCTCTAACTACTGCACCAGCGAGTCAGTCGTTAATTGATAAACTTGCTCGTTTGGCTATTGGAGGGTAGTTTCGTATTTTGTTCGATTGTGTGCAACAAACTCCTAGTCGGGCACTTGAAATTAATTTGACATCTCAAGTCTTCAACGCGCTTTTCTTATCTTGATCTGTATCTTTATCTATCTATCTATGAATGTGGTCTTTTTGGCGGGAACGCGAGGAGTGAAGTTTATTTTTTTTATTTTACTGAGATTATATTTCATCCCATTTCATTTGCATTCCATTTCATTTCATGCCATGTTTCATATTAATCAACTTCATTTCATTTCATAATACAATTTTCAACAAAAAGTTTTCATTATAATTAAAATAAGACTTGACCCAAAAGTCTTAGTTACCGGGTCATAAAATCCCTTAAAAAAATCTATGAATGTATGTTGTAACGGAATCGTTTAACCCAATTTTCACCGACTTATAGGAGTTTATCTTGATAATATTCATACGTATCAAAGACCGATGACAGTAAAACTATATCGAGGAATGAAAGGCTATTTGATTTGAGCGATATTTCGCTTAATACGCGACATTTATCTTTGTAATTAACGATGCATTTTATTTGGTATTAGTATCAACAGTTCGATGTTTTCAATTGAATTTCAATTAAGTTTACTCCATTGAAATAGCTGAAGAAGTTATTTTGTAATGATATTTTTACCAAATATTACCTATAATCTTTAAATGGCTCTCGTGTAAAATTGCGAAAATGATACTTAAACCAACCAGCTTTTCACCCCTCGTTATAATTACTATAACATTATGATCAAGCTTTAGAATAAATAAGTCAGTTCAGATTTTAAATAATAGTAACATGTTTTTTTTTTATTGCTTTTATCGGTGGACGTGCTCACAGCCCACTTGGTTATTAAGTGGTTACTGTAGCTCATAGACATTTACAACGTAAATGCGCCGCCCACCTTGAGGTATGCGGCTGCCCGAACCGACTTCAAACCGAAACGCATTACTGCTTCACGGCTGAAATAGTTTGTGTTGAAGTTGTTCTAGACATAATGTTAACGATTAGATCATTTTTTTTATTTTTAGAGTTACCGGTGCTCAATCAGCAGAGAGACAGGTAACCAAACCGTGGAAGCAAGAGAAGAAACACGCCAACAAAAACAAACGAGAGAAGCTAAGAAGAGTATACGCCCATCTGGACGAACATTGAATAGCTAGTGTGATACATGTGTTTATCCTTGTTTCTCCTATGTATTTTTTTATTAGTGCAACTAAGAGGAATATATGAAATAAACGAATTAGGTTATGCATAATACGTATTAAGATTATTTCCTAAATAAAATTTGGATATTAATTTATAAATCGTTTCTTTAAGCATAACAATTGCAATAGGAAAATGTTACCCATGTTTGAATAAATTATATTAAGGAATGCTTTATTATATTTCAATTTGAAAGCTAATGAATTAGGGATAATTTTATTCAATCTACGTAGCTATGGAATGAGGTAAGTGTTTCCGGAACGCTATGCATATTATGTGTCTTACTTTTAACGAACTTTAGGAAGTCTAAGGTCTTATTTTTTTTTATTATTATTTTTTTATTGCCTTTGTAGGCAGACGGGCATACGCACCTGATGGTGAGTGGTTACCGTCGCCCATGGACTTCAGCAATGCCAGGGGCAAAGCCAAGCCGCTGTCTACCGCTTAATACTCTCATTCCTCATTCCATAGCCGGATGGGACGTGGTAAAAAAGATCTCTGGAAACGTACTGTCTTAATCAAGTATGTGGTAAAAAAAAGTTCTAGAACAGTCTGACTGCCCTACTATCGTACAGTAAGTAGGTACATTCATTTGTATACTTATAACGTATAAGATTAATTTAAATAAACATAAATCAGCTTAAAGTCTTGTGGACTAGATTACGTAACTGTTTATAGTGAACAAAAATATTTATCAAACAATTTGGGAAGATACAAATTAATAAACACGTAGTTACAGAATTATTTGTGGAATTCTTATGGCGTAATGTTGGCCTGGATCCCTTGATTTACGACGCGCTCGCTAATTTAAGACAAGTGCTCGGTTTTACTTTACCGATAAATAGCTGTAAGTACACCGCGCTAATTACATAGCTATGAATGTATTATAGATCTATAAATTTACTTTAAAATAACAAATTCAAGAAGGTTCTTATTAAGAGCCCTGTATATTTATAGACTCAAATAGAGAAATTGATTTATATTAGGTTCCTCGTAAAATAGTTGATTATTTTAAGTTATTTAAGCGACAATGCAGTGGGAGGTCCCCTAAATGGGTGCAGTAGAATGGCCTCGAGCAGAGAGTTTTTTTTATCCTATCTTGAGAGGCTATTTCAGCGTAACCTTAACTAGTAGGTGAGCTCACGGGGCTCAAACCTGCCGACGTTCCTAACATCACTGAGAAGATGCGGCGAGAAACTCAGTGGGCTGTGTGTGTGGGTTAATTTACTCGTCGAGCCCTTCATCGCAAGCGACGGGTCCGACGAGAACGATGACCGGACAGGGAGAGATGGCGGGACATCGTGAGACGCATCACCCCTACCCCTTCTAACACTACATGACGATTACGATCGCTCTGTTAAGAGTGACACGTTTTTATTTGTTTATTGCTTAGATGGGTGGACAGCTTACAACCCACCTGGTGTTAAGTGGTTACTGGAGCCCATAGACATCTACAACGTAAATGCACAACCCACCTTGAGATATAAGCTCTATGGTTTCAGTTAGTTACAATGGCTGCCCCCCCACCCTTCAAACCGAAACGCATTACTGCTGCACGGCAGAAATAGGCTAGAAATATTGAGAAGAAGAAAGAGACAATACCATGAGGCTACGAGAAATAGCAATAGTACTAAAAAAAACAAATTAGGTGAGATTTTTCCCTACCTAATCGCTCGTAGCCTAAAGAGCTATTCCAGTTTATTTTCCTACCTAAGCAGGTAACCTAGAGGGTTATATCAGCATAACCTAGCGAGTAATTGAGCTCATGAGGTTCTAACCAAAGGACCAACCCTATTCCAGCCACGCACGGACCGGTATAAAATAAATACTGATTTATTCAGAAAAAAAATCTACTTAAAATTGAGAGCTAGTATAAGTCGAAAACATTAGGAGGAGGAGACATAGGAGAGTATTAAGCGGTAGGCAGCGGCTTGGCTCTGCCCCTGGCATTGCTGAAGTCCATGGGCGACGGTAACCGCTCACCATCAGGTGGGCTGTATGCTCGTCTGCCTACAAGGGCATTAAAAAATATATATCGTAAGACGTGTGCTAAAAAGTTTGTTTCTCCTAATCAGTAGCGAATTTGCGATTGCCAGCCCGCGAGGTCTGGCTCTATGGTGACAACGTTGAATTTTTCCGACTCTCTAAAAGTCGAATCTCGAATAGCTTATGAACTAGTTTAATGAAATTCCGTAATATTAACACTATATGCTTTTTGTTAGAAACCATAAAATGATTTGTAAAACGCTTTTATTATCTTTCTACTGAGTAATCTTCGAACATCATTTTTACTGACTTCAAAATAGCTGTTAATAAAATTTGTACACTTAAGGCAGATGACAATACTAGGTATAACTTTTTAAATTCCCTCTTATACCCTGACCGGGATTAACAGGTTAAACTTAATCAAGATTAATTGTTATTTGGGTTTGCTATTTAAGCGCATTTTTTTAAGTTTTAAACTATAATACATATTTATAATATGCTAAAAAATAGTTATGTGAAAAGCGGTACATCAGCTCGGACCCAGAGCTCAATTATTATCATATCTGACAGAACTCCGTACCACGGTCGTTAGGAGGGGTCGAATGATTGTTTGCGTTTTTCGTACAATATGTATACCTACAAAACATATTTTAAAGGAACTATTTAAATAAACAAAGTGCAGAGCCAAGTTCACGTATAAAATAGTTCGCAAGTAATACCTAATAAATAGTGTACAATATTAAACATAAAACGAGATTACCGGGAACATTCCAGTTTCATCCTTTCATAATAGTAAACATCCGTTTCCGTGAACTAATTGCATTCCAAATATAAAGACGATTCTCTACAACAAACGCGCATTGAAATATTTACCACCGTTAGCTGACTAATAATGCCATTCGTAATGTCTAGGTATAATATCGGCTAGGTATAACGTGACCATACGTCCCTCTTTGGGCGGGATTGTCCCGCTTTTAGGCGGTCCGTCCCGCTGTCCCCAACGAGAACAAAAATGTCCCGCTTTCATTTAGGTATCTGCAATACCGTCTTTACCATAAGGGCACACGGGGCCCGTGCCCAGGGCCCCCATTCTCAGGGGGCCCCGAAGGACCGACAATTTCTCTTACACATTTATTCTCAAAACATTTTTGTCGGGCATATAACACTTTTTTCTGCGAAGACGGCTCTTGCTAGTGTTCGTGTTAGCAACGTCGTCAAGTTTGAGCCCCGTGAGCTCACCTACTAGTTAAGGTTACGCTGATATAGCCTCTCAAGGCTCTCAGCTTAGGTAGGGAAAAAAACAGTAGAAATTGCTGCAAGAATATTCCTTTGCCTAATGGTTACGAATTGTAGTGGAGAGCGGTCATTTTCGCAGCTTAAGAGAATAAAAAATGAATTGCGAATAACAATGTTACAAGAACGGCTGAGTAATTTGTCAATTATGTGCATAGAAAGTAATATCCTTAAAAAAATTGACTTTAGAGATATAATAGAAGATTTTGCTCAACAGAAATCTCGAAAAAAACCGTTATCGTAATCGTAACCAAAAAAACCAGCAGCATTCTAATATCATTAATGACATATTATATCATACTGTATTTGATTACCTATAATAAATGGTCATACTCAGTAAAAAAATGTTATTATAATTCGCTTTTTTACTTTCCAAAAGGGCCTCAAATTCTTGTGTGCCCAAGGGCTCCAGCCTAGTTTAAGACGTCCCTGGGTATCTGTTGTGCATGTTTGTTAGAACGTTTAAATGTTTTATTAGAAACTTACCGAATACTTACTTATCTCAAATCCTTAATGTATTACAAAATACACACTAAAGTAACTCTAATTTTGCTGTAGAAAAGTAGTTTTTTGATGCGCAATAATTTATAAATATTATTTGAAGGGCAAGTTGGTGTAAGAATTATTAAGATGCCAGTGAGGGTAAGATACCATAATAAATTATTTCAAGTCATTTTTTAAACCATATTTTTTATTTTGTACTTAAATATGACATTTTACCCTGACGTACCCTATATTTGTATTTATTTATATAAGAGATTCCGTAGGCGCGTAGGCGTCCCGCTTTTACTCGAAAAAAAATGGTCAGGTTAGCTAGGTGTAATATCGACTAGGTATAATGTAAATAACGATAATATTGAAATATGATTAAATCTCGCCATATCGTTGTAGACTTAATACGGAAGATTTAGATCTTTTAAAAATGGTGTTCTTTTTTTAATTAGCGTTCTGTTCTTTATCCTCATAGCCTTTGACCAGATGTGGACCGGTTACAGACAGCCAGAGGAAGACAAATCGGAATTTGCGTTCCATCGAACATGCGAACATACCTACTGAGCGCAATGTTCCTTGCTTCAAATTGCTCTACAAAACCTTTAAAAATTGTTTTTTTTGTTTACTCACTCATTATCTGATGACGTTTCTTGAAAAGCTTGTAGCATATTTTTTTTTGTATTGACTTTGTATGCAGACGAGCATACCTGATGGTATGTGGTCACCGTCGCTCATGGACGTCAGCAATGCCAGGGGCAGAGCCAAGCCGCTGCCTACCGTTAAGTACTCTCCGCAAGCCTCGTTGGAAGAAGGATATGTCATAGCGCTCGAAAAACACCGTGGAGGGGAGTTTATTCCAAAGCCGGATGGTGCGTGGCAAAAAAGATCTTTGGAAACGCACTGTGAATGAACGCAGCGGTTCCAGATAATATGGATGAGCTCTGCTCCGATGGCGGGAGGTGCGATGATAAAAAGAGAACCGAAGTCCCTTCGTAGATCCAGAGGCACCAAGCGATCCGCAAGGACTATCGAACATCCGAACAGCCCGTTTCTGTATGGAATCAAATTATTCGGTTTTTAATAAAATATGTTCTTTTGTCAACGAATGCTCACAAAATATGTACCTAATACTAGTTTCACGAAAATCAGCGTGATAGTTATGAGTGCCGACTAGATCACTCAGACAGCCTTGATATAGTTTTCTATATCGGTAAAATCTGAAAATATAATATATAACTCTAAACAGATCATGTATCATAAATCATAATCTCCCGTTATTTATAACCAAAGAGCTGCGATACCGACAAATC